GACCAAATCAGTCAAACATATCAAATTATCTATGATATTTTTCACTGGTTTAGTAATGGATTGTGATTTGTTATTCAATTATCTGTGATATTATGTAACATATGTCATAAATATGGCCAAATAAAAGAAATATTCATTAGTTACCTCTAACGCACATTACTATTTTCGTTGAAATTTACGACGCTAAACTAAGGTTTAACCCTTTAAACTGCCCTGTTCGAGACAACAATGAGTAAATTACAAGCAGCGGCCACGTTTCAAAAACAATAATAGTGTAGTTGTTGATTCGCATGTCTGTTGTGTTGATTTTGTGGTTTCATGTGGTTTTTGTATTATTTTAATAAATGCCTGTATAGTAATTTTTCTTTTTTTTTCCAATATAGTTGAAATGAATGACTAATAGACCTTTTCAGACTTAATAGTGTCCATCCAAGACAACAACACTTGTTGGGTCGAACTTTTGAACACTTTTTTTCAGTATCAAATCAATATTACATCGCCCATAAATAACATTGCTCTAACTAGGTAGTCCAAACTGGCGAAAAAGTGTGTTTTGAGGTCATTTTTTGCGGTTTTCAAAAAAATATTTTACTACTTCTGGTTGCGCTATAAGAATAAAAATTATATGTCAATAAAGTTTAAGTCTTTATCTGTCGTAATCTGGTATTTGTATATCTGTAACACATGTTTGAATGTGTTTTATATTTGTTTGAAAAGTATCAGTTACGTCTCAAATTCACCGCTTTGTGAGTATTGATTGACCTCACACTGTTTAATTTGGTCGCGGTTTCGCAACTAAACATCGTAGAAGCATAATCTTAATGACATTTTAAAGAGCGAATTCTAGCCTCTCGTTGGATGTATAAATTGAAAAAATAACTTGTTTGTTTCATTTTTAAAAATCAGTTTTTAAACTTTAAATTACTATAAATACACGAAAACAAACTAATTCTGTTTTAATTTTTACACCGATGGTGAGTTCACTATTATAACTACTTTGTGTTGTAAATTCACGTATTTCTCACTCGCGGTCGCGAAGCCGTGCCCTCAATAAACATATAGACCTCCAGCCGACTTTCATCCCCGAGTGAGTAGCTCGCCGAACGGTTTTAAAGGTTGACGACCGATGATGCTAAACGGATTTCACCCTTGCTAGAGCCTTCAAAAAGTTGTAAGTACCATTTTTAAAGTTTCTTTTCCGTTTTAATGAAACAATTTTAAGTTAGAATGTCAGTTTGGTTTAATTAGTACAAGCTATTAATGTAAATTTGAACGATACTATCCACGGTTTTAGCGTGTGAACTACACTATGCGTGTACATATGGTGTGTTCAGACGTGAAGCTATTTAATTCAGGACATTCTAAGGACTTAAGGGGGTATGCGCGGCAAAAAATCACAAAATTTCATGTTTTTGTCATGGTGGGGTTGTTGTACTTTTGGATACTTTGTCCATTTTTTTATTAAGAAAATAATAACTTAAAAGAGAAAGAAAAATTTGTAGGTGTTTAAATTACCATTTTTATTACCCGAAAAATAATCAATTTTTCCCAGTCTTACACGCTCTCTATGAAAAGTTTTATATCCATCTCCATATTGCATTTGGCATCATTGGAAAGTTGGGTTTCTCCTTTATTTAATAATCTTAATTTCCATCATTTAGGAAACACCCAAAGCTTACAATCAACTTTGCAGTTTACACAGATATGGTATTTTCGTGACCTACTTTTCGTTACTTTTGGCTGTTTTTTCTCAGTTCGAAGGTTTTTAAAACTATAAAGCCTAATACTTTTTTTATTTATTAAACAATCGCCACCATATTTTCAGTAACTGTTCTTCATGCAAAAATACAACTTTCTCACGAGGGAATTGTGATGGCTTTCATAGAAAAAAGTATTTGGTAATTAATATGAAAATTTTGAAAATTTTGAACACTATAAATGGTACGATTTTTTAGACTTTGTAAAATTCTTACTAGTAGCTATTTCAAAAAGTTTTCGTGACAAAAGTTTTAATATATAACTGAAATATAAGCAGTTTAAATTTGATTGCTATAGGTGCATAAATAAAAAAGCCTTAGCATTTTTAAAAGTACCAAAAAATTCAAAATGGCAGAGGTTTTTTTTTTGGGTTTCCATGACAACCAAAATTGTTTTCAACCCTTTTTTGCTGTTTAATACTTACTTTCATATGCCAAATATGATAAAAGTATTCAAAAGCTTTTAGATATTAAATTGGAAAAAAAATGGAAAAAAACGCGCATATCCCCTTAAAATATGGATGCACTTAACTATTGGATGCTAGTGTTTACTAATTCTTTAAAATCTATCGAATGGGATTAATGATAGGTTTGTATTACTAAAGTTTATCTGGACTATCACGTCAAAATTATGAATCGACCAATTCAGAATGTCCACCAGACAATCCTGCTTACTATGTGGACGGACTCCATTATTTACAGGGAACGAAGGTTAAACACAAAATATTAATGAATCACAAAAGAAATTTATAATTATAATAACTATTTTTGTAAATAGATTTTTATCAATTTATTTAAAACTTAAGACACTACATTTTAAGGAATAATATAATTCATTTTTTACTTTCTGTTGTGCACTCTGATTCTGATTCCCCTGCTGAATAATGTGAAATGGTCTGCGCCAGTCTCCTAAATAAATTGTACTAGATCAATTTTTAGATGGTGGAGCAATTTATTAAGATTGTACACGTTGTGACTTACTTTTAAAAGTTATTTTACTTGTAAGTGTAATTCTTATTCTTCTTCGTTCTTAATTATTAGTGTTGAAGGGGATCGAGATTTATCTGCCAGTGGGTTTGAACTCGAGACTTTTGTTCGAATTTATCAACCATGAGCTTTTTGCCGACTCGACAACGCCTCCAACACAATTAAGCGTTACGTGTCAACTGGTTATGCGCCATTGAGGCCATTGACTCCGATTTCAGCCTGCTTTTCTTTTTGGATTTGCTTCCATAGCCTTTGTCCAACCAAGAACAAACTACAAGGCAGCAGTTGTTTGATTTTGGAGTTGTCTCTCCTAGAAGAGTGGCTGTCCCCAGCTAACGAGCCTCATCTGCCCGAGGGTTCGAACTCGAAACGTTTCGGTTTAGTAACCATTAGCTTTCTCATTATTTATTTATTTTACATGCATTTAGTAACAAAGGAGGACAGTTAAGTTGTCCTATAGGATGTTGAGAAACATAGTATGGCATCTTCATCATTGGATATCTCAACCAGTGTGGCAGAAGCAACGAATATTTCATTCAGTAGACCTACTATCAAAAATATACTATCAAGTATAAATAACTTTTTTTTAAAAAAGGTGTTTTCGGGCTTTTTCATGTTACTAGTTATACTAGTTATAGGACAAATAGTAGGCCTACACAACGGGCTAGTACTAAATTTAATTATATTTTATTAATCCCTTAATCAAGTTTTTATTCCACAGCTGGAGACATTTAAGATGGCCTATCCAGAACTTTCCTTTGAAGGGAAGGGAAAAAAGGCCAAGCCCCCCCCCCCCCTACTGTTCCCAAAACATATCACTCACTCTTGATGCTCCATAAGAACAAGGTTGAGGGAAACAAGACTAATTACAAAGATGTGGAGTTGTAGTTTCAAAAACTGTTCCCCCAAAGCATTTATCAACCCACTTATCCACTCCACTAAATTTAGATTCTATTTCTCCTGCACTAGATAAATGTGGCATTTTAAAAATTAATATTTTAACTCATGTGATTTTTTAAAATACGAGCACATTCTTCCTGTTAATGTTATCAACACAATAGTTTTAGAGTTATTCTATGTCTAAAGCAAAAGCAAACAAAAAAATTGAATTATTATTATTTTTTTTTTTATGAAAATAAAAATAAACAAAACGCATTCTTTTAATTTTCAATTATTTTTTTACCTTTGAAAAACTCATTTTAGAAGACTGAAAACAATTGAACATATATATTTTTAAAAAACTTTGCAGCAACTTTACCAATTTCTACACTTCTGTGTTATTTGGTTTGGAAAATATAGGTTCTCAAAAATGGCACTTTTTGAAAATCAGTGTTTTTAACAAAATTTTGCTTTTTAAAAAATCGCATAACTTTTTTATTTATTGAAATATTTTTATAAAATTTTGTGTCATACGGCTTACAATTAAACGTTCTTCCAGGACATACGCACTACTGCAATCAATAGTTAATTTCAGTTTGGGCTACCTACTCTAACGGGATTACACAGCGTGCACTATTACGGAACAACTATAATGATGAACATATTGTTTCACATAGAAATTGTGATTTGTGGTGGGGAGAGGTTGAGTAGAACTCAACGATGGGATTTTGAGACGGGTCATTTTTCTTTTGGTGAAAACTGAGGATGGTTGTGGGAATATATTCGAAAATTAAAAGCTGTGTATTAGGCCAGACAGTCAACATGAAATTTCAATGTAAGTCCAAGAAAAATAATGTCCTCAAAAGATGGAACATTTCTAAAATTTTGCGCAGTTTCGCGAAATCGAATTAAAGTATAAACGCCATCTTACAAAGCGCGATAGTCTACTGGTGCTCTATTGCGACCCCGTTTGGTTCGTCGGACCAGGGCCCCATGTTGATGGCCGTATTCCTAACGCCCCGCATTAGACGCGGCATATTCGTCAGCAGGCATTTGGTGGCAAGCCTTTTTGACGGGGATAATGTGTTGAGGCCGTTTTGCCAAACGTCTCAAACTAGCAGGCTTGCAATATTTATGATGATTCGTTTTGAGCAAGGTATACGTATATTAATACTTATTTATCGTTATTTTTTATTGAACTTAGCATTATAGATGTTCTCCATCAATGACCTACGTATTTTTCCCTGTTCACCTCCTTTTATTAGACATACACGTCATAAATTGCGGAGTTTACGTCAATTTCCACAAATCTTCACACACTCCCGTAGCAAATCATATGTGACATCATTTATGGACAACCCCATATCACTCATTTTGGCATTTGATATTGACATTTTGACAACAAAGGATAACCAAAAAGTGTCTGACAGTACTTAAGGGGTGGATTAGCTGATATTTTTAGATGACGTTTTACGAGGGAAGCTGGTGGATAATACAAGTTGTCTCTCTCTATATATAAATGATAAAAAACATTTATTGTTGTCAAAATTATGGGTAGAGATTTTAGATAAGGCAGAGCGAAACGTAATTTTTTATATTATGACTTATTGTGAGTTCCCAGAAAGATGCGCAACGGAAAAAAGCGCAACGGAAAAAAGCGCAAAACAAAAAGCGCAACGGAGAAAAGCGCAAACAGAAAAAAAGCGCACACAGAAAAAACCGCAAATAGGAAAAAGCGCAAACAGAAAAAAGTGGAAACAGAAAAATGAGCACACAGAAATTACCTACCTACCTACCTACCTACCTACCTACCTACCTACCTACCTACCTACCTACCTACCTACCTACCTACCTACCTACCTACCTACCTACCTACCTACCTGCCTACCTACCTAACTACCTACCTACCTACCTACCTACCTACCTACCTACCTACCTACCTACCTACCTACCTACCTACCTACCTACCTACTACCTACCTACCTACCTACCTACCTACCTACCTACCTACCTACCTACCTACCTACCTCTACCTACCTACCTACCTACCTGCCTACCTACCTACCTACCTACCTACTTACCTACCTACCTACCTACACTTGTTTTAAGCCCATTTTCACATACTTACACGAACTAATTAAGTATTTAACAAATAAAAGTTATTTATCAACTTAAAACATAAGTAGTTCTCTTTATTTTCACACTGAATTCACATTAAAAATAGTATTAAAAGTTAAGTCAATGTTTTGAACATTTTAGTGCAGGTTAAGTGAGAAAAATACAGGTAAAACTTTAGTTCAGCGTCGGTTATTACTCCGGAATGGTATAGCAGTAAAAAGCAGTAAAACAATGGCAAAGTCTGTCACACAGTTCCGTAAGTACTGTAAACCATACTTAATTTTACGTCATCTTTTATTTTTAATACAGAACGTTTAAAATTTGGATAGATTTATTATAATTGCGTGTTAATTACTGCTTTATTAATCATTTTGTATAGCTAGTTATTTTTAAGTGGTTCAGCTAAATATTTCTGCTATTAAACATGGTTTAACAGGGTTCGTAGGCAGTCTGGAAAAGTCTTGAATTTAGAAAAGTGAATTTCAGACTTTAAAAAGTCTGGTCGGGTCTACACTGTGGTATGACGTTTTTCGCTAGATCGCAGAATAAACCCGATTTCTCAGTTACTACGTCAATGGGGATGGAGTAGTGGGGGGGGGGGGGAGTGTTAGACCTGTCTTTTTTTTTTGTTGCGTGATTGACCGTGTAAATGTGTTACAAATATTTAAAATTTTTATTTGATGAAAGAATGATCGGCCATACAAATCTTGACCTCTTTTTTTTTTTCTACCCGCTATTGTTCCTTAAGTTTGTCTGAAGTTGCAGGCAGGCAGTCTTATAAAAAAATTATGAGCGGAGCTGTAAGTGGTAGTCTATACATACCTGTATTTCTAATTCACTCTCCAAACTGTTTTTGAAATCTTTGCAAAAGCTGGCGATTAGGGCTAGACTAATTAACTAGACGAGACTTTTATTAACTCACCGTGAACCCAAGTACGGAGTTGGTGCTGTTTAGCTGGGGGAGGGGGAGGGGGAGTGAAAGTTACGGTACAGTTCATGCTATGACGTATTAGACTGGACTACTGTGACCTCACAGTGACAACTCCACCGTCTCTTGTTGTGTGAATCTAATGTTTTATTCCAGTGGCTGAAAATCTTCCTGCCGCTTGAGTGTCGAGCTAGCTTGTAGTCAGTACTGCTGAGTATTCATTGCAGGATTTAAACCGTGTTTGATTAGTGGAATCAAAACTAGTAATAATAACATTTATACGTGTGATTCTGGGTTTACATAAGCAGTGCAAGTAGTTAAGTTAGGACTAGAGGAAATGACATTTACCTGTGTGAATTCTGAGTTGTGTAAATGTAGATTTGCTACTCACACTTAAATATGTTTTTTCTATGAATAATTTTAGTAGCCAAGTTGAATGATTCCGCATTGAAATGTATGTTTGATTATTTTTGTATTTTTTTTACTTGTATTAGAAATGTAGGTGATGTTTTCTTTAATATGAAATACGGGCCATGTCTTATTTGTATTGTTTCTTTCGCTTTTAACATATAAACCTTTGTGAAGTCTAGTGGATGTAAATAAATGTATTAAACTGTGTGTTCATAAATTTCATTGTTAGCTTAATATTAATGTTTTCTAAGTGTGTAATTAGTTTGCTCAGGTCTGGTAAACCACCTTGTACCAACGAGGATGCACGGAGTTGAGAGAATAAAGACCATCACCATCTCTCTATCGGTATACGACCGACACATTACCCCTCCACCTTACATTGTTGTTATCAGGAGAAGGATCCCTTCACACTCTCTCCTGGTACCCCCTAACATTTTTGGATAGAGTTGTCTAAAACGGGGGTCTCCAAACTACGGCCCGCGGGTCGGATCCGGCCCGCGATGTCCTCTCATCCGGCCCGCGGAGATCTTTTGTCCACGGAAAAAAAACCTTTGATGGTGATGGCTGAGGAACTTTGCCCAGAAAAATCAAAGTCGTGATTGGAAGAAACTGGCCCCCGAACTGAAATTTAATAGTCTATGCGGCCCTCGGACTGAAAAGTTTCGAGACCCCTGGTCTAGAAGAAACTTTAAATGCGACCTTTGTCATGTTCGAGATTAGGTGCAAGGTTTAAGAGTATGGCAACGACTATATTTAGTATCAATGTGCAGTAACTACGTGTAGATCAAGCTTAAATCCTATTAAAATGCCGATTCTGGATAAACAATTCGTTTTGAGTGACATTTTTCGTTTCCGGTTAAATCTGAAGTTGAGGTGGTGATTTTGGTTTTGATTTAGAGAAAATAGACAACACTATCAACCTAGCGCCCGTTGTATCTCTCCCTCAACGGGCCATTTATCTCGTTTAAAATATCAGGCCTAAAGCTACCTACTACTAATTTATTTAAAGTTGACTGGCTGTGTGTAAAAAGTCCACTAGTAGTCGAGGTTATCTCCATGTCCGAATTCAGTTATTTTATTAGATCTAGGCAGTAGCGAAGCGAGGGGGGGGGGGGCGGGGGGGAGGGGGAATATGTCCCCGGGCGCCGACCTTAGGGGGCGCCAAAATGGGTTGGAAAAATAAATTGAAAGGTTGAGGGGGTGCAAATCAAAAGTTTGAGGGGGGGGTGCAAATCAAAAGTTGAGGGGGGGGGGTGCAAATCGAAAGTTTGAGGGAGGGGGTGCAAATCGAAATCTCGAGGGGGGGTGCAAATCGAAAAGTTTGTCCCCGGGCGCCGGGAAGGGTCGCTACGCCTCTGGGTCTAGGCTATTCTATATGTTAGCTAAAATTGTTGACCTCCTGTCACATGAATGTTATAGTAGGCTAATAAAAGGCCTGTGAATGTCTAGTGTTAATTATTCAATGACATTAGGCCTACTATAACTATTTTGCCTCTTACTTAACTTGCTGTGCTAAAGAAGCAGATTGTATGCTCTGCATGCCTTACAGACACCACCACAATTGAATGAAATTAAAAGCTAAACATTTTTTTTATTAAAATGTCTTTTCTTTCCAACTGGGTAGTGAGTCTACACAATGTAATCTAGTGGGTTTTGTTTTGTTTCGCCGACAGTGTAAGGGTTAGGATATTGATATTTTAGCACTGTAGTGTTTTCACGGCCACCAAATGTAACGTGTTTGCTGCCACCTATGTAACGTTTTTATTCTCTTCTGTTTCTTGCTCTCACTCTCAGTCGCAGACGATCAAAAATGATGTATAAATTAGTGGCTAGGGCCGTCGTTTCTCCATCCCCTCGAAGGCTATCCCGCCGGTTTATATACCCCACCCGCGAGCGTCTCGGGTGACACCCTGCTCTAGGCACGAATTCTAACGCTTACCTGTGAAAATTTCCCCTGATTTTGTGCTAACCTACCCCAAATAACTCCATATAAAACTTAACGCGATCTCGTAAAAATCTAATAAACTTATCATCTGAAACCACAGACAATTCCCTTTATAATGAATTAAATTATTAAAAAAACATCAATAAGTTGTTCTTAAACAATAATACTTCAAACATGCAAATAACGTAAAAATACCATCACATACACCTAATTAAATTGGATCTCCATAATATCGGCTTGGTCCTAACTAACACTAAGATATTCTAATTAAAGATCTAGCTTGGCCTAATAGTTCTTCCAATTATCATGCTATATTAACAACTGTTTATTAAGATACGAATTTTTCTTCTTGCCCTACTAAGCACAATTGACTGATTCCTAAAAATTCAGTACAGCACACAGACAAAAACTTAAAAATGCTCTATCAGGTTCAGAACATAAGATCATCTGAAGCAGGATATTCTTAATCAAGATTCTGGACAAATATTAAGTTGTGAAAGTTTCAAATTTAGTAATTTAAGTTTAGTTGGTCATTTTAAAAGTTTCCTACAGTTTTCATATATATATTTAACCTCTCCTTTTCAGAACACAATGTCGTGGCTTCTTTTAGTAAGTTCAGCGCTTTTGATAGCGCTGACTTCATCACAAGGTGGGGGTCCGCCCAGAGAGAAAAACTGTTTGATAGACTCCACTGCTGGATGCTCATATGCCAGAGCCCCGTAAGCTGTTTAACTACATTGTATTAGTCATACCACACATTAGGGTTAGGCTTGGATTATGTGTTTAGGTTAGATTAAATCTATACCCAGCACTATATATATATATATATATATATATATATATATATATATATATATATATATATATATATATATATATATATATATCGCTTGGTCAGCACTATTGTTTCTTTTTTATAAATAATTAACAGAATATTTCAGGTTTTAAGTCATTGTAGAGGCTAGGGAAGAGATGGAATTTTTCACTGTTTATTTTCTTGCCATCCATTTATATTTCTTTTTAATTAATAATGTCTTTTAAATTTCATGAAAAAAACAATTTTTAAAGTATTTTGTAAAATATATGTATTGCTTTTTTTATCCATCCGTCCATGTTTTCATTCCGGTGGCTCTGAAGTCTTTAAAAGGCTTGAGCCTACTTTATAAAAATTTATTTTTTTGTTTGTATTCTTTAATGTCTTGTCCTAGCTGTCATAGGTATGACTGCATAACATCTATCCAATTCACTGTTTATGCCTCTGCCGGCCTATTGGTTGTTTCCCTTTGTCTGTCTGGTTATATACCACTTTCACCCATCTGTGGTTTGTCATTCTTTCTGCCACTATTGTAGGGTTTTGGTCTGATTATATACCACTTTCACCAATCTGTGGTTTGTCATTCTTTCTGCCACTTTTGTGGGGTTTTGGTCTGGTTATATACCACTTTCACCTATCTCTGGTTTGTCATTGTTTCTAGATGACCTAAAATCAGAGTTTACTATTTCCAATTTCTGCAACTATTGTAGGGTTTTTGTATATTTCAATGTCATAAATAGAATAGTCACGTTGAATTCTTCTCTTCAGGATTTTATAAAAGTTTATCACTCAACTGTGATTTTATTTTAATAGTCTGGTTTATTCATATTATGATTAACTAATTTAATAAAGGTATGATACTACTTAATTTGTTGTTTAAACATGTAAATCGTGTAGTTACTTTTAATTATTGGTTTGAATCATTTTTACTCATTACCATCATTTAATTACTTTACCTTTAGTTGACTACTCTATGTAAAATTGTAAATTAATGCTAGTTAAAATGTATGAATTTTTATTTCAGTCAATACCTGATTATAGCTCCTAAGAAAATCCGGCCTAACCAGGTGTTTCAAGTGTTTGCCACCATTTTGAGAATGGAGTATAATCAAGAGTTTGTTCATGTTATTGTGTCAATCATCAAAGGGGATACAGAATATGCCAACACTTCCATGCGCTTTGATAGGCCAAGCAGTCGTATCATGCAACTGCAGGTGAGAGGGAGAACTATATTAGACATTCTAATTTTTACAAACTAAAGTAGGCATATTTTCCGTCAGGATTCTTTTTTATTTTAATTTAGATTAATTTTTTAAATGCAAATTACAGCTAATTAAATATTTTTTAAATGTTTTTTTTTTCTTATTTTTAATCTAATTAATCAGTTTTGGCCTATAGGCGTATATACTAAAAATAAAGGTTTGTTAAATCAAGTAATCCCGTGTTTTTTGTGTTCACATAGATGCCCTCTAATGCTCCTGATGGGCAGTATCGTATCAGAGTTGAAGGGCGCTTAAATGAACAAGACACAGGCAATATTTGGGCAAATGAAACAGATATTGACTTCAGCACCAAGCAGGCCTCGCTGTTTATACAGATGAGCAGACCTTTGTACAGACAAGGCCAAATAGGTTAGATAAGATTATTATTATTATTAATTTTATTGTCAGTGTTGTTGGTTTTCAATTTTAAAAAAAAAAACATTTTAAAAGTATTAATTCTTAATTAAATAATCAGAAATGTAATATGAACTTCTTTTCATTTACATAAAAGCAGATCTGTAACTGATTCATGATGATCATTAGGTCAGATGAATTAGAGCTCTTCTGTTTGAGTTGTGTCAAGTTTTAGCACCCTACCCTCAACTATTAAAATGTACAAGTATTATAAAATAAACTAGTCAGAAGGAATTTTAATACTTGACATTCAATGTATTCATATCATGACTTTTGTATTTCAGGCACTGTTTAATTAGAAACTTATGTAAAAGGATCAATTGTTATTTCAGTCTGAATTATAAGATAGTTGGTGAAACTAATTATTATTATTGCCAATTATTAATGAACCATTGGGTTTACAGTACATTTCCGTGTTATCCCCATTCTGCCAAACATGATGCCCAAATATGGAAGCATGATTGTATATATTGATGTAAGTACACAATAATGCATATTATAGCAACATAAGAATATCTTATTCTCTGCTTTTTTAATAATATAAGTTGCAGTTATAAACCAGCTAAAGTATTAAAAGATAATTAGATCTATGTAAAATTTAATAAAAATTTATTTAATATAAACATTTTTGTTTAAATTCAGACAAATGATATTAATGATAAAAAAATAATCACCCAAAATTATTTTTTTTAAATTTAGGTCTACTAGGAAATTAGAAACTTTTATTGTTTATCAACTAAATTTTTAAAATTATCTTTTTATTAAAATAAAGAGTTTTATTAGTAAAGGCTCTTTTTCATAAATCTTTACAGTTGGTGCTTACCGTTGTCTGTTTTTTTTTCTTCATGTATCATTAATGGCAATCATTTATTTTAAACTTGGATTTTTTTATATTAAGCATTTTTTTTCTAAATATTAGGATCCAACTGGGATACCAGTTAGAAGGTGGCAGGGATTACAGACAAATGCTGGTGGTATGTGCAGAGCTAATTAAAAATGTTCACCTTAGTAACCTTAAAAAGATGTTCATTAAAATATAATTAACTAATTTAATTTGTTGATTTTCAAGCTGTTTGTATCACTCACTCTAGGAATTGTAAGTCAGAGTTTTGTTCTGTCTGATCAGCCCAACTTTGGAACCTGGAATATTCGTGTAGATGCTTTTGTGAGTGTTTTTCTTGATTAAGTTAAATTATAAAATGGATTACACATTATGTCGTTAGTACTTAAAATACCTTAAAATGCAATGATTATTTTTCATTGACTACTAGAATACTTAACCGTGCAATTATTTTATCCTAAATTTCTTTTCCAGGGCCATGTGTACAGACACCCATTTTTGGTGGAGGAGTTTTGTGAGTACATCATTCTAGTAATATTTTTGTCTTGTTTTAATTATATTTACTTGAAAATAAAGCCCTGAGTTTTTTCACCTTGCTAAAAATATTTGCAGCTTGTAGAATAAATAGTTAATTAGTAGTATGCATTTCTAAAATAATTTCTCTAAAATCTCTGTTAGGGGAACCACGTTTTGATGTAAATGTCACCGTCCCTCTCTATGTTATGGAGGCACCTGAAATGAAAATAAGAGGTGTGATGCTAGCAAAGTGAGTTGAAGTTTTTGACAAGTATAAATTAGCTATAAAGGTTAATGGGTGTATTTTTATAACATATTATTTACAAAAATAGATTTAAGTTTGTAGAAATCAAGTGCCGCATGCCATTTAGTGTGTAATATAAAGTAAAAATAAAAAAGTTTCCCTTTCAAACCTGATGGTCTTTGGGGCAAGTGAAGTAGAGTTCACTTGTTTCTGTGACCTCGGTATATGAAGAGATAGTGTGGTCAGCACTATGCCCAGCCGCCTTTACTTTCCCTAACGTGAGTTAGGTACCCATCAGAGTTGGGTGGACTTAGGGACGGTCTACTGACTAGAACTCGGATTCAAACTCGAGACTTACGGGTTAGCAGTCCAGCTCTCTACCGCTAGACCACTCTGTCCCATAGTGTGTGATATATTGGCACACTTCTTCTTCTTCGTTCTTAATTATTAGTGTTGAAGGGGATCGAGATTTATCTGCCAGTGGGTTTGAACTCGAGACTTTGTTTTCGAATTTATCAACCATGAGCTTTTTGCCGACTCGACCACGCCTCCAACACAATTAAGCGTTACGTGTCAACTGGTTATGCGCCATTGAGGCCATTGACTCCGATTTCAGCCTACTTTTCTTTTTGGATTTGCTTCCATAGCCTTTGTCCAAGCAAGAACAATCTACAAGGCAGCAGTTGTTTAATTTTGGAGTTGTCTCTCCTGGAAGAGTGGCTGTCCCCAGCTAACGAGCCTCATCTGCCCGAGGGTTCGAACTCGAGACTTTTCGGTTTAGCTACCATGATCTTTACCGACTCGACCACGCCGACCCCTTATTGGCACACAATACAACTTAATTATGTTGGAGGAACAAAGCAACAAAGTTGGGCTTAATACCCATCTATGTTACAAATTTAGAAATTAGAATAGAAAAAAAAGAGTAGCTGTTTTTTTTTGTTGTTTTTTTTTGTGCTATTCCATAATTTTTTACTCGTTCGATTTCATAACAGTGAGATAGCAGTGAAACTTTGTTTAAGCTTACATGTATTCCAATTCTCCCAACAGTCACACAAGTGGTCGGCCATGTGTTGGTAACGCTTCAATTACTGCCTTCTTCCGCCCCCGTGAGGAGATATGGAACGCCACAAAAGGGTGGGAAAAACCTTACTGGGATGCACAAAAAACTGGAAAACAACAGTCAAGGGTACCTGTGAATGTGCCTGATTACAGACCAGTTTCTGAAATACCAGTCAAAGACTTCCACATGTATTTTGCTTATGAATACAGATTCTTTAATGATGTAAGATTTTTTTAAATAGTAATTAATCTTGTATTAAAAAAGAAATCTAAACATTTTTTATTATCAACAAAAAACTTAAGATTTTCATATTTGTAAGAATTCCAAAATTCATAGTTTAAAAAGAATATATTATTCACATTTGAAGTTTCAAGTGATATATTGCTTTATTTCATGTATTATTTATAAATCAACACCCCCTTTATTTATTTTTTTAAGATTTAAAAAATTCTTTGTGCATGACTGTATAAAACTTATTCTAAAACTAAAATGTTAGTTAAATTTATTTAAATTATATTTTGTAAATTTCTCCTATGTTTTGATATATTTATTAATAGAAACTAACTTTGTCAGTCCAGTTCGGATCATTTTTATACTTGGAAATTAAACATCTGTTTTTTTTTTCAATATTTCAGTACACTGGTAGAATAGATTTTGAGTGGACTCTTGAAGAACTAATGACCATAGCTAAAAGGGGAGGTGAAAGTGGTTCTCTCGTAGATAGTGAATTTGTTTTCTTTGCTAACGTGTCGGATTGGTACTCTGGCCTGAATCGCACTGGGTGGGCTGGGACTATCATGTTTGATAACAAGTACAAGCTGAAGTGGGTTGGTGAGCCAGTCCGGACATTCAAACCTTCATCTATTATGAAAATACAGGTAACAGACCTATATTTTAGTTTTAATTACATGTTATATTACTGGTTATATCTTAATTAAATAAATCACCAGTTTCCTGGAAAAGGGCATCCCCCCCCTCCCCTGTCATAGCCTAAGGTACATTTAGGGTTAGTGCAAGGGTTGGGGTTTGGGTTAGATTTAGTGTTAGACAAATGTCTAAGGTTGGGGTTGGGTTTAGATTTTGGAAGAGGTGAATGCTTAGATTTAGGCTTTTATCTTAAGGTTATGATTAAGGTAATAGACCCTAGATCCCACCCCCTACTCCTTCCCCCAAGTTTACACACTTAATTTATTTATTCATTCCTAAATTAATACAATGTATTTTTTCTCAAGGTGGCTATTACAAAATATGATGGCACACCTGTTGACACAGGTGGCACTATCACCTTGAGCTATGTCATTACTGACAACTCAGGAACAAGTGGCAGACTCTCAGATTCTCAGACAAGAACACCTATAAATGGAATAGCACAGTTTGAGTACAGTTTTAGAACAAATGTACAGAACGTGTTAGTCACAGTAAGTTATTTGAACTGCATATTGCATGTTTCTTTTAATGGCTACTCTTAGATTATATTAATTTTTATATGGAAATTTTTACATGATTATGGATCACAGAATTTTTTTCTTTACTTTGCTTTGCTGTGCTGGTTTTTACATTTAAAATAAGATGTTTTACTAATCTATATAATTATCCTAGAAATGTATTCTTAGTAATGTTATACAATATTAAAAAAAAATTCATTTTAATTATCTCAGAAATTTATATTTTGTAATGTTATACAATATTATTAGGTTATGTTTTCCAGCAACTTTATTTTAAAAAATACTCTGCTTACAATTTTGTTTTACCTTTACTATTTAAGGCAACCTTTTTGGATGCTCGAAAGCCTTACAGTGGAAGCAATCAGATCTACCTTGATCCAAAATTTAATATTGGAACGGTGCCTTCTATCACTCTGCGTGCCTCGCGCTATTACTCTCCTACTAACTCGTACATTACCATTTTGTCTTCAACTAACAACCCTCAGGTTGAGTTTGATACATGAGTATTTTATTGTATCACCAACTAAGTTTGTTTTTTAGAAGTGTTTGAGTTGTTAAATTAAAATTTGACTAGCATCATGGCACACTAAATCTGTAAATCAATGTGTAAATGTTTTTTTATTGCTTTGATTATGTACTTTGTTTTTAAATAGGTGAATGAGTACATGATTTTCCATGTGAAAACAAGCAGCTTTGTGCCTAGAATTTACTATCAGGTCAGGCTTTTATCGTTTCCTAATTTTAGTCTTAATCAGACAGATTTTAAATATTTTTTTTAATTTTAAAATATTTAATGAAAATAACTACTATCAGACTTGCAGTGTTTATATGACAGTATTTAATGTGTGTTCTGCTGACTAAGTTAGCAGTTTGATATCAAAGTCAATCCATATTATCTAAAATTTTAGAAACTCTGCTTTGCTTTTATGTTTTAGTTATAAATATGCTTTATCACATACTTTATTACTAAAATGTATAATAATTCATTCCATATGCTTTATCACATACTTATTTACTAAAACGTATAATAATTCATTCCAATTATTTTAATAGATTGTCTCACAAAGCAACATCATCATTGGAGATCAGATTGAGATGACCTCTCGACAGAAGACATTTGCTGTATCCTTGACTAGAGAGATGGTGCCAAATGCACGTCTTGTTGTCTACTACATTAGACAACCTGAAGAGATAGTCACAGATGTCCTCAATTTCTTTGTCAATGGAACCAGACAAAATGTGGTGAGCACTGCTTGCTTGTGCATTGGTTTTATTGAGCTAATAGTTTCACTTGTAAAAAAGTAAAATGTTAAGTCTAGTGAAGTGAAGTATATCTGTTTCTGTGGCCCGCGGTATATGAAAGGATAGTGTCTTCAACACTTTTCCCAGCCGCCTTTACTTTCTCTAACATGAGTTAGGTACCCATCAGGGATATTCCACTGACTTAAACCTGGATTCGAACTCTAGACTTTCGGGTTTGCAGTCTAGCACTCTACCGCTAGGCACACTGTCCTATTGTATATATGTAACTAAAATAAAAAGGTTTTGAACGAAAATTTGTGGGGAAAGTTGATTACAAGATTTCATCTTTGCTGATGGATAGGAAGGCATAAAGCCAACTCTATTTACATCTAAGTTTTTTTTAAATTTCACTTTCTGGCAATAGCTAAATAGATAAATGTACTTGCATGTACACATTTTGTTCACATTTTCCAGGTGACACTTGGTATTAACAGAGGCAAAGATTTCAGCCGCGACACTATTGAATTCAATGCTTACGCTGACCCCGGCTCATACGTTGCCTTTAGCGGGATGTTACTTGATCAGTACAGCCGTGGGTTGAGCGATGGCATCACTGAAAACAGGGTTTGTTTTATTTTGTTTATCTGTTGGTTTATCTGTTAAATTCACAATTTAACACAAGTGTCTACTTCATAGATAACAGTACTAACATAATATCTTTGGTTAGAAAGCTGGATTTCGCCAGTTCTAAAATAAGTTACAAAATCTTCACAACAAAATGTAAACCTATATGTAAGGCATTAAACTTTGATATAAATACAGTTTTTTCTGACATATTTAAATCCTACATTGAATACATTAAGCTTAGTTATTAGTAAACAGAAACAAGAACACAATCTTCATAACTTACATTTAAAATCTAGACAAACATTTATTTATCTTGATACATAATAAGTATAAATGATAATAATGTAAATTTTTAAAGGGATCGTTGTCATTGGTGACAAATGTTTTAAAATGTACATCTAAAATTAGTCTACACTTAATGGTTTAAAATGCAAAAATAATAAAACTAGTAGAAATAAAATTGAACATGCTCCTTTTTTAAAAAATTGGAAATTTAAAGCCTTTTGTAATTTTGTCAAAGTTTTGTAAACGTCATTCATTCATCAGTGTATGTTCTACCTTCTTTAAAATAATAAACAATAATTTATAATTTTATTCTGATTGGTCTTCCCCCTTGTGTTGCAGCTGATTGATGAACTTTTGACCTATGATGCAACTACCAATGGAAGCTACCGCCATTTATGGAGGGTCAGTGACACTGAATATGAGTACAATTTTTTCCATGGCCCAGATTATGGTGTTGACACCACCACAAGTTTTCTTGTAAGTATGGCAAACAAATTATCATGTTTTATTATTTTTCATATCCATAATTCACACAAATTAGTTTTGATTGAAATACTGTTATATTTTAATAAAAAATAAGAAAAGAGATTTTGGTGAAAGAAAAAACAAAATTCTAAAATATCTAGCTAAATCCATATAACGTAAAATTTAAAAGATATTTTTCATTAATCTACTCCATTTGTTCCAAGTTATTGAACATTGTATTGTGAATTTGCACTATTTTTTTAGTCGTAAGCTTACATAATTTGTTTATCTTCTGACAGAGTGCAGGTTTGCTTGTCTTAACTGATGCAAGGGTACCAAGACTCTTCAGTAAGTCAACCATCTCAGTTTAATAAAAATTTAATCAAGTCTCTATTTGTTGACTAAATAATAGTAGACAATTTTTTTTTAAAACTCTAACATAAGACTTCTCAGTTATATTAATTTTTATGTGATTTATTTTTTCAGATGAACAGTTTTGTCGTGTCAATCAGAAGGCTAGCCCCTGCTTCTCTGGTATTGAAGGAGAGTGCTTTACAGATGAACAGAAATGCAATGGCAAATGTGACTGCACAAATGATTGTGGTGATGAATGGGGCTGTAAGTGCTTTCAGAAGTGTTTGTTTACACTTCAATGTGTTTTCAAAATGTACGAACTCGGTGTGGTCGAGTCTGTAAATTTCCTTGTTGCTAAACAAAAAGTCTCGAGTTCAAACCCTCGGGCAGATGAGGCTCGTTAGCTGGGGACAATCACTCTTCTTGGAGAGACAACTCCAAAATCAAACAACTGCAGCCTTGTAGTTTGTTCTTGGTTGGACAAAGGCTATGGAAGCAAATCCAAAAAGAAAAGCAGTCTGAAATCAGAGTCAATGGCCTCCATGGCGCATAACCAGTTGACACGTATACTTAATTGTGTTTGGGGGGGGGGGAATCCCTTCCAACACGAGAAATAAGAACGAAGAAGAAGATTCAAAATGCTAAATCTTTCTAAAACGTTTTCAGGCAAAAAATGTTAGTAATTATTTATCAGATCTTAAAATACGATAGCAATTTTTAAAAATGTAAAAAATTTCATATCTAAGACTGTTAGCCTTCTTCTATAAAATAATTTTTTTTTACAACATCAGGTGTGGAGCCAGATATATCACAGAAACATCTTTCTGCCATGGATCGAGTCAGCAGGGTGATGCACTTTTATGACAACAGTTCTTGGGCCTGGCAGGAGATCTTTGTCAAGTGTGTATTTTTTCATTGAGTTCTATGAGGCCTTAGTTGTCAAGTGTGTATTTTTTCATTGAGTTCTTTGAGCTTTGTAGCCTCAGTTGTTAAGTGTGTATTTTTTAAATTAGTTCTTTGGGTAATGTAGCCTCAGTTGTCAAGTGTGTATTTTTTCATTGAGTTCTTTGAGTATTGTAGCCTCAGTTGTCAAGTGTGTATTTTTTCATTGAGTTTTTGAGTATTGTAGCCACTCTTATCAAGTAAGTATTTTTTAAATTAGTTCTTTGGGTATTGTATTCACACTTTATCTGCAGTTTTAACTCAGCATGTGTTTTTCATGATATATTGTTAAACCTTTTAATATAAAACTTGGATCATAATAATGATTTATAGAAATTAAAACAAATTTTAAACATCAACACATTGATAAATATCAGGGTTAAATTTCCTTAGTTACAACTATTAGCTGTGATTTCAGAAAGTTAACTTTTTCAATTGAAAAATTGTCAACTGCAATTTGATACATTTTTAAAAAGCTCTTCAACTACTCCTACAGGCCAGATGGCAGAGTTGATTTCCGTGTGGATGTCCCCAAATATCCATTGTCCTGGGTCATCAATGGTGTGTCAGTGAGCAGAGAACTGGGTCTTGGTATAATGGTGAAGCCTGTTAGGGTAAGATACATAAAGTTTTGGTTTTTACATTTCAGCTATTTGCACTTACAAATGTAACTTTTTTGTTTCACTTTTTTATTTAAAAATTTTGTTTTTAAGGTAACAATAAAATCACATTAATAATCAAACAATACTTTTACTGTACATTTTATGTCAAATTATTTTTAATTACATTATTTTTTTTAAAATTGAACCATTCAACAATTCCAACTTTAATTAAATTGTTTGTTTCATGTCTGAAATATATTCTCTATATTTTGCCTTAGTGTTTATTTTCTTCTAGTATGACGCTGGTCGCTACATGTACATGCAAGTTGAGCATCCCCAACATATTATCAGAGGGGAACAAATTGGTGTCAGGGTCACTGTCTTCAACTACTGGTACCACGATGACTATCTTGAGGTGTGTTGTGATTTTTATTTTTAATTTTATTAAATTCATTTGAAATCCTCAGCTTCCAAAAAATCAAACTCAAGATCAAGTTTTTGTTAGGAAAATATGAGTCATTTTTATAAAACAGACATTTATGAGTGGTCAGATTATAGAGCTTACCACTGCTAACATGAAAAGTCTTGAGTTTGGATCCCAGCCTAGAGTCCAGAGTCTGTTGCAGCTGGGCATAGTGCTGACCACATTATCCCTATGTATGCTGAGGCTAAACAGATAAACTTTACTTCATCTGCCATGTTTGTCTTGCGCACAAACAGGGATCAGATGCTGATGATATATTAAGAATTATGTGTAAGAGATTATAGACTAAAGTAAGAAAAACAGGCTGAAATCTGAGTCAATGGCCTCAATGGCGCATGGTTATGTATACTTAATTGTGTTTGGAAGGGATGCCTTCCAACACTAAAATTAAGAACGAAAAAGAAGATGATATGCTTAAGTATTAACATCTATTATTTTTTTTAATTGAAATGCAGAGCTTTTTGGAAAAAAAAATATAAAAATAACAACCAGATATAGAATTTACTCATTAAGCTTATTTTAGAAAAACCTTTAAAAGTTGAAAAATTAGGATTTTTTTAAAATTTTAAATCCTGTAATTTTACTTTTAGGTTCTGATAACTATGCATGGAAATGATGACTTTGAGTTTGTTAGTGTTGGTGAGATGGGCAATGTCATGTCCTACACACCACCTATTCACAAAGGAGATCAAAAGACTATTCTGTTTGTAAGGACATTTTAAATTCTAGTCACACAAAAATAGATGGGTTACAACTGAAGTTGCTTTCATAAGAAACTGGCTTAAGATTCAGTTGCCTGGAGTACTATGATCCAGTCGGTAGAGTGATGTCCAAACCCAAGAACCCTGGTCACTACATCTCTCTCAGAATGCATATAATAATGTACCTGTTTAGCTGTTGAGACAGGTGTTTTCTAGAACATTACATCCAACAGAACTATTATTCTTTATTTCTATGATTGTTGCCATGTAACTCTCGGTAAAAGGAGAATAAAACATTGTATTAGTTATCTTTACTGAGCTTGTAAATGGGTTAAATTTAAGCTTCAACTAATTCTGAAGACTTAAGATTTTTTTTTCTCTTGTTATTAATTAAATTATTTTTTTTTTTAATATAGTTGGAGCCAGGTGAATCTAGGGATATTTATATGCCTATAGTAGCTAGTAAAGACATGGTGAGAGGAATTCTTCAATTTAGAGTTTCTGCAACTTGTTTTATGCAGAAAGATGAGTACAATGGAACTATGTATGTAAAGGTAAGGGTTGGTTTTTTTTTTCTTTAATCCTTTTAATGCTTGTTTTTAAAGAAACATTTTGAAAATGTGTATTTAATTCATTCCAGCTCAATAAGGCAGTCGATTATAATTTATCAATATTCGATCTGTAATGGGATTTAGGAGATATGGGTTAAGAATGATTTACATGTAGGATTTTTCTGTGGCTTATGACCCAGCAAGAAAACAGATTAATCTAACCAAACCTTATCTACCCACTCTTGTCTAGTCACTTGTTGATCAGCAACATTCCCTCTAAGGAACAGTACTTTTGGTTACCACATGATTTTTCTGTACATGGTGCTCCGAAACAACTTATTCGAGGTTATTTTACAAAATGACAGAACAACAGGTTTATAACTACAGTATGACCATCCAGCTTAGAAGGGAATGTTGTTGGTCAGTGCTAAGCCCAGCTGCGTGGTAGTCAGGTAGTCTACAGTGATGGATAGACTTAGTGGTGTCTGATGTACTGGCTGGTGGAGATTGGTGTAGTATCAAACCATCGACTCTTCCAGCTGTGAGGGGCCTCACGTGAAATCTATACAGTTCAAGGCTCAGCACTTTATATAAATATTTTTAAAAAAGCGTTTTAATAACAAGCTTTTATGTAATAATGCACTAAAAACTAGAAAATAAAGTATAGACTACTATTTAAATAATCAAAAAGAAAAGCGTGGATCTCTTCCTAAACATTAATAAAGGTGTCCAATAGATACTAAAGTGACCCACGCTTTTCTTTATAGTTATTTAAATAGTAGTCTATAAATTATTTTCTACTTTTTAGTGCATTATTACATAAAAGCTTGTTATTAAAACGTTTTTTATGAATTTTTTTTCAGTACTTTACATGTTTAATTTACAATAGAGTTACATGACTAAAAACCATTGCGTGCCTACTGAACGTGATGGCGCGCCTACTGAACGTGATGGCGCAGCTATTGAACGTGATGACGCGTGTGGTGTGGTTGGATAGACATGCCTACTAATTCGGTCCAAATTTTAATTAATTAATAAAAAATTAATTAGGCATCCAATTAAGTCAAATTTAATTTCAGATTGCATTGTCTTCATGTCTTGACCCACGTGCCAAATGTGAATCGTATCGGTCAAGTAGAAGTGTCCGAATTTTAAATCCGGCGTTTTGATCTAGACAGACAGACTGACGGCAGACTGACGACAGAGGAAGCGAGTTAAATAAAAGCTTGTAAAAAAATAAGTTATGAAAATAACCAGGACGTTTAATTTTTTTATATATCTTTTTACACGGCAATGAGAGTCTGTATAAAATATGACTTTAAAATAAGTCAGTCAATAAAAGACTTCAGAAAATGTCTACACCTCATCAAGCCAATTGAGACTAACAAACTTACACTAATACTTTGACACATTTTTCCCTACCACATTATTCAGTCTCTACCACATCATGTTTGCTCTTCATAAATAATCTATCACAATCCCCACATTCTAGCATTCCCAGAAAAATATGCATTCAGAAAACTGCGCAACGGAAAACTGTGCGTACAGAAAAATGCGCAAATACAAACTAATTATACTAAAACACTTTAATTTTGTTATATTTCATGGAAATATGTTTTATTAAGCGACAATGTACATGTAGTCACTCTTTGTTAATGTCTAGAAATGCATGATTTAAAAAAACTAAAATGTCCTCGCTCACGTTTATGTGCGCAATTTTCCGTTGCACATTTTTTCCGGTCACTCTAGCATACTAAATTCTCATACCCTCTAACTCACACTACACATGCTACTTTCACTTTCCAACAGTGTCCTATATACAAACTTGAACTATTTGATTAGCACACTGAAGTGGATTTGTACTTAGATAGATAATACAACAGACGAGGAAGCCATTTTTATGTACCTTGTTTATTGTGTATCGGAACGGAAACACATGACATGCAAGGGACATCACTCAAACATTATAAGACTAATACAAGAAGAGTGAGTTCCCCCCACAATAAAGCTCAATATATTACATCCCTTTACCCTTAGTAAATAATAACATAGCTTTCAAGAGAATAAATGATAGTATCCTAAAATCACCTTGCTATTTCCTTCTTTAGTTTAAAACATTAGAATTGCCAAGCAATAATAGAAGAAAGATTGAATAATGATCCCCTTTCAATTTATAACACTTCAAAAGTTAATACAAAACATTATATGCATTCCTTCCGAAATGTTAAACAATTTAATAAATCACTAAATATATTGTAACATGAGCATTATATGATTTGAATCATTTGGTAGATTAAATCCTTACAAACAAATGCAAAATATGCTACAAACATAATTAAAATACAATACAATGATGTCATAGTCCTCTTAACCTTTAAAATCAAAGGTCTAACTTATCTGGGACTTTGATTGTCCTGTTTGGCCTTCTCAGTGGCTGTTGATTTGGTGACTCAAAATTCTGACCATCTGGACTCTCTAGCTCAGGAAGTCCAGGATCTAAATAATTAATTCCAGAATTTACATTTTCTGACTCTAGAATACTTGGTTCACTCATATCAACAGAACTTGGTTGTGGAACAAACTGAGTTGGTGTGAACCGGTCAGATCTGGTGGGATTGATAGATTCACACTTATTATCTGCACAAGTTATTTTTAACTGGTCTGCATGTCTACGGACAATAAGTCCATTATTTGTTTTTACTTTATAAGACACAGGTCCTGTACATTGAACATTTTGACCTGGCATCCATTTTCCCCCTCTCCCATAATTTCTCAGATACACATTATCATTAACCCCAAATTCTCTCTCAATGGATGTTTTGTCATGATTTAATTTTTGTGTATGTTGATGTTGGGAAACAGACCTTTGAACAGTTGGATGTAGTAGGTCAAGGTGAGTTTTAATTTTCCTACCACACAGCAATTCGCATGGTGCAACACCTGTTGTTATATGAGGAGTTGTGCGGTATTTGGCTAAGAACCTGTTTACTCTTTCCCTGAGAGAAAATTTGTTACCGGTACCCATTTTTACCATAGCGGTTTTGAATATGCCTACCGCTCTTTCAGCCAAACCATTCCCAGCAGGGTGGTAGGGTGATGTGGTTATATGCCCAATACCATTTGCTACACAAAACAGTTTAAACTCATGAGCAGTGAAACTAGGCCCATTATCTGAAACAATTTGATCAGGTAATCCATGAGTTGAAAATATTTCCTTAAGTTCTATAATGGTATCAGTTGCAGTGATTGTGTTCATGATTTTAACTTCTAACCACTTAGAATGTGAATCAATAACAATTAAGAACATTTTGTTCATGAAGGGTCCCGCAAAATCTATATGGATACGTTTCCATGGTTCGATTGGCCAATCCCAGTTTTGCAAAGGTGCTGTAGCTGGTTGATTTGAATGTTGTGCACAGCTTGAACAAAGCTTTACATATTTTTCAATATCAGCATCCATATGTGGCCACCAGAACCACGATCGTGCAAGACTCTTCATTTTGGAAGAACCAAGTTAGGCACTTGTGACATGGTTGTAGAGGCACTGATCCTCCTGTGACAGCGTCAAAGTCCTTCTTTGTGATGACGGTTAGAGATGCTCCCGTGTCAAGTTGGAAGATGATGCTCTTACCGTTGATACAAATTAGTACATTGATGGGAGCATGACTTGTTGATTTCACAGAAAGCAGGTTGAACTCCGGCTGCGGATCAGTTCATTTTCACTGGTAGAGTGGTTCATTGGTTGGGTTAGGCTGTCTTGGTGACAGTTAACATAGTGCTGCCTTTGGTTGCGGTACTGTCCTGCCTGGCTAGATCTAGCAACAGACGAAGACTTTGCAAAGCAGGCCTTGGCAATGTGACCTTGCTTACTGCACTTATAGCAAGTTGCTGACTTGAACTTGCATTGATGAGATGCATGGGGATCGTTGCATCGATGACATTTTTGATAATTATTACTAGATTTAGATCTAGGATTTGAACTTGCAGGCTGTTTAGCATAAGTTGAACTGCTCTGATGGGGTTGGTGTTTGTTGACTGACCTGCTGTCTACTGCATGGATCCCTGAGCGCCAGAGATCTGGCCGCATCGGATGACTGCTGGAATGAAGTTGCAAGTTGTATTGCTTTTTCCAATGTTAAATCTGACTCGAGAAGCAACTTTCTTTGAATATCAGGGCTGTTTACACCTGTCACAAGCTTTTCAGACAGTCTGTCGGACAGCGTGTCACCGAATTCACAGAATTCACTTAGATGACGTAAAGCAGCAACATATTCTGATATTGATTCGTTTGGTTGACGAGTCCTACCGTCAAATCTGGCTCTACACAGGAACTTTGGTGGTGCAGGCGCATGATGATCTGTTAGGAGTTTGCTCAGCTCGTTAAAGCTCTTGGTAGCTGGACTAGCTGGTGCGCATAAGTCCTTTAATAGCCTAAATTGTTGAGGACCTATGACTGTTAACAAAACAGCTCTCTTTTTGGCTTCTATCGTCACGTCGTTAGCTTTAAGGTAAAAGCTTAACCTATCTAGATAATCATGAATGGTTTCGTCATTCGAATTAAATTCTTTTATCTGGCCATACAGCGCCATTATCCTACAAATATTTAGCAAATATGCTCTAGCAAGCTTCTTCTTAATTAAGCATGTGCTCTTTTTAGTGGATGATTTATCCTCGTCGCCAATGAAGTGGATTTGTACTTAGATAGATAATACAACAGACGAGGAAGCCATTTTTATTTACCTTGTTTATTGTGTATCGGAACGGAAACACATGACATGCAAGGGACATCACTCAAACATTATAAGACTAATACAAGAAGAGTGAGTTCCCCCCCCCCCCCCCCCACAATAAAGCTCAATATATTACACACACGGTGTCTCTCCCTTTTGATTACACTTATCCATTACAATAATGAGTGATAAACTTCATTGTGTTAAAATTCTGCTGTTTCTATTTTTGACAGCCTGATGGTGTGATGAACTACTACCACACGCCCTACCTGACTGATTTTATCCGTTACGAGCCTTCCGGATCACCCCAATTCGTCATTCCCGTGCCCGAAAGTTTCAGGAAACTTGAAGTCCCGTGGAACTTGTACATCCCTCAGTCTGCTGAGGCCAAGGTCTCCCTCTTTGGTGAGATTTGTTTGTTAATTTATGTTAGATGGAACTTCTCATGTTAACTGATGTAGAATGAGTTGAAATGGTGAACATCAAAACTGTAGCCTTTCAATCTTGTTCCTCCATAAGTACTAGTGATATGCTTTCATCTCCACTTGTGATTTCTGCATATAAAGGGATGGTCAGGAACTTGACATGCCTACTTGTAAGCCATGTACCAAACTGATCTGAGAAGACTTAGAGGCATCTCGACAAACTTAGAAACCTAGCTTGAGTTGTTTGAGTAAATAATTCTCCACAACACTTTTGTAATTTTAATAGTTAAGCTTAAGCAAAGGTGTAACAGGATGGTGTAGTCAAATGGTAGAGTTTACGACTGTTGACCCAAAGGTCTCGAGTTTGTATCTGTGGACATTCCTGAGTCCCACCCAGCACTGATTGGTACCTGTTAAGGAAACAAATGTAACTGGGCATACTACTGACCATAGTATCTCCCTGTATGCTGAGGTTATTGAAACATGAATTCTACTTCATCTGTCCCCGGTGTCTAGGGCATGAACGGGAAAAGATGATAGGTGTAAGCAAGATCTTCTTCAACTAAACACAAGCAAAATCCAAACTAATAGAAAACATGAATCAACTGTGTAATAGACAAAACTCTGTAACTCTTGTAAATATTGTTCCACATTTTCATACCCTGGCGATTTCCTCCATAGGTGATGTGGTGACACCTGGATTCTTTGAGGACTATCTACATGCTGAAAACACCATATTACGGCCTTACGGTGGAGGTGAAATGATTACTTACAATTTTGCCTACAATCTTTTGACATTGAAGTTTATGAAAGCATCACAGCAACTACCTGATGATCAGTTGATGAAATCTTTGAGGGAGATGAATATTGGTAAGTGTTGCTATTTTCAATAAAATTGTTCTTTATTTAGTACTGAATATGTCATTACACAAAAAAAATAAACCGGGAGTGATCTCCCCTAAACTTTCTCGAATATTTTTATATAAAATTACAGGGGATGGGAACTCGGGCTATAGACATGATTTTTAATCCATTTTAAATACTTAAAGTTTTAAAAATAGAATAAAATCTCGTAGACAAATTAATTGCACACCAAGTGAACGCGAAATAAAAAAGCGCATAATAGTGCGCAATATTATTAGTACTTTTAAAATTTACATTAGTTTTTTGAGAAATCGGAAGTAGCGTAAATTACTACTTCCTGTCAACGGAAATTACTCAAAATTTAACAGAAGGTAGAGAATTAGATCTTTTACTTACATGTGAAATTTCATTTATCTATCTGAAATAGTACTCAAGTTATAGGCTTTTGAAAAATTCAAAGTAGAAAAAGTACCACTTCCGGTTGTCGGAAATCGCTCAAAAGTTGATACGGATCTACGATTTTGATAAAATACTTATATATAAAATTTCATCAACCTAGCTGTAACGGTACTCAAGTTATCGTGTTTACACACGGACAGACAGACAGACAGACAGACACACACACACACAGACATACGGACAAGATTGCAAAATTATGTTTTTCCGTATCAGTGAGGTGTAAAACGTCGAGATTTGTAAAAATCTCGATTTTTTTTTTTTGCACGATTACAATACTTTCTCTATACTACGTATATACGAGAAAGTAATAAAACATCAAAATATTAAACTAAAGGGAAGCTATTCTAATTGAATCATTTTATTTAGAGACTAGAATCAAATAAATATATAAAAGAATACTAATAAAATTGTTTTTTTTTTTAAGTTCCCTAATTAAAAACACATTAAATATTTCTAAGAATCATTTACAATAGGTGGTGCCTGTTTTAAAGAAGATGTATGCTGTGCAAAATTAAATTTAATCGCAATGGATATAAAACACAATGTTTGACTTCTTGTTTTTTAATTTTCTAGCTCTGCAGCGTATACTTGGTTACATGAACCCTGATGGTTCCATGAAGATGTTCAGAGATGATCACAGGCCCAATTTATGGTAAAAAAATATTTTAGCTTGCTACATTTCGAGCTTCTACCATAGCATAATTCCAAGCCCTGTTTAATTTTTTTAGGTTTCTGCTTTATCCATGATGATAATATTGATTTGGACTGCTTCTGTAAAAACTTGATTCAGAACTTTTTAAGTTACTTAACTGGTTCTTTGAGATTTTACTCTTATCTAAATCTTATGATTTAATGATGACTTAAATTTCAGTATTTCCCTATCCGATGTTTAAATACATAAATTATCACTTTATTTATTTTCATATTAAAATAATGGCTTTGATTTTTGTTATTTATCCATTAATGTTAGTAAAATTGAACATACAAAAGGTTGTTTACAATTATATTTTAAATTTACTCTTATATATTTTAAAATTGATACATTGTGAACAATTGAAACGTCATTACTAAATCTTTTGTTCCTCTCAAATATTCAGGCTCACAGCCTTTGTGGCAAAAACTGTGGACGAGGCCAACTTTGGAGAGTGGCAGCAAGATCTTTTTATCCCCCGTGAGCTGATTAACAAATTGGTTCTGTACATCTGTTCTCGTCAGAATGATACAACTGGAGCCTTTGAACCTGATGAAAATGATGTCACTTATGACAGGAAGATGGTGTGTTTTTTTAGCTCATGCACTTTCTTTTATGCTCTCAAGCATGTAAGTCTGCAACAAAGCCCTTCACTTCTTTCTCAGCTTTCTTAGTTGCCCCTAGGTTTTAGCACGTAGGTCTGCAACAAAGTTTTCTCACTCTTTTCTCAGTTGCCCCAGTTTTGATGTGCTCTCTTTTTTAAGATATCCACGGTTCGTCACCAGGTTTCTTTGGTTACCTTTTCATTTCTTTTTTTACCATATTTCCAAAGAAGGAGTAAAGTTGATTATTTTTTAACTTTCTTTTCCAGATGTTTTTTATTACTTTTATTTGTATTTTCACTGGTGAAGGGAGAACTAATTATATTAATAAATTCAACATAATTTAATATTAGTGGACACAGATTACTAAAATAACAAAAATAAACTTTTAAATTAGATAAAAACAAACAAGTGTAAAGTTGTAAGCTTATTTTGTTTTTTGCTATTAAAAATGTATGATTTTTTTATTCCCCTTGTGTAGACTCTTGTATCAGGCCTGAAAGATGACAAACTTCGCTCACATCCAGTCCCACTGACAGCTTATGTTTTGATTGCTCTATATGACGTACAGCATTCATCAGAGGTAATATGTACTTTTATATGCTATAACACGCACATGAGAAACAATTCTATTATCTATACATAAAGGCCTACAATCAAATTTAAGTTAATTACATGTATACAATTTATAATTAACTATATAATACATACAAAACATATATTGAAAGAAACTTACACCATCACTATAGAAGTTATTATCCTACCTCACAGTAAATAATAAATGGTTAAAGACTAATTTATATAATTAATCTCAATTATGTAATTGATACCAACATTAATAACCACCTACTTTGTTCTTTGTCTTTTATTAACCTACTTTTTAAAAATCTCACATCCTAGGAAGCTGCTGCTTGTATTGACACCGCTAGAAGAAAGGCTGCAGATTATTTATTCAACCAAGTGCCAAACATCAAAGAAGTTTTCCACATGGCTATCACCACCTACGCTCTCACTCCTCACTCGCAGTCCCAGAAGAAGCCCCTTCGACCAGCTGTGGGCCATGAAAAGAAATGACGGTGAGATGATAATGTTTTAGGTTCCCAGAAAGATGCGCAACGGACAAAAGCGCAACGGAAAAAAGCGCAAAAAATGCGCAACGGAAAAAACTGCAAACAGAAAAAAGTACAAACAGAAAAAACGCACACAGAAAATAGCGCACACCGAAAAATGAGAATTCATTGAGATAAGTTACATCTCTTGTGACCGCCTTAATTAGTACGTTGGGCTTGTGTGCATACTCAGTTCCGACTAACTCAATTACATGCTATTTATTCTAAAATGACAAGGTTTGCCTATATAAGAGCTATGGTTGTTGATATCATTTTGCATTCGTCCGGTTAACATTTTCAGAAAAAAAATACCTTCAAAAACCTTTTTATAAGGAAACAAAGAGAGAAGACGTTTTATTATTACATCAGGCTTTGACTCAGACCTACTTCAATGGCTTCTACATTATCAAACTGATTAACTGTTTAATGTAGGGCTCAGTTGACTCAATGAACTAACCTTACGCCAAAACCAGTTTGAAACTTTGAGTTTTTGTAACACCCTTACTTAGCTAGCAAAATGAAAATGTGCATAATCTATATCATCTACACAAACACCTAACTACCCACCCACACATCTACCCACGCACCCACCTAACAACCTAGCTATCAACCAACCCACCCACTTACCCACCTACCAACCCGTATATATATATATATATATATATATATATATATATATATTATATATTTATATATATATATATATATATATATATATATATATATATATATATATATATATATATATATATATATATATATATATATATATATATATATATATATATATACGTAGGTAGTTAGGCAGGTAGGTGCGTCATGATGAAATAAGATTAAAAACAGCATTATGATGTGCTCTTCATCAGGGTGTTTTGGTGCGAATGATTGTTGGTGCAAGAGATATAACGAATGCATGGTTGATGACGCGGATGAAAGAGAGTGAAGTTTTGCGATAGGAAGGAGTGTAATGGTAGGCAAGCTAAGGAGTTCGGACTAGGGAGAATGTGAGAGATACAATGTGTAACGCCTATATCAAGGATAGTTTTATGTCTATTTAAACGAGAGTAGTAGTTGAATAAATATTGAACAAGAAAATAATAGGCATTGTGTCAAGCGATTATCGCCTGTATCGTTGTGATGTGAATGCTCATGGTAGTGGTATTCTTTAAATGGTAGTATATCGCGTCAGGTCAAACACAATACTCTCACAGCAGCCCTAACAATCATGTATAAATGTGTGATCTAGTCCATATAGGTCTTTGCTAAAATTTCTCTTTGCGCATTTTTCAGTGTGCACAAATTTCTGTTTGCGTTTTTTTTTCTGTTTGAGCTTTTTCCAGGTTGCGATTTTTTCTGTTTGCGCTTTTTTGCGCATCTTTCTGGTCACCTATTTCTTAATGAGTAATATGTATCATATGTATATGGTTATTTTTATTTACTGGCAAGCAAGATCTCTTTTTTCATATTATATGATTTGAACTTTTAATATAAGAATTATTGTAACTTTAGTGTTGTGCATTCGGTGTACGCTGCACTAGGTATCAACAAAAACATTGCATGTTGTGGATTTTTTGTGATAAATTTTGGGGGCCTCGGTGTCAGGCAGGTAGCAAATACCCTAGCAACAAAACTAATTTGGTATGGTGACAGCCATTTATGCAACTATGGTTAAAGGATTTTAATAGTCGAAGACCTTTTGTAAAAGTGATAAACATCAAGAAATATCCACTCCATATATTCTCCTGAGGAGCAAAGGGCTGTAGCCACACATTTCCACCACACGCTAGGTTTAGGGCAGCTCTTTATCTGTGCCGACATAATCATGGCAGCCCTTGCCTCACCTTCTACTACCCTTCTCCACTAGTTCCTTTGGCTGCCTACTTGCCTTTTTCCCTGTGGATTCCAGTCTAACACTTTCCTGACGATGTTAACCTCTCCCCTTATCAGGCTTTGTGTCATCCATCCCCATTTGTGGGCTTTAATGTCCCTGTCTATTGGCTGTGTATATAGAAATGTCCATTCCATTTATTCCTTTGTGGCCCCTGATGAGCAAAGTTCGCCAGTTACACCTGTCTATTGTTGTATCTAGAAATAACCTTGTCATTCCTTTATTTCAGATGTTTTTATGTACTTTTCCGAGGACATTGTTTACCCAAATCCATTTGACTTCCTCAACAACGTGAGGTACATCAAACCAAGGCAGGAGCTGATGAACGACGCCTACTCTGTTCAGTCCACGGCATATGCCCTCATGGCGCACATCAACTACAACAGTGGATTGAAGGTCCACAGAGAGATGATGATGTCCTGGTTGTGTACTATGAGAAATTCTATTGGTGGCTTTGCTTCAACACAGGTGGGGAAAAAACTTGTTTCTTTTTATAGTTTATGGATATAGGGCATCAACTATTTTTGTTTATTATTGCCTTAAAAGACTACAGTAAAACAATCATAGTTCAGTCTCATTCTGAAACAATTTTTCTGTTTAAAATGGTGTTGTGGCCGTCTAATTACCGGTAACTCAAAAGTATGGGTGCAAAACGACTCAATACGCCATTTACTTTTCACTTATTCATAAGTCACCGTTTCTTGTTTTACATTTAAAATTATCATATAGTAAAGTAATGACATTGTCATTGGAAGATCGTTGAACAATAAAATACTTACAACCAGAGGATTTTGTTTAAATGTTTGCTGTTAATTCTTTATCAGGATACCATTTTGGCCATGGAAGCTCTGTTCAAGTTCACCCAGGTTGACCCCCATCTTAATGTCTATGACTTAACCACCACGATTGAATCCACGGCTTCTCCAAACTGGCAGAGTGTTTTCACTCTACAGAAACTTGACTATATCAGCTTGAAATCTGCTACAGTAAGTACTTGGCACAGTGGTATTAACAAATAGAGATTAAATATTAGAATTAGCCAACACTGAAAAGTCTATATGCCTTACAAAGACATTTTTGTTTGTTTAGTAGTCAGTGCAAAATGTTTTATATTTAATTTCTGCTCAGTAATTGCCTTACTGTTTTATTTTCAATCTTAGTAGAGAATCTTATCGTCTTGTTTTTATCCTTTAGTTGCCATATGATAGTGTATGGGGATTTATTGTCTTTGATGCTGTTGGTACAGGCAGAGCCATGCTTCAGGTAAACTTCACATCAATTAGAAATTCGGAGTTTCTATTCACTACTTGTACTAACCCTCTTACACATCATTTTAATTTACCTCTCTGCCACATCATCTGTATTTCCTTTTTCTGTTCATCTGAATTGTTTATGAGGGACTGAACATACAAATATACTACAGGTCTAGAAGATGCAGGCCTACTACCCAAAAGATATTAAAATTGACACTAACATGTTTTCTTATTAGCAGTGATATTACATTGTACATTAATATGTTTCATGTTCATTTTTTAGCTAACAACAACAGTGAATGTTGAATACGATTTTCTGCAAAAAATGCCGATGCCTGTCGAGAACGATATGAACCAAGACGTAATCAAGTTTTTTGCCCTCTATCCAGATGTGGTTAAATTCAGTGGTAGGAACAACTCTATTTTTGAGATGAAACTTTGTATGAGGTGAGTTTGTGTGTCTAGTCTTATGTATGTATTCAAATGTAAAAGTAAAGTACTCTTTCAAACTTGATGGTCAATGTGGCTGTTAAGATTTCACCTGTTTTAAGGAGTTGGTCAGCACTATGCCCTGCCCTGCTCGTCCCTGCCCCTCCCCAACAAAACTCGATTTATTTATTTTTTGGTGTAAATAAATCAGCTTTGAAAACTGAAAAAAAAAATATGTTAACTTCTTGTGATTAAATTAATATGCTGAAAAAAAAAGTCGTTTCATTAGTTTTGTTTTGAACAATTTTTTTCCATTTTGCTCCCCAGTTGGTTGTACACTGAAAAAAGCAAGACCTCTGGCCTAACTGTGATGGAAATTGACATCCCTACTGGGTACGTTGTGATGAACGACACTCTGAGAGATTACGTCAAATCGGGGGTGGTCCCCAATCTGAAGAGAGCTGAGCACTACCAGAGAAAAGTCGTCTTCTACTTCGACTATGTGAGTGATAATTTCCTAGTGGTGTTTTGTGGTAACTTTTTCACTGGTGTTTACATCAGATAGCTGTGAGATTTGTAGAGAATGGAGAAGATATTTAAATTGTTATATTGTGTGCCTTGCATTAAGGAAAGTAAAATATACCTATGACTAAATGTATCAGTTTTGAAATTTAAATTTAGGTTGAATTGAGGTACATGTTGACTTTAAAGATTTGCTTAGTTTAGCTGTGTTATAACTTGGTTTTTTTTTCATTAGTTGACCAGTTTTCAAAACTCAATACTGTTTGTTTAATACAAACACATTGCTAACTTTACTTTAACTGAGAAGCATAGCCCAACCATTCATCCATCCAAGTGTTCTTCTGTGTGGCTCTGCAGGTTGACCATGGAGATCTTTGGCCTGCTTTACCACCTTTTGCTGTCTTCTTCTTTAGAGCCTGTCTAGGTCTGTCACCAAAACATCTATTCATCTCAGCCTATGCTGGCCTTTTGGTTGTTCCCTTTGGGGTTTTGATTATATACCACTTTTACCTCCCTGTGATCAGTCATTCTTTATAGATGACCTAACTACTGCAGTCTTCCTTTTTTCAAATCCCCCAACCATTCTAGTGTCTCCCATACAGTTTTCGAAGTAACGTACCCCAGGTGGACCTTTTTTTTAAATGAGGATATTTTTATACCACACACAAATTGCTTACTATTTCCCACATTCAACATTTATGAGTTCTGTCCGTCATTAATAAATATAATAAATACTTAGACCTATAAAGATAACACAATACAATAAATAAAAACAAACTAATATATAATTATAATAAAATGCTTTTATGAGTTGTAAAAGTTCTACTACACCTTTTCCCTCCCAACCAGCTTGATGAAAGCAAGACTTGTGTTTATTTCCGAGCTGACCGATGGTACCCTGTCGCCAATGCCACAATCCAGCACCGTATGAGGGTGTATGACTATTACGAACCAGGTATGTTTTAGTCGTGTGTTAACCAAAAGAAAATATAGACCCAATTTAATTTTGGGAAACACCTCTATAAAAATGTCAAGAAAGAAAATCAGGAATAATTTTAACATAAGTTTTTTTCTGAATGAAGCCTACAATATAATGTATATTTTTCCTATATTGAAAAGAAAATTTGATGTTGAAGTTTCAAATTTATAGTTTTTATTTTTTTTATTTCTATTTTTTTATTTTTTTCTAAAGGTATAGTTAGATTTTTAAAAACATTTTACTAATAAAAAAGTTTAATTTTACATCATATTATTTTTTAATGTTTATACATTTTTTCCTACAGGCATGCATAATACAACAATGTATACTACAAGAAACTAGTTCCTGCTCAACAATTGCTTTGTGTGTGGGTCCTACCAGTGCCCCTATTGTCCTTACTCTAAACCCATATCCTGCTAACGTCCCACTTATGGGACGCTTGTTAAAAAAAATGCTGAAATTAATTAAAAACTATTTAAAACACGAATTATGTTTCAGTTTATTTGAAAATGGTTAGACTATTGAATTTGTGTGGGTTTTGTGAAAAATTAAATTTAGTTAAAAGTTATTGTGCCGGTTTTTGCTAGACTTGTCAAAATGGCGGAAAAAGAAAACACGTGCACAGGAAAATCATATATTTTTAAATATTAGCATTTTAAGCGCAAAATACTTTTGAAACTTCTAGCAGTACCATATTTCTACCTGATAAAAATTTAAAAGTAGCAATTTTTTAAACTACTTCTTTATATAAAATGTACAACAAGCGTCCCATAAGTGGGACGCTAGCAACGAATGGTCCTATGTAGATTGTTGCACAAGGGTCATATTTATTAAAACATTAGCGAGAAACACAGAAGCAAATGTTTATGTTAAATGGTTATTTATGATGAAACAATGGTTATTTTTTGTTAACAGTTGACTTTGGGGTGTTAAGTAGTATTTTATCATGACCTTGACCTATATATTACTTATATATTACTTTATTTAAAAAAATTGAAAATAATAAATAAAATATATTTATTTATTTTTTGAAAAATTTACAATTTATTTCTAGGTTTTCAAAATTACTAATCTATTGAATATACTAATTTAGTCATGCTGTAAACTGAACAGCATAGGATATTAAAATTATAAAAAACCAGAATAATAACGGTCACGATTTAGGTGAAAAGATTCAGTCATTGGGTTCGGTCAACAACAGAAGGAGATACTGGTCAACTCTCTTCATATCAGGGAGCTCAAGCTACTGATAGCAGAAACGGGACTTAGCGATGTAATGTTGTCATGCCCCAATAATATTCCCCTCCAAAGGTTCCCCATACCAGTTTTACTTTGTTAACTTTTACGAGACATTTTAGTGAGATTGCTGGCAGAGGCGTAGCGACCCTTCCCTGGCGCCCGGGGACTAACTTTTGATTTGCACCCCCCTTCAAACTTTCGATTTGCACCCCCCCCCCCTCAACTTTTAATTTGCACCCCCCCCCCCCCTCAAACTTTTAATTTGTTTTTCCAACCCATTTTGGCGCCCCCCTAAGGTCGGCGCCCGGGGACATATGTTCCCCGCCCCCCCCCCCCCTCGCTACGCCTCTGATTGCTGGTGCTAGATTGGGAGCTGTTTGGATAGTGAAGTGGATGAGAGGCATGAACACCCAAAACATGCTACAAGCAACGGATCCAGGCCCTAGAAATGAGATATCTCATGTTTTAATGTACTTCAGTGAAGGGGGGGGGGGGGGGGGAGTAGATAGCGAGGGTAAAAAAGGATAAAATGGCTGAATGACATTGGGGACGGGACCCGATCGTCTTTTGCAAACTCTCTGAGGGCACCAGACGGATGGCAAGGCATTGGGGCATAGGCAACCATGGTGCCTCAACAACCGTCTGACAGATGTAGAGAATAGGATGATAGAATAGCTGTTCTATACAATGCAATTATCTAAAAGTACGAAAACGTTTGATATAATGGAGTTGTATAGCCTGGTTGTAGATCAGGGGTCTCCAAACTACGACCCGCGGGTCGATTGCGGCCCGCGTGGTCCTCTCATCCGGCCCGCGGAGATGGTTTTCTTCACGGAAAAAAAATGTTTGAGGAAACATTCAAAACAAATCGAAAATGTAGAATTGGGTGCAATTACCTTTGATATAAATGTGACCAGCTGCCCAGCAAATGATCTCCTTAGAGACAAGTTCAAAAAAGGGCGGGTGGGTTTTATAAGTATTTGCCTAAGGGAGACTTTCCTAATATTACAACTTTTGCATCACATTTCCTTTAAGAGATGTTCTTTGGGGGGGGGGGTGTTCCGACACCCCGAAGAGATGCCAAAAGAGATGCCCCCGAACTTGTATTTGATAACAAATGCGGCCCTCGGGCTGAAAAGTTTGGAGACCGCTGTTGTAAATGTATATAAACTTAGGTCTGGTGTTTTGCAAAGTCATAAACCCTAAGACATTAAATTAAAAATGACAGACTAAATTCAATAAACATTCTTTGTGGCAAATCGTATCAACTCATCGCTCGTTTTATCAAAAGAAGGGGCAGCCAATATGTCAAAAAATGTGTGTAATCTAATGATCCTTATCTTAAACAGTTCAACAACAATGCATTTTCAATATATATATATATATATATATATATATATATATATATATATATATATATATATATATATATATATATATATATATATATATATATATAACGGCTAGTGACAAAACGGCCTCATCAAAAAGACCCCGACAAAGTGGCCCTCGATAAAAAAGACCCAGTCAAAATAGCCCAGTCACATAGGCTCCTATCAAATGGGCGCGTGTCATAATTGACTCGCGACATATAGGCTTCCGACAAATGGACTACCGTGATTTAGTAAACCAAATTTCAACATAAAATTAATTATTCATATTTATTTATAATACATTTCGATGAACAATAACAATACGAATATACTTAGATGTATCAGTCAGAGCTTTAGTTATTTCTTCCAAGTGTTATTCACTTTGATTGATACAAGATTGAAAGATAACTAGAAGAAACCAAATTTCCGCTTTTTAGACCATGGTACGGCTAACCCAATTAAACATTATTGGTATTTTTAGTTGTCATTTTAGAAACAGCTGGCTAGTTTTTGTAAGAGAAAAACAGCTGATATATATTTTTCAAATTTTCAAAGTTTCTTTATGGTGAAATTCCGTTAAATTAAGCATTAATTTCAATGTAATTTCTCCATACCAAATTTTGAAAATTCAAAAAAATATTTCTAGAGTGTTTTCAGTTAGAAAAACTAGCCAGCTGACTATATTAGTGTTAGTACAAGAAGGATCAATGATTATATAGGCGGTATATATGTTACTTTATGACATTTTAGAACTCCACAAAAGGTAGTTTTTTCCAAGATGGCAGCCGTTGCCATGACAACCATATTTTCAAAAGAGTTCTTGATGCTTGCAAATATTTTCCTTTAAGTACCCTAAGATATACATAAATAAATCAATAAAACGTTTTAATTGAGAAGTTGGTTTTTTCGGCAGCTTACCCCCTTAAGAAGTTTAACTACGACTTACTGTTTACAATTGTTTCTTTTACAGTAACTCTTTGTAGGGGAGATGGTGGTGGTCTTGGTAGGCCTTAGTTATATTTGGGGAAGAACTCTGGCTTTTACTTATCTTCATCCTTACTATAACAAAAATGCATTCTATAACTTTCTTATCTCCCCCTTCTCTCACCCCCCCCCCCCCTCCCTGTATAGTTTCAGACGGTTGCATCATTTAATGATTTATTGAAAAAGCTAAAGATAAAAGGGAAGGAACTCAAATAAAACAGAAAAAATTAAATCGGTAACAGTTACCTTTCATGAAATAACACGGTAGATAACTCAATATCAATTTACAAAACTAAAGAATAGTGTTCGAAATAGAATACACAACAACCAAATCGTCAATGATTTCCATTAATATTTTCAAGAAAAATATCATACAAAGTAACTGTATAAAACATGGTCAGAGGTACATAATTGTATTAAAAACTGCTTACCTACAAAACTTCACTTCAGAAACCCAAAATAAGCTAATTCCTTTCCTTCAACAAAATAACAAAATTTAGCCAGATCTTTCTTCAAAATACTTATAATAATATAACATAGCATCAATTTGACCAGCATGTTGTAATCATGAATAGACTATAAAAATTCTATGAGAAAAAGTGCACTTTCTCCAGCAAAAAGACAAAGTGCTCATACTGAAGACTGACTGACACACTAACTGGCAGCTTATATTATTGATATGTATTAAAAACTAAAATTTGTTTTATAAAAATTTTATTAAACCTATTCACTGGTTGTTTTTTTTTAAAAATGAGTTACAATTTAATTACATTAATTAAAGATTTTAAATTTTAAAGTTAAAAATTGTAAAAAAAAATATATATATTAACATTTGAAAAAAGCAAAAAAAAAGGAAAACAAAGAAAAAATATTTATTTGTTAGTCATGGATTTCATATGTTTTTCTGTTAAAAAAGTCACAGAATTATCGAACATAAAAAGAGACACACATGGCAATATACATGCAAACAAGCAGACATAAATGCAAATAGACAATCCAGTGGTAAGGGAATTTTTCATTCACAGATTATGTTTTTTCCAGGATTTGAATAAAAAATGAACTGTTGAAACATAATACAATTGTGAGTTTAAATTACCCAATCATTTCCATTAAACATTTTTTTAATGGTTTAAATGTAATGTACAAAATTCTATTTGGAGATCACTTAATTATATGAAACAATCATTTAATGTTAAATGTTCTTTGTAACAAAAAATACATGTGGAATAATCATGGAATGTGAAATGTTTTAGTAAATTAGTAACATGGAGCCTAGCAATAGTTTTTTCACATAATAATACACATGCAAACAATTGTATCTAACATGAAGTGCTTTATTAAACTACAGACAATGATGTAGGCACACATGTGAAAAACAATAATCAAGTGTGAAATAGACTATTTTACAACAGACAAAATCAAATCAAATATGTGAAAAAATTCATCTATTGAAAGATGATTTAAGTAACTATAGACAATAACAAATCACACATGTGAAGAAAAAGTCTAATGTTAAATACTCTATTTAAGTGTAAATAAATTTAATGTGGTAATAGGAAATGCTGTATGTAACTATAGACAACATCAAATAATGAGAAAAAAATCATGAAATGTGAAATGCTCTATGTTACTATAAACAATAAAATGTGGAAATAAAAATTTTAATGAAATACTGTATGAAACTGTAGACAACATTAAATCATAAAATGTGAGGGGGGAAAAAATCACGTAATGTGAAATGCTCTATGTAACAATGACAAGACAATCACCAACAAACATAAGCCTAGACTGGCCCTGGCCACGTATGCTGCGTTGAAGTATGGACAGTAAGGACACTGGTAGGACCCACATACAAAACAGATGTTCATCAGGAAAAGGTTCTGCACTGTGTATAACCTGGTCCTGTGCATACCTGGACAAGGGGAGAGAATACAAACGTGAACACAGTTTAATATGAAAGGGACAGTTTTGGGTATTAGAAAGTTATAGGTAATTTTATTTTAAATCTATCTCTTGAATATCATGTAATTATTTGGGATGTAAATTTAGTTGTAAGTATTATTTCCTTTATTATTACTATTATTTAAAATTTTAACTGGTCAGGGAAACAACTAGAATATTTCAATTAGATATTACACTTCCAATTATTATAGATATATATATAGAATAAAGATTTGTCTCCCTTCCTTTTTAAAACCTACATGGATTTATCTATTGAGAAAATTCAAGCTTTAAATAAACCGGGAGTGATCTCCCCTAAACTTTCTCGAATATTCTTATATAAAATAACAGGGGATGGAAACTCGGGCTATAGACATGATTTTTAATCCATTTTTACTTTCTCGTATATACGTAGTATAGAGAAAGTATTGTAATCGTGCAAAAAAAAAAAATCGAGATTTTTACAAATCTCGACGTTTTACACCTCACTGATACGGAAAAACATAATTTTGCAATCTTGTCCGTATGTCTGTGTGTGTGTGTGTCTGTGTGTCTGTCCGTGTGTAAACACGATAACTTGAGTACCGTTACAGCTAGGTTGATGAAATTTCATATATAAGTATTTTATCAAAATCGTAGATCCGTATCAACTTTTGAGCGATTTCCGATAACCGGAAGTGGTACTTTTCCTACTTTGAATTTTTTAAAAGCCTATAACTTGAGTACTATTTCAGATAGATAAATGAAATTTCACATGTAAGTAAAAGATCTAATTCTCTACCTTCTGTTAAATTTTGAGTAATTTCCGTTGACTGGAAGTAGTAATTTACGCTACTTCCGATTTCTCAAAAAACTAATGTAAATTTTAAAAGTACTAATAATATTGCGCACTAATATGCGCTTTTTTTATTTGCGTTCACTTGGTGTGCAATTAATTTGTCTACGAGATTTTATTCTATTTTTAAAACTTTAAGTATTTAAAATGGATTAAAAATCATGTCTATAGCCCGAGTTTCCATCCCCTGTTATTTTATATAAGAATATTCGAGAAAGTTTAGGGGAGATCACTCCCGGTTTATAAATACTTAAAGTTTTAAAAATAGAATAAAATCTCGTAGACAAATTAATTGCACACCAAGTGAACGCAAATAAAAAAAGCGCATATTAGTGCGCAATATTATTAGTACTTTTAAAATTTACATTAGTTTTTTGAGAAATCGGAAGTAGCGTAAATTACTACTTCCAGTCAACGGAAATTACTCAAAATTTAACAGAAGGTAGAGAATTAGATCTTTTACTTACATGTGAAATTTCATTTATCTATCTGAAATAGTACTCAAGTTATAGGCTTTTAAAAAATTCAAAGTAGGAAAAGTACCACTTCCGGTTATCGGAAATCGCTCAAAAGTTGATACGGATCTACGATTTTGATAAAATACTTATATATGAAATTTCATCAACCTAGCTGTAACGGTACTCAAGTTATCGTGTTTACACACGGACAGACACACAGACACACACACACACAGACATACGGACAAGATTGCAAAATTATGTTTTTCCGTATCAGTGAGGTGTAAAACGTCGAGATTTGTAAAAATCTCGATTTTTTTTTTTTGCACGATTACAATACTTTCTCTATACTACGTATATACGAGAAAGTAAAAAAAAGAGGGAGACAAAGTTTTTAGTTGTGTATATCTAAAAATACTGAAAAATGTAATAACTAAGTGAAATATTTTAGTAAACAATGAATAATGTATACTATTAATAAATTACTTCTAAAATAACATTAAAAGTGTAGCATCTCTTTTTCCAATTTAATGTGTAAAATTTCTAAATCAGGACTTTGGCAACTAATTCATCATATTGTGTATAATATAAACTTTAAAAATTAAATAGATAAAAATATTTTTATGTTTCCTCATACCTGGCTCATAATAATCATAAACTCTAATCCTATGTTCTCTGGTAGTGTTTGCAATGGGATACCACCGGTCACCTCTAAAGTCAACACAGGTTTTACTTTGATCCAGCTGAAAGTTAAAAGACAGTGAAATTTTTGTCAAGTTTTTTGCTTGTTTTAATTGAATTTATATAAACTTTTTAAAAGCATCTATTAAAATTATTCATAACATCGCATGCAAGTTATTAAATTATTATTTTTTTTATTAATATGTATTTATAGATTATCAAAAATAAAAATTTTATTGAAATTTGTAAAAAAACAAAATTATATCATACAAAAACTTTTTTATTTATATATTTTAATAATATGAAATATCTCAATTGAAAAAACTTGATTATTGAAAAATAATTTGACAGTAGCCTAAAAAATTTCAGGATAAATGTGTTGATTTTAAAAATACAAATATTTTTTCCCTCTGTGTAAAAGATTAAACACATACAAGTAAAACAGAAAACTTATGTATTCAATGTACTCACATAGTACACATAAAGCAGAAGTCAAACTTTGTGTCATTACAATAATCTCACATAGTAACATAAAGCATAAATTACCCTTGTATCATAACAAAAAATTCACATAGTACACATAAAGCATAAGTTACCCTTCGTATTGCAAAAATAAACTCACACAATAAAGGTAGAAGACAACATTTGTATTGTAATAATGGACTCACATAATCAAAGTAGAAGACAACACAACCTTCATATTGTAACAATGGACTCACATAATCAAATAAGAAGACAACATTTGTATTGTAACAATCAACTCACATAATCAAAGTAGAAGACAACCTTCATATTGTAACAATCAACTCACATAATCAAAGTAGAAGACAACCTTTGTATTGTAACAATGGACTCACTTAGTAAAAGTAGAAGACAACCTTCATATTGTAACAATCAACTCACATAATCAAAGTAGAAGACAACCTTCATATTGTAACAACTCACATAATCAAAGTAGAAGACAACCTTCATATTGTAACAACTCACATAATCAAAGTAGAAGACAACCTTCATATTGTAACAACTCACATAATCAAAGTAGAAGACAACCTTCATATTGTAACAATCAACTCACATAATCAAAGTAGAAGACAACCTTCATATTGTAACGATCAACTCACATAATCAAAGTAGAAGACAACCTTCATATTGTAACAACTCACATAATCAAAGTAGAAGACAACCTTCATATTGTAACAACTCACATAATCAAAGTAGAAGACAACCTTTGTATTGTAACTATGGACTCACATAATCAAAGTAGAAGACAACCTTTGTATTGTAACTATGGACTCACATAATCAAAGTAGAAGACAACCTTCATATTGTAACAATTTACTCACACAAATTAGAAGACAACCTTCATATTGTAACAATCAACTCACATAATCAAAGTGGAAGACAACCTTTGTATTGTAACTATGGACTCACATAATCAAAGTAGTAGACAACCTTTGTATTGTAACTATGGACTCACATAATCAAAGTAGAAGACAACCTTCATATTGTAACAATGGACTCACACAAATTAGAAGACAACCTTCATATTGTAACAATCAACTCACATAATCAAAGTGGAAGACAACCTTCATATTGTAACAATCAACTCACATAATCAAAGTAGAAGACAACCTTTGTATTGTAACAAGAAACTCACATAATCAAAGTAGAAGACAACCTTCCGACCGTAAAACTCAGCTCGCTTGAGGTTGGGCACCACCCTAGACCTGACGTAGGACCTGAGTGTGTCGTTCATGACAATGAAACCTGTGGGGATGTCCACTTCAAGGACAGCTAGGCCAGAGGTCAAACTTCTCTCTGTGTACAGCCAGCTGGAGCAGACAGAGGATGTCAGGGTCAGTCATTTTTATTGAATAAATGAGCAGATAAAAGTAAAATTTTAAGAATATTGTGGTGATGTAATGTGTATGAAAGGTGAATACGTGGAACGGGTCACTGCGTGTGTGTATGTAGCATGTAGTGAGACGCGAGGCCGGGTGTGTTGACGTGTATGTTGTTGTACGGAGTGAACGAGGGTACACATTGTTCTAACTATATGTTTTATAGATTTAAAAAATCACTTTACTATATAATGTTCTAGCTATACATAAGTCTTGTTAAAGTTTTGTAGATTAAATATCCTAATTCCATCAATCAGTCTATCTACAACTCAGAGAATTTAAATTTTCAAGGAAGTGATTTTTATTATTCTACTTACATTTATTATAGATTAAAAAATCATGTTTCTTTACAATGTTCTATCTATAAATAAGTTTTGTTAAGGTTTTGTACATTAAGTATCATGTTTTCAACAATTAGTCTATCAACAACTCAGATAATTTAAATTTTCAAGGAACTGATTTTAATTGTTCTATATTTATTATAGATTAAAAAATCATGTTTCTTTACAATGTTCTATCTATAAATAATTAATGTTAAGGTTTTGTACATTAAGTATCATGCTTCCATCAATTAGTCTAGCTACAACTCAGAGAGCTTAAAGCTCATGATTCTTAGCTCTTGACCTTCACCTGACACAGGAAGTAAAGAGCATGATGGAGTCGTTGCGTCCTGACCAGCTGGTCTGTATCTGCACATCAAAAAACTGGATCAGATCCTCATCCGGTTTATTGTCGTAGTGCTGCTGTGTTTTCATCAGTTCTTCATACTCAACGTTAGCAGTGACAGTCAACTGGAAAAGTTACAACTGTCATGAAAGTTGATAGGAAACACAGATATTCTTTTCAAACTTCATTAATGAATGTAAAATATGTTCTCAGAACTTTTTTATGAATAACTAACTAGAAAAGTTTAACAAAAAACAGAAATATGAAGCTTATCATGCAGATTTTTAAAACTTATAGTAATTAAACTATAATTAAAATTTGTTATTCTGTTGCGATTGAGTTTTCACTGATTAAATTATAAAATGTCAGCTAAAATTTATTCATCTCAAATTTTTAAAAAACCCGCAGGAAACATAATTTAAAACAAATAAATTTTCTGTAATTTCCAACATTTCTTAAATCTCTATTTTATAAAAACAAAACAAAAAATGATTGTACAACCTGTAGCATGGCACGACCAACACCTTGAGCTGTTGGGATAACAAAACCGTACACTCCATCCATTGGCAACTAGCAAAATGAACATTAGAGAGTTACAGTTATCTGATATATTGAGTCTTAGAGTGTTACAGGTATCACATATGTGGAATTACATGTTTATTATTAAATAAAAAAGAATTTTAAAAACAAACTTTTTAAAATGAATAACTTTGTTGGTGTGCAGCACTTTAAAAATCTGGTAATATAATTAACTAATATCAAATTGCACAGAGGTTTTTTACACTTTTTCAAAAACTGTAATAAACGTTGAATACCTAATGCTGGTCCACCTTATTTATGATTGGTAAAATAAAACACATTTGTAAAAATGTTGCCGTTTAGAGAGGGGAGGGATAGTGTAGATAAAGTGTGACATCCTATTAATAGGGTAGGGAAAGGGGTCTGTTTTTTTGTGTCAGAAGATGATGGGGATAGAAGACCCCTTTCATGGAATAATGATATTGTTTTACTTATAATGTAGAGAAACCCTGCATCTCAAGAGTGATATATATGTATTATACTTAATGAAAAATGATGATAAACATCCAATACTGCTTACAAATATTCTGCGCAGGTCAGTGAAACTATTCTGGGCAACCTGGATCACTGACTGCCAGCCTGCCGAGCCCATGGACTCTAAAACAACTGACAGATCAAACTCATTTCTGTTGAAATCCTGTAAGGTGTATCTCCATAGTGCTTCCATGGCAACAATAGTATCCTGCAATTCACATTATTTATTACATGTTATTCCAGTTTATAAAAAATTCAAATTCATAATAATAACTTAGGAAGTTCATATTCTTCAAAGGGAAGGTACTTTATTTCTTGTTTGTGTTTGCTTTTGTATAAAGATAGAGTATTTTATCATTAAAAACATGCAAATTACCAAAGTCTAGAGCAGATATATTTATAAATAACAACTGCAATGCTTTCAACTTAACCTTGGATATTTATATAGAAAATAATCTAGATGGCTTTTATTTAAGTTGGAATAGCAATATAAATTATAAAAATAATAAACATGAAAAAAGATGCAAGTGTATTACCCAAAAAAATCAAGGTGCAAAGCCATGGGTTTGTTGAAACCACATTTTTACGGATGTAAAATTGATGCAGCAGTATTTTCTTGATGTTAAAATTTATGTGATTGAATTTATTCTAATCAAACCAAACTGCCTTGCCTGTGTGGATGAAAATCCTCCAAAAGAATTTCTCATGGTGTTTATCCAGGCCATGCTCATGTCCCTCTCTATCTTGCTGTCCCTGTCCGCCATGATGTGGGCCATCAGGGCATAGGCCGTGGCCTGAACAGCGTAGGCATCATTGAGAAGTTCTTGCCTGGGCATGAGGTACCTTACATTGTTTTGTATAGCAGTGGGGTTCTCATACACCAGTTGGTCAGCAAAGTAAGTGAAGTCAGCTGTGTGTTGAGTTAATACCAGAATATGAAATTTAACTTGAAAAGGTTTAAAAATCTGGCAAGTATATTCATATAATATAAACTTTAAAAAGAAAGTAGCTTCTTTAATATTCAATACACAATTGTTAGTCAAATCTGATTTTTTTTTTTTTTCAATTTTGACACATAAATAAACTAAATCTAAATGTATGTTTAAAAATCTGGCAACAAGCTAATTTAAGAATAAAGGCTTTATGATTTAAAAAAAATTCCTCACTCTTGAATAAAAGAGAAAAAGCAATTAATTAAATAAAGATTTAAAATTCTCAAAACATATTTTAAAAACTAACAAGTATATGCTTTGTATTTTTTAAAAAAAATCAGTATCAACCACACCAATGTGATGACTTTTATCTGACTTACAGTCATTCCGCTTCAGGCGCCAGAGGTCATTGACAATGCTGTGGCTAGTGGAGCTCAGGGACAGGGCGTAAGCTGTGATGGCCATGAAGAAAATGTCATCCTGACCCAGCTGGTTCCTCTGCCGCTGCAGGAAGTTTGCTGCATTTCTTTTAGCGGTCTCCAGACATGGAACTGTGCCCTGCACACAAAGGTGGTAAAAGTTAGCAAGTTTAACCAAAAGACTAGATGCTGCTTTAATTAGGTAATGTGTGATATACATATGTTAATTAAGCATCTATTGTGTTTATAAATACTTATACTTTCCAGTCAACCCTCTTCTAATTTGTATCAAGAAAATTCAAGATTTACTTCTCATGCCAAATACTCTCTAAACAATTATATAAGCTATTAATTTGTAATTATTTATATTATTCATTTCATAATGATTTCTAACAAGTCCTAACATCTTGAAATACTTTAATCCTGTGATTAGCTCCCATTAGTTCTAACATCAAGAACATTCTCAGTATTTTCATTTGTAGTTAACTCCCTTTAAGCTCTCACCTTTGTGAAGTCAGTCATCTCATAGAGAGCTATAAGCACATAAGCTGTTAGTGGGATTGTGTGCGTTGTCATGACACTGGACTTCATATCTTTCAATGACGCCTGGTGAAAAAATAACAAAAGATGGTAAATTATTGAAATATTGGGTCATTGTAAAGAAAATGTAAGGTTTTTTTAGTTGTTTTTTTATCTTTTGGTGAAATATTTAATTTTAATTTTTTAAAATCACTTGCTTCAATCATACAAACAAAATATGTTGATAGGCCTACTTATAGATAAAAAATTTAAGTCCCAGCCAATCTGTTGTAACACAAAAAAACTTTTACAATTTACAAAATATATGTATTAAAAAACAGACAATAATATCCATCATCATCATTTTCCATCCGTGAGCCACCAACTGCATATCACCAGAGTTATCTGTCCTAAGCCCTTCAATGCAGCCCCTGCCTCAAGTTCAAATCCCTATGTTTTTTGGGACAGCCTTATTCTCAACTGACTTGGGGTTTAATTATAATCATCAAACACAAAAGATTTACCATCTTCCTGTCATAGGCAATCTCATGCTCAGAAGGTTCAAAAGCTCCAGTGGTTGTGTTCTGTCTGCTACAGATGTAGTTGACAATTTTACTGACAAACACCTGGGGTATGTACAGGTCCTGTTCCCAGTCCCCCACATCCCCTGCCTTAGCCAGATTTTTTCCAACAAAAGCTGTCAACCTGCATTATAGAAAAATTGAGGGTACATTTTTTTAATATATAACTAAATATTATAGCACTAGCAACTTTTATTTAAATAATGGAAAAAAAAGGAGTCTGGTTACTTTTTTTTTTAAATGGACCATGTTATGATGTGTTTTATTATGGTATTTTAGTGCAAATGTATATTGGTACTTCTTCTTCTTAATCCCGTTTGTGCCCAAGACACATGGGGCAGATGAAGTAGAGTTCATCTGATTCATTGACCTCTGCATATGAACGGATAGTGTAGTCAGCACTATGCCCAGCCACCTTTGATTCCCTAACGTAAGTTAGGTACCCATCAGAGCTGGGTGGACTCCTGGACATTCCACTGATTTGAACCCAGATTTGAACTCGAGACTCTCGGGTTAGCAGTCTAACTCTCTACTGCTAGGCCATGCCATCCTCATATATTGGTACTAATGTATAAAATAGAACCATGACACTATATGTAAGACTCTAACATTTTGTGTTGCTGTGGAGAAAAAGGTTAATTTACTTTTTGTCTAGGTGCTTATAGTAAGAGGAAGTTTATCTAGGTTGATGAGTAGGAAAGAAGTTACAGTTAAGTCTACAGTGTTTGAATCGAAAGTCTGAGTTCAGTCTAGGTGTTGTGAGAAAGAGGTTGCCTCAACAAGGTGATCAAAGAAGTCTGGCATACGTCTCTGAACAAGAAAGATGTTTAGTTGATGTAAATCATCCAAATGACTATGTGAGAATAAACTTCAGACTAAGCATAGCATCCTATCAAGTGATTGTTTGTATGGATGTTTGGCTAGTTGCATTAATATCCTCACAGTCCTAACAGACCCACTAATTTAATGTTACCACAAGCTAGAGTGTTCATCATCCCTGAACATTCTAAAAGATCCGTCAGCCGCGTTCATGTAGCCCAGCATTCTCTGCAACGCTGAAAGAGCAATCGGAGGGGGGGGGAGTATTTTTTAAATATTCAACCAACACAATAACGAGGTGTATTTATACTGTGCTTAGTTTATGTCCTTGGTTAAATGGTACTGAAAAATTTTGGTCTCATAAATTTTCTGGACATTTAAAATTTACTCCTTATATCAAATGTTTTTTTTCTGAAATTCTTGATTAGCTTCCCTTTAACTGACTTGCCTCTCTTACCAATAGCACCTAGCCTGCATCTAATTAACTGTCCCTAAACAAAATTGACTCCTTTATTAATTAACCAACACTTAAGATCTGTATAGCTTCCCTGTAGCTAATTGGCCTTCCTTCCTAATTACATCTAGCCTACACAAAGATCTCATTGGCCTCCATTTAATTGATTTATCTCCCTTATCAGTAATATATAGTCTCCCCTTAATTGCCAACTCCCACCCCTATATTTGATTTATCTCTCTTACCATATATAGTCTCCCCTTAATTGCCAACTCCCACCCCTTTAATTGATTTATCTCCCTTACCATATATAGCCTCCCCTTAATTGCCAACTCCCACCCCTTTAATTGATTTATCTCCCTTACAATATATAGCCTCCCCTTAATTGCCAACTCCCACCCCTTTAATTGATTTATCTCCCTTACCATATATAGCCTCCCCTTAATTGCCAACTCCCACCCCTTTAATTGATTTATCTCTCTTACCATTAACTTATAGCCTCTCCTTAATTGCCAACCCCCACCCCTATAACTGATTTATCTCACTTACCATATATAGCCTCCCCTTAATTGCCAACTCCCACCCCTTTAATTGATTTATCTCCCTTACCATATATAGCCTCCCCTTAATTGCCAACTCCCACACCTTTAAATGTTTATCTCCCTTACCATATATAGCCTCCCCTTAATTGCCAACTCCCACCCCTTTAATTGATTTATCTCCCTTACAATATATAGCCTCCCCTTAATTGCCAACTCCCACCCCTTTAATTGATTTATCTCTCTTACCATTAACTTATAGCCTCTCCTTAATTGCCAACCCCCACCCCTATAACTGATTTATCTCACTTACCATATATAGCCTCCCCTTAATTGCCAACTCCCACCCCTTTAATTGATTTATCTCCCTTACCATATATAGCCTCCCCTTAATTGCCAACTCCCACCCCTTTAATTGATTTATCTCCCTTACCATATATAGCCTCCCCTTAATTGCCAACTCCCACCCCTTTAATTGATTTATCTCCCTTACAATATATAGCCTCCCCTTAATTGCCAACTCCCACCCCTTTAATTGATTTATCTCCCTTACAATATATAGCCTCCCCTTAATTGCCAACTCCCACCCCTTTAATTGATTTATCTCTCTTACCATTAACTTATAGCCTCTCCTTAATTGCCAACCCCCACCCCTATAACTGATTTATCTCACTTACCATATATAGCCTCCCCTTAATTGCCAACTCCCACCCCTTTAATTGATTTATCTCCCTTACCATATATAGCCTCCCCTTAATTGCCAACTCCCACCCCTTTAATTGATTTATCTCCCTTACCATATATAGCCTCCCCTTAATTGCCAACTCCCACCCCTTTAATTGATTTATCTCCCTTACAATATATAGCCTCCCCTTAATTGCCAACTCCCACCCCTTTAATTGATTTATCTCTCTTACCATTAACTTATAGCCTCTCCTTAATTGCCAACCCCCACCCCTATAACTGATTTATCTCACTTACCATATATAGCCTCCCCTTAATTGCCAACTCCCACCCCTTTAATTGATTTATCTCCCTTACCATATATAGCCTCCCCTTAATTGCCAACTCCCACCCCTTTAATTGATTTATCTCCCTTACCATATATAGCCTCCCCTTAATTGCCAACTCCCACCCCTTTAATTGATTTATCTCTCTTACCATTAACTTACAGCCTCCCCTTAATTGCCAACTCCCACCCCTTTAATTGATTTATCTCCCTTACCATATATAGCCTCCCCTTAATTGCCAACTCCCACCCCTTTAATTGATTTATCTCTCTTACCATTAACTTATAGCCTCCCCTTAATTGCCAACTCACACCCCTATAACTGATTTATGTCCCTTACCAATATTCATCTCTCTCAAAACCCTCTTTGTCTGCCCCATCTCCAGCTGGTTGGATGACCTCATAAACAGGAGAGCCAGCAGATTGTAGGCAAAGTTGAAGGTCACCATCTCCCCACTACCATAGGGCCTGTACAGAATATTTTCTGCATTGAGATAATCCTCAAAGAATCCGGGAGTGACCACATCACCTTGTAATTAGGAATAGAAAAAAAGTATCAGTTTATGTTGATTGTAAACTTTAGTTTTAAGATGGTTATGATCTTGTTAAATATTATAACAACTGGGCAATCATAAATAGTGCCTACTATTTTTAAAAATTGTGATCTAAAAACTGCATTTGTTCAGCTATATTTTTAAAAAAATGAAAAATGAATGGCCCTTATATTTAGACCAACAAATTATATAGCCTAGTTTGCATAGAATGAATCAAAGTAATTAAAAAATATCACAGTTTATTTTTTCAAAAATATTTTTAAGTAAAATAAATGATTTTACAGGCAAAATTCAAATTGTTAAATTACATGGTTGCTCCAGTATTAAAAAAAATAATTTTAATTTAAAAAATAATTGTATAGATCCAACTGTCCTATAGCATAAAATGAATTAAAATCATTTTAAAGTATTAAAATGTAGGGTTTTTTTTAAATGAAAAAGAATTCTCATTACCAAAAACGGTGTTCATTCCTTTTGGAGACTGGGGAACATACAGATTGAGTCTGTATTCTGGCTTGCGAAAATACTCCGGCACATTGACCTTAAACTGGGGTATGTCAATGGAGGGGTATCTGATCAGATCTATCAGGTAGGGGGTGTGGAAGTAATTCTGGACCCCATTAGGCTGGTGAGAAAATAGCAGGCACGGGATATGTAATTAGATAAGATGAGAATCTTGAAAAACATGTAATTATTGTGAAATCATGGTATTGTAAACATTTGCACCTGTACTCTTGCTATATTTTCTTTATAGCTTCTTGGATGTACCTTAATTTTGAAACAGCTATACCTTCATTATGTCTTCATTAGTCTTTCACTTTTTCTTTTTCATTTTTTCTTCATGTCTGAACTTTATCTTCAATTTATTAAAGTATTTTTTAAAAGTACTTCTTATCTATGAATATTGTATAAACTTCTTAGTTTTCAAAACAGCCTAGACTTTGTCTAATAAGAGCCATGTCATTATTCTTAAATTTTTATTATATTATTCTACATGCAACAATTTTTCACAAATAATTTGATTCCAAACAGTAACCAAAATTATGATAAATTAATCTTGTGACCCACCTTCATGTATATTTCTAAACCCCAACAGTAACAATAATGATGCTACAATGATATCTTGACCCACCTTCACATACATTTCTCCAACATATTCATCTTTCACCATAAAGGAGGTGGCAGAGACGCGGAAGGTCAGTTTATCTTTTCTAAAAGTCTTGGCTGGAACTATGGGCATGTAGATATCCTGGGAGTCACCTGGCTCAAGCTGCAGATACAAGACAGAATTTAATTCCTAAATCACAATGTAAACAGTACTTGCAAAATAAATGGAAAAAATGATTCATTCTTTTAAAAAAATAAGTGTGCAAAAAAAATTGGATTCCATATTAACTTATTTTTAACCAGAATTTTGAAAAAAAAATTCATGTTTCTGCTTTGTAAAAATACTATTAAAATTGTATGTACAAGAATAGCCTAACTTATAGGAACTATAGTCTGGATAGTCTGGTAATTGCCATAAAAGTTATTTGATGGTCCCCTTCTAATATTGGAATATAATCTACAGCTTATGAACACATACTTACAAAGACTAAGGTTTAGTATTCCAAAACTTACAAAGAATATAGCTGGTTAGTAACCCTACTTACAAAGACTATAACTTATTAGTCCCCCTACTTACAAAGACTATAATTTGTTAGTCCCCCTACTTACTATAACTTGTTAGTCCCCCCCCCCTACTTACAAAGACTATAGTTTGGTGATCTCCTTTATGAGTGGTGGGAGAGTATGAGGTCACATAGCCCATTTCTCCAACTGTGACGAATTCTGTGTCTTCACCAGCATGCATTGTCACCAGAACCTAACACAATTAGATCGCTCATTAAGTAAATTTCTATAATAAAATGTATTCATCTTAATAAATAAAAAATTGTAAATACCGAGGTTGGTGATTGATAAAAAAAATCAACTGGCCAGATTTTTTTTTTAAAATGTAAAAAAAAAACCTTGAAAGGTAAAATTTCTAGCAACATGAAAAAAGAAAAAATTGTGTCTGTTCATCAAATTAATTGTCCTAGACATTTGCATAAAAATAACCAAACTAAATATTTCATCTATATTTTAGTTTTATAAATTCAAGACATCCAAGTTGGCTAAAAAATTCATTTTTACAAACTAATTTATTTTAATTATAAAATATTCATGGCTAATATTCCTACCTAAATAACATATTTTTGTGCATCATAAACTTTGTACATTTATGAATAAATTGTTTATGTAGCATGTGATGAAACTAAGAGTAAATTTTTCATGGACACAAATGTAATGTTACCTCCATGTAATCATCCTCATGCCAGTTGTTGAAGACTGTCACCCTCACCCCAACCTGTTCTCCCCACACAATATATTTAGGATGCTCCACTTGAATGTACATGGCCCTTGTTGCATCATACTATCCAAAACAACAATGATCTTTATGTCAGAAGTTAAATAAATTTACTTTGGTGGAATTGTTTGGTCCACTTTATAAAACAGTATTTTTCATACTTTGCATCAACTAATGACTAATAATTATTGTTATATGTATCTTTGATGATACTTGTCTCCCTTTGATTATCGATAGCCCAGTAAACTTTGTTTACATTTTACTTAGAGGCAGTGCTTTACTTAGAGCAGTGTTTCTTCTAGACTTTTAACTCCAGGGGGGGGGGGGGGGGGGGGGGCACCTTAACTTTTCAGGGGGGGAGGACTAAAATTTCTGGGGAGAGGGGCAGACACTGTTAAAAGTATATATTTTCTATATAAATTCCATTTCATTCGGGGCGCTAAGAGATGCCTGGAAGAAACTCTGACTTAGAGCATTTGACTACGAGTCCAAAGGTCTTGAATTCAGATCTATGTTCAGGCTTGTGTCTATAGGACGTCCCTGTGTCCACTCAACTTTTGCTAATGTACCTGACTTACATTAGCAAAAATAAAGGCAGCTGGACTGACCACACCATCCCTTCATATACAAATTCAAGAAACACATGAACTCTACTTCATCTGCCCAAATGGATCGCTAAGTCTAAAGAGGAACATTACTTGATAACTAGCAGATCTAATATATCAATTAACCTACCCTGACTGGCCTTTGCATGATACCCAAGCCAAGTTCCTGACTGATAGAGATGCCATTGATGACCCAGGTCAGTGGGTACTTGGGTACCTCTACACGGAAATCAACTCGACCATCTGGTCTGATAAAGAAAGAATTATTACTGCAGCATGCATATATTTTTTTTAATTAATTAATTTAATTATTTACTTATATATATATATATATATATATATATATATATATATATATATATATATATATATATATATATATATATATATATATATATATTTATAGGCTATGTATAAATTTTATAATATTTACAAAAAGAGAGAATATGAAAACCAATTTATTAATCAATGGTTAATGATGTAAATACTTGACAAAGATTTCCTGCCAGGCCCAAGAGCTGTTGTCATAGTAACGCATCACCCTGCTGACTCTCTCCATTGGTGATTTAAAAAGGTAATTTTTTTCCTCATAGCTACCTGCCAACAAATAACAAAACATTCTTGGGTTTAAATACCAATAACAGTTTACCCCGAGAAATTGTTTGCATTGAAATGGAGATTTATTTTAGACTTACAAACCTAAAACCTTATAAAAAGAACTTTAAAAAGTGTGATGGGGGTAGGGGAGATTTTAATTAAATTTAACAGAAAAAAAAAACTGGACAGTAGATAGACTTACAGCCCCATTCATCAGCTCCATCGTTGGGACAGCCATCAAACTGACCATTGCACCTCTGTTCTGTGGTGAAGCACTCAGACTCAATCCCAGAGAAACATGGATACTGCCCGATGGCCTGGTTACAGGAATTTTGATCTGGTATAAAGAGAAAGTTTGAGATTTGTTCCACTTTTGAAAGAAAATTTGAAAAAAAAATTAAGAGCAGAGATTTATCTGATGTGACTGGAGGACATCCCTGAGTCCACCCAGAGATTTATCTGATTTATTTAACCTGCAAGCTAATCCATTAAAGCAAAATTAAACCTAAGGACAGGGCTTATGATTAATTCAATAACATGCAGTCCTGTAAATAACAAATTAGGGCCAACGTCATGGATTCTGATTTATATAACAGAATATAATCATAAAGCAACAAGTAACCTAATTGCTGAAAGTGAAATAATTTTAATACAGTAAATGGCCTATCCTGTACTGCTATTTTTTAAAATTAGTTTAATTTTCCTAAATAAATAAAAATTGGTGTATTTGTAGTCCAGTTTTTTTTTAAAGTACAAATCAAATAGTAAATATGTTTTTAAACTTGAAGCTATTTAATTTTCTGTTTGAATTTTGCTAAATTATTGTGGGTTTGGGACCAAAAATTCTTCAAAACACTGATTTAACAGTATGCTAGTTCCCATTCTTTGCCTGGTATTTTAAAAAAGCTACACAATTGGCCAGCAAAAACACTTGAGTTCAGTTCCAGATCTCAATCTAATTGGTACCTGTCTCTAGTTGGAGAAAGTAAATGTGGCTGGCAATAGTGTCTTTATGTGTTTAGGTTAAACTTATCTGCTTTAAGGGCCATCAGACACATGGCAAAAACAGCGTGGTTGGATTGTAGAGCTAACCACTACTAACACAAACATCTTGAGTTCAAATCCTGGGTTTGAGTCTGTAGGAAGTCTCTGAGTCTACCCAGCTCTTATGGGTACCTGATGCAAGTTATGGTAAGTAAAGGCAGCCGACCAAACTACCCCTTCATATGACGAGGTCTACTTCATCTGCTCTAGTTTCAAGAGGGTAACTCGCCGTAATGTAAATGTCACCACAACAAAAAACTGTCTAACATTGCTTAATTTACAAACTTTATAACTGGATAACAAAGGAAAAAAAACCTGTTCTAGTGGTATATCTGAAACTGGAGCAAGTTAATTTGCCATAAGTTTTGTTTTATTCCTTATAAAAAAAAACATGTAAGTTTTTAATTTACTCACTTGGTAGTCTGATGACATCAGCATCGGTCAAAACCAGTAGCCCAGCACTCTGTTGGATGAGATTTATTTCAAGCAATTACAAAACATGTTTTATCAAGACTTCATTGTAAATGCAGTGTAACAAAGTCAATTTATAATTGGATTTATATAGTTCAATAAGATATAAATTCTTAATATAAATTTTTCTTAGATAACTATTAGAGTGGAAAATTTTCTTTTGCAGTGCTCAAGGTGGTCTCAAAAAGAAATGTGTATATTTTTTTATTTTTAAATATATCATCATCTTTTCCAGTTCATGCCTAAGATACATGGGGCAGATAAAATAGAGTCCACCTGTTATAATGATCTAGATATATAACATCATCATCATTTCCCGTTCGTGCCCAAGACACATGGGACAGATGAAGTAGAGTTCATCTGCTTGAGAGACCTCAGCATATGAAGGAATAGCTTGGTCAGTACTATGCCCAGACGCCTTTGTTCCCTAACAAGAGTTAGGTACCCATCAGAACTGGGTGGATAAGGATGTAAAACAGACTCAAGCCAGTATCAAAACTAGAGACTTTATCAGTCATTAGCTCTACTACCCAACCACACCGTCCCTTTTTAAAATAATTAGTCGAAGGTAAAATACCAAAAAACTAAGGATGGAGACAAAAAGATTAAAAGATTTACAAGAGACAAAAAGATGAAAAAACTTACCAGCAGTGTGGTGTTAGCATCAATGCCGTAGTCGGTGCCGTGAAAGAACCTGTACTCGTAATCTGTGTCACTCACCCTCCACAGGTGTCTGTAGCTGCTGTTGGCTAGCTCATCGTAGGTCAAAAGTTCATCAATCAGCTGTTTCAGACATGTTTGGTGTCAATTTTAGTTTTAAAGATTGTAACACAATAATGGTAATAACGACTATATATGAGTATCCTTTTTCAAACATTGAAATTTTAATGTTCAGATACCAATATTAAAAGTTGAAAGCACAATAATTTTAAAGTCATCCATGTTAAATTGTTTGTATTTTCAAGTCCTCTAAGTTTTTTATACTGCTAGACTACACAAAATATACAAAACTACAAAAAAACATGTACAATATTACACAAAACCATTACAGAAGCAAACCTTTAGAACTCATCTAGACCCCAAAGCCTAATTCATTAAATATTTAAAACTGGTTTAAATTTATAAATTTACATTAGAATAGTGGTTCTTAATCATTTTGGAGGTATCAAACCCCACCAGTTTCAGATGCGCATACACTGAACACTTCTTAACAGTTCTATCATCCACACTGACAAAATCTAATCATGAATCGTATGAGTCAGATGTGTCTTGACCTCCACCTAACCCCTGAGACTGAACACACAGGTAAAGAACCACTGCCTTAGAAACTCTTACTTTATTCTCTGTAATGCCATCACTCATGCCCCGACTGTACAGGTCCAGCAACATGCCACTGAAGGCCACATAGGACCCTGGGTCAGCTTTAGCATTGAACTCTATGGTGTTCCTGGTGAAATCTTTTCCTTGGTTGATCCCCAAAGAGACCTGAGAGATGTTTGATAAACAAGTTCCTTATTATATACATACACGATACGTTTTAGGCAACAAGTTCCTTATTATTTACATACATAATAAGTTCCTTATTTGTTGAACACATGATAAGTTTCAGGTTACATGTTACATTGGTGACAGGGAAAATGATCTCAGGACAAATGATCTAAGGACGAAAGGTCTCAGACAAATGATCTCAGGACAAATGATCTCAGGACAAATGATCTCAGGACAAATGATCTCAGGACAAATGATCTCAGGACAAATGATCTCAGGACAAATGATCTCAGGACAAATGATCTCAGGACGAAAGGTCTCAGACAAAATATCCCAGACAAAATATCTCAACACAAAAGATATAATTTTTTAGCCATGAGATATTTTGTCTGAGATATTTTGTCCATGATATCTTTGTGATCATTTCTCATGGAATCGCGTTGTGTGATTTGATATGCCAGAAGCTTTTTTTAAATTAAACTGAGTTTTAGCTGTCCTTTTTTTTTTTGTAAGTTGCAATAAAAATAGGTCACAGTACTTAAGCTACAGATTTGCTACAAGTTTCTGTATCAAATAGCAATTAGTAATTATTTTTAAAAAAACTTGCAAATCTTTTTTTTTGGGGGGGGGTTGATTTGTGATATTAATTTATCAATTTGTGGTGGAGCTCTGACATTTAGTGTGATGATGTGCATGGAAGGGGGGGGGGGGAGAATAGTCCAAAACTGTTTGAAATTATTATTGTACTGTATAATCCCCACAGCAAAAAAATAAATAAACAACTCTCTATTTAAATTACCATTTTGTGACTAAGCACCCCCACACCACTGCAAAATGCTACTTAGACGATTAATAAAAACATAAGTTACCTAATAATAAGGCACATTTTTAATTGCAAAAAAAAAGTCAAATTTATTGACCAACTATTTGATTCTAGGACAGTGTGGTTATAGGATGGCATGGTCCAATTGTAGAACATACAACTGCTAACCCGAAAGTCTTGAGTTGGAATTTGGGTTCAAGATATAAAACATGCTTGGCCCCACACTGCTGACCATACTATACCTTCATATGCTAAGATTCAAAAGGGAACTTAATTTTTTTTTTTTACTTTTACCTGATTCTGACGGGTGCCGTTAACAAAAAAGCTGAGCACATCTGACACGATTTCCTCCGGCTCCCTCAGGAAGTAGACAACAAGACGAGCTGTGGGGACCATCTCTCTAGACAGGGATATGGAGAAAGTTTTCTGTCTGGAGGTCATCTCCAGCTCGTCACCTATGATAACATTACTCTGTGCCACAACCTGGGGAACATTACAAGTCATAGAAGGCTTGAGATGTTACATTATAGGAAACTTTGTAAAAGTGAGGTTACTCTAGATATTTGAATAAAGGGGTTGGTTATGGAACTTGATGAAAGGGGGTTAGTTCAGGAAATTAGACAAAATGGTCAATCCTGAAAACTCAAAAAGGGATTATATTCTGAGAATTTTACAAAAGAAAGTTAAAACTTGAAATTAACTTGGGTTAATTCTGTTAATTTTGTAAAAACAATTTAATCTGGAATCTTGAAAAAAATTGTAATTTATGTTGGAATCAAATTATGTCCACATTCTGATAAATTTATAATATCTCCACAGCTCTAACTTATAGAACATTGTTTAACCTCAATTTATTTATACAACAATATATAGTTTGATTGTGAAAAATTATTATAAGGGTTAATGATCCTAAATAACCTATATAAAATATGCAATGTTGCCTTAAAAGAAGTCATCATAGATGTAATAACAATATAAATAAACTCAGAGGTGTAGCGAGGGGGGGGGGGGCAGGGGGTGCGGACCACACCGGGTTACACCATTTAGGGGGGTGACACCAAGGCAAAAAATAGCAAAATATATAGAGAAAACTTTGAAGGGGGTGCAAATCGAAAGTTTGACGGGGGGTGCAAATCAAAAGTTTGTCCCTGGGAAGCGTCGCTGCGCCTCTGGGGGGTGACACCATTAAGTGTCACACCGGGTGACACCCGACCTCGCTACGCCACTGTATAAACTAACAGTGAATTTAATTTTAAATGAATGGTTTTAAAAAAAACTTATCAAAATATATTTAAAATCCCGAACTTCTTTAACAAGCTAAAAGAATGAGCAATTTATAAATAAATAAACAAAGAAAAATAACTGATAGATTAAAAAATTCTTCACCTGATAAAAAATTTTTGGAACAAAATGGCTGACTGTAACATGAAAAACCATGTACTCATTAACCTACAAATAAAAAAAAACAAAGATATTTCAAATAACCTATTTTTTTTTACTTTAGTAGAGATTATTTTAGTTATAATACATAATCATTTTTTTTTTTATTTTAATGGTTAAGTCCTATAAGTAAAAGTTTTAAAAAATTTAGTATGGACTGAAATATATAGTACCTGAGGGTCAAAGGTTGAGGTAGACACAGATATATAAGTATTTGTAGGTGAGTAATATTTGGTACCCAGCATCTGAATGGTTTTTGTATTGCTGTTGACAAAGTTGGGGTTTACCATGGTCTTCAAGGAAAGTGTTTCACGGGGGTCATGATAGGAGGCCTGGTTAGATGAAAACAAAAACAACTGATGAATACAGCATTCAATAATTCAATGAGACATAACATAACATCAGCCTGACAAGTCACAACCAACCCCAAAGATATCAAGCCCTCTACTGTATGAACAGTTTCACCCTAAATCCTAGATTGTAAACCTTAAATGTAAAGCACATGACCTACCAAGTGCAAACGTCTTCCCCTTTAGATGTCATCCATCAAGAACCCCCCCCCCCCCGCACAGTTACAATATGACCAAAGCCTCATGTCCATTCCCCCATCCTAGACCTGAAGCCCTCTACTAAATAACCAAAACCCCACTCACCCCCCCTGCCATCCTTAGGCACATGACCTACTAAGTGTAAACTATTGCATTAGATGTCAAGTCTTCTACTTTGACCATCATCCAACGGCATATGAAGGGATAGTGTGGTCAGCACTATGCCTTTACTTTCCCTAAAGTGACTTAAGAGGTACCCATCAGAACTGGGTGGACTCAGGGATGGTCTACTGACTTGAACCCAGATTCTAACTCAAGACTGACTGGTTAACAGCCTAGCTCTCTACCACTAGGCCACTCCATCCCTCCCAACCCCATAGCTCAAACATAAAACCCTCAACCCTGACACTCACAGTGATTGAAAACCTCGTCACGTGGAAACCTAAAAATAGATCAAACTGTGCAATGCCATCTATGACAGTCCTGGTCTGTGGGCTGTTGGCAGACATGTCCAGCTGGCTGCCCATACTGGACACAGTGGGGACAATGGTCACTGACCCACCGTTGGTCACTGGTCTGCCATCATATTGAGAAACAGCCACCTAACAAAATAAGAGTTAGCAAAATGTGCTTTATTTTATCATTAATATTATTTTTCTTTGAAAAAACCTGGAAAAATTGTGCTAGTATTGGTGTATAAACAGATAATTTTGATAATTATTTTTTTTATTGTTTTGAGTTATTGTCAAACTGTTTGGTCTGTTAAATATGAAATGACAATCTAAATTTCTGAAACTAGCAGATGGTGCAAGCTTGGCTTGTTAACAAGTAGCTGTGAAAATTGGGTTACAAGTGCTTTAGACTAAAATGTATGAAAGCAATTTTATAGTTTAATATTGGTGTAAAATTTTACTAAAAAAATGATATATAAAAATTGAAACAGAACACCATTATTTATATTTAACTATTTTTACTTCTGCTATTGAAACTTTTCTAACTTTTAAATAAAAATAAAATATTTCTAAACAGTTTACCTGAACAATTTCTTGTTATTAATTAAACAAGTTTCGTAATAATAAAAAAGTATTAAATAATATAACAACAGGGCTTTTCTTAAATACCCGACTTGAAATAAATCTTTTCATCAATTAATTTACAACTGATCATCTTAAAGAACAGAATAGATTCCATTTACCTGAACCCTCAGTGTGGAGCCGGGCTTGAATGTCCTGATGTTCCCCCCAACCCACTTGAGGCTGACCTCGTTGTCAAACAGGAGAGTTCCAGCCCAGCCAGTCCTGTTGAGCCCAGAGTACCAGTCCGTGATGTTGGCAAAGAAGACGATTTCAGCATTGACCAGGGATGTGGTTTCCCCACCTCTTTTGGCTATCTCCATCAGCTCATCCTTTGTCCATGTAAAATCTATTCGACCTTTGAACTGAAAAAATTATTATTATCTTTAATCCATGTAAAATCTGACCTTTGACCCAGGGGTCGGCGTGGTCGAGTTGGTAAAGCTCATGGTTGCTAAACCGAAAAGTCTCGAGTTCAAACCCTCAGGCAGATGAGGCTCATTAGCTGGGGACAGCCACTCTTCTAGGAGAGACAACTCCAAAATTAAACAACTGCTGCCTTGTAGTTTGTTCTTGGTTGGACAAAGGCTATGGAAGCAAATCCAAAAAAGAAAAGCAGGCTGAAATTGGAGTCAATGGCCTCAATGGCGCATAACCAGTTGACACGTAACGCTTAATTGTGTTGGAGGCGCTGTCAAGTTGGCAAAAAGCTCATGGTTGATAAATTTGAACAAAGTCTCTAGTTCAAACCCACTGGCAGATAAATCTAGGTCCCCTTCAACACTAATAATTAAGAACGAAGAAGAAGAAAGAAGAGAGATGACCTTTGAAATGAAGAAAATTTGGTTATCTTTAATCCATGTAAAAATCTATTCAACCTTTGAACTGAAGAAAATTTGTTATCTTTAATCCATGTAAAAATCTATTCAACCTTTGAACTGAAGAAAATTTGTTATCTTTAATCCATGTAAAAATCTATTCAACCTTTGAACTGAAGAATATTCATTAACCTTAAGCCATGTAAAATTTATTTGACATTTCAACTTGAAAATGTTATTTCATTACCGAGTTTTTTTTCCTACACGTGGATAGCACACATGTCGTAAATGTAAACGTGGTCTTACATAGTTTTCCGAAGCTATATTCAACAATATTTACTTACATAGTTGACAAACCTGTACTCATAAGCAAAGTACAAGTGGTAGTCCTGTACAGGTATGTTTCTCATCTCTCTGTACGAGGGCACCTCTAGCGGCACCCCTGAATGCTGTTTGTTTGGATTATTCATGGCATCGTGATAAGGTTTCTCCCAGCCCCTGGTGGCATTCCATATCTCCTCCCTCGGGATGAAGAAAGCTGTGAGGGATGCATTGCCCACGCAGGGGCGTCCACTTGTGTGGCTATAGATTAATAATTAAAGTATTACACACTATTACACAGTTGTTAGTGTATCTATATATATAATTCTCTTCTGGGAGCCGTTAGAAAACAAGCTGCAAGTGCGCCTTTGCAGTCCCTTCTCTTCCTCTCTATCACTATCACTACCACCCCCACCCCACCCCCACATGATCTGGTGAGCTGTGGTTCACTCTAAATGTTTACAAATCGTAGAGACGGGTTTGTTGACGGCTATTAGGGGGGGGTGTAGGGTGGGGGTTGGGGGAAAGGGGGGGGGGTTAGTGTTTTAAAGCAAATATTTTCAATGGCAGCATTGGTACTGTCGAATTCACAAATTATGAATTACTGAAAAGTAGAAAATAAAACAACTAAATAGCGGCGTATGATACGCCGCGGGTCAGCTCGTTTTTAGAATTTTTACTAGGCTGCTGTGACTTATAATTTTAAAATGAGAATTTTTTTTTTGAAACCAATGGCAAAAATTAATAATTTGTTTTATAAATTATGAACTTTTATAAAACCAAGGGGTAATAATTAATATTTGTACGATTTTTTTAAATCAAGGGGCAATAATTCACAATTATTTTTTTAACAATTTATTTATTGGGTTGTTTGGTCAGTAATAAAAGTTAGATGTAAGAGTAAGTTTTTAAAAAAAACAAAATTTAATTAATTGATACATTATAATTTCTCAATCGTGTTTAACATTTCTGAACATTTATCTAACAAAATACAAGATAAAAAAAATAAACTAAAAAATAAACAGCTAACAAAAATACAAAAAAGAGAGATCACCCACTTTGCTAGAACAACACCATGAATCACTGTTGTAGCATTATCCATTACATATGCTGGCACAGAAACATTAACATCAAATCGAGGCTCCCCTAGGATAAAAATACATTACACTTTCACTCAACAAAAAGCAGATCCATGCAGTACATTAAAAACTAAGTCAAATGCCCAAGTTATAATCCAGCATATCTAAATAGTATCAATTTAGTTACCCAGAGAAAGTAAAAAACAATAGGTAACTTTCTTACTGGTAATACCCCCACTTGATTGTTAATGCTACTTAATAATACTAGATCTAGGTGTTGAAAAAAAACCCACTTCACTCTAGATACTCTAAAATCTTTAGATAAGCCAATTTTGTTTAAACCTGCAGTTTAAAGGGAAATAATTCATTCACTATTCTATTTTTCATTTATTTTGACATTATTAACAAAACATTAAACATTTTATACTTAATGTTATTTTTTCTGAATTATCAAATATACTTCAATAGCTAATAAATAATATAAATACTCACAAAATTCTTCAACAATAAATGGCCTTCTGTAAGTAAATCCCTGTAAACAATATAAAATTTAACCTATCTGTAAACTAGTAACATAAAATATAAATTAAATAACTGTTTCGACAACCTTCTTTTGAATTGAATTTTAATATGTTTATATTAGCTCTGATAATTGATTATTGTAAATCTGAAATGAAAAATGTAGCCTAATTGAATATTTTTATAATTTTAAGCCAAATATACATTATATGCTTGTCTTACAAAACCATATTGTGCAATAATAAGAAAAAAAAATTTTAAATGAAATTGAAACAAATAACTACTAACCGGTGCATAACAAATTGACATGTAAAATACTTAATTGTTTTGAAGGGAATTCCTTCCAATACTAGAATTAAGAATGAAGAAGAATAAAGAAGAAAACTAACAAAACCATCCACACGAATATTCCATGTCCCGTAGTTGGGCTGGTCAGACAGCTGGAAACTTTCACTGACAATTCCTCCTGCGTTGGTTTGTAAACTCTGCCATCTTTTCACAGCCACACCTGTTGGGTCCTGAAATACATGTTTAAAAAATATTCTGGTGTAATATAGTAAATTATCTATTGGAGATATGAATTCATCAATCATTGATTCTCAAAATATTTTTTAAATGTCTGGATTCTTATGTAATATAATGGATTATAGAAGATCCTCCATCATTGTTTATGGATTGTGAAGTTTTGAAGTTTTGTTGACTGATTAAATAACCCACAACTTGATCGCCTCTTCTTACACAAAAATAACTTATTTACATCTTTTATAGGACCAGACTTACCTCCACATAAATAATGAGATTTCCATACTTGGGCATTAAGTCAGGACGGACTGGTATCACTCTGAAATGAACTGTTTTAAAAAAAATATTAATTGACCTATTTCAATGTGCTAGTTTAGCTTACTTACTTATATACCATTTAGTAGTTGAATCAATGCAATTATTGATGTGGTATATCAAAAAGTATATTTTTAAGATACATTTTTTTATACTTTTGTAAATTTTAACAAACTATCTTTCGCAAAAGCTGTTTTTTTTTCTTTAATTTTTTATAAGCAATTTTTATTTGCTAATGGAGGACCTTTAAAACAATTTTAAATTTACATAGAATATCAGCAAATGAAAAAAAAATGTATGCAATCATGTTTTACCCATTTGTTCTTGCTTGTAAATAGGCTTGCTCATCTGTATAAAAACTGAGGCGTGTTTGGGTGTAAACTCAATGTCCGTCTCATTGAAAAACACATTTCCACTCACTCTCTCATCCAGTTGACCTTCAACCCTTAACCTGTACTTGCCAAACTCTGCATTTGTTGGCATCTTCAAGAGTGACAAATACAAATCACACATTACAGGAATGGGAGTATTGGTAGTACTAGTGTCTAACAATGGACTCTTCTGACATAAAGTGTGTTGGGTTGTAATTTCAGGTTCAGTGTTGGGGTCATAAATTAGGGTTACGGCTACTGTTGGACTTGGGTTAGGGTTTGGGATAAGGTTAGCGTTGACATTAGCCAGTTATATATTTATCTTACTACCAATAATCTAAAAAGATTCATCATAGTGGAAAATTATTAATTGACTGTGACTAAATCGAACTCTGAGGATAAAGTACACTTAAGTTAAGGTAGTAAATGGCCTTGACGTTTTTGTTTTAAATTGAAACAGATGAACTTTACTTCATCTGCCCCATGTGTCTTGGGCATGAACAGATGATGTGAGATGTTAACATTTTGCTAAAAACTTGAAAATTTTAAATAACGGCTCACCTTTAGTTGCATGAGTCGACTGGAAGGGCGCTCAAACTTTAACACACTACTTGCATATTCTCTATCCCCTTGGAGAACAGATATGCGAACGTTGATTGCATTTTCTCCATATTCCATGCGCAAGATGGTAGCAAACACCTGGAACACCTGATCTGCTCTGATCCTCCTGGGCGCCATAATCATGTAAATGCTGAAAGATTATCATAAAATGTAATATAGTTTTTTTTACCAGAAATTTTATTTTAGGCTTTAGTATTTTCAAGTCCGTTGATTTAAATGACATGTATACAAGGCTGTTTAATAATTTGTGAAATACTTTTTAAAAAATTGTCTTAAGATTTAGAATTTAAATTACAAATTTTAGTTAAAAATAAAAAACATTTTGAGGCATTATGATAAACTTTCTACAAGAATATATAAATATTTTTTATAGTCTGTGAGATGCAGCTATGAAGAGATGTTATTCAAACAAATGATTATTATAAAAATTTAGCTGGTTAAAAAAATAAAACAATCATTTAATTTAAAATAATGTATAAAAATTAAAAGAAAGCCCTATATTTTCTTATAAAGTTTAAATTTTCTAAAAAAATAATAATCAGGAAGTAACACAATATTGGCTTTAGAAAATCTCTAATTCCTGTGAGTGAATTAATCAATGTTAGTTCAGTTGATAGCTAAACTTTTCATGTGTAAAAATAAAAACAGATGGTGCTATACTTACGGGGGTCGGCCAAGGCCACATCCCGCAACATTATCAACTAGACAGTGGTCAATCCCCACCTGGCCTACTGATGCTGGCACAAACAATGTCAATATAAAAACAATGGCATACATGATTAATTTAAACGATATTAAAAATCCACTCCTAGAATTTTTGTATTAGCACAACCGTCTCAAAAAGTTAGAGCCAATTAACATTTTAATTTTCAAGACAATTGATGCCGTCAATAAAAGAAATATATGAAACACTTTAAAAAGGATGAGAAATAACTTCTTTCCGCCATTTTTTCTACATGACCTCAACTGATAAAATTAATTTTACATTAGTTGGACTGAGTCTTTAGTAATATTTTACTTGTTTTATCAAATGGTTACTGTAAAACTTAGATGTTTTGTGGTAAAATTGTATTTGTCTTATCAAATGATTACTGTAAAACTAAAAATGTTCTGGGGCTTAAAATAATTATTAAATTCATTGATAGTAATAAATCTTGTTGTCAGCAATATTTTATGTTCATGAATTAGTAGACAAATGTAAATATTAAAAAGCACTAAAAATGTATAAATATGTTTATAAATAACCATAAAAACAATCAAAATGAGATCAATTGATTGAAGACACATTTATCCCTTATTAAAAGATTAGCTTAAGTTTGAAATTTTTTAGATTTTGATTTCATTCATCTGCAATTAAATGTAACTGGTTATTTATAAGTTACTGTGAGCAAAAATGAAAATTTGAAAAAAAATGTTTACAATAAAATGTTATCACATCTGTAATCATTTAAGTGTTTTCAATTGGGTTCCCAAAACAGTGTTTATCAGTAGTCCTCCAATATCTAAAATAAAAAAGCTCAAGATTCTATATGCATTTCACCATGTGGAGTAAACATTATAGTTAATTTCTTTTTTATTAGTTGGAATTATATAAAAAAAAGCATAGATCTTGGTATACATCAATCTTAAAATTGTATCAATGAAGTTTTTGTCCCAATCAAGTAAACAGTAAAACTGTTTACCATTTTATAGTTTTGTAGTCTGCACACGTTCTGACTAACAGCAGAAGATAACCAGAACTGGGTCACACCAAGGGCCAGTACTCAGACTCACTGATAAAGTGAGCCTTGTCATCTGTTCACAGTGAAGTCATGCCAATGTAAAACTGTTGGTGTGCCATGGAACTGCTTATTGATGAAAAATGGTTCTTCAGATGGTAGGTATTAACTTTTAAAGTATAATGACGATAAAATCATCATTTATATATACAATATATTTATATATACATGTATATATATATATTTATATATATATACAATGTATATATATATATATATATATATATATATATATATATATATATATATATATATATATTTTTTTTTTTTTGTTAAATTTATTTATTTATACATGTATATATGTATTTATATATGTGTATATGTATGAGTATATATATATATGTGCATGCATTAGTATATGCATATATATATATATATATATATATATATATATATATATATATATATATATATATATATATAATATATATATATATATATATATATATGTTTTTTTTATTTTTTTTACATATATATATGTGTGTATGTATATATTAATGTATATATATATATATATATATATATATATATATATATATATATATATATATATATATATATATATATATGTATATATCTATTTTTTTATTTTGTATGTAAACAAAGTGTAAACAGTGTTGCCTTGTATCTCTAAAAATACATTTCATACATAAACAAAAATACATTGAGAGCTGTCTACATTGACTTCATAAGTATTTGTGCAAACCTACATCTCACAATTTGAATTTCAAACAAAGAACATTTTTAGTATCATCATCTTACTTATTTAACCTAAACACTAACCTAAATACAGTCTACAGCAACAACAAAAATTAAGTTTATTTTATGTCCGAACACCATGACATTACCATAGTAGTCGTTGATGTTGATGAGTCTTTTTTTGAGTAAAATAAACCCAAATAAGACCAGAAAACCTAAAATTTTGGAAACATTCATCCGGGTTTGCTTCAGTAAGACCCATTTGAGGAATTAAACTAAGATTTACACGGTCTAAATTGATCAATTAGAGGATAGGTAGGGTCAATTGGAAATGGTAATGATTTGAATTCTCCAAGTTTGAAGCAGAGTTTATATAGAATTTATAAAGAAAATATACTTCAACCAGTGTCCACCACTTCCTTTTCCCCACCTCTCCAAAAGTTTAGTCCATCTTCCCCAGAAAGTTTCAAGTGCCTCCCCCCTCCTCCTCCACAGGGCAATAGGAAGAGAGGACAGACCAAGGAAGACCTGAAGATGTGACTGTGACTTGAAAGAAGACACCAAGAAGATAGGATACACCTGGGGACAGTTGGAGAGACTAGGAAAGAGATGCCTGGAAAGCTCTTGTCAGCAGCCTATGTGCCATCCCAGAAGGGGCGACAGGCTAACCTAACCTGTAATCTATATATATAAAATTCTCTTCATGGGGACCATACGAGACACCATGCAGCTTAGCCACCACCCTCATCCCCACCTGTCAGGTGAGCTATGGTTCATCATGAATGTTTACAATAGTAGAGCCGGTTTGAATAAGTGACGGCTATTAGGGGCAGATAATTTAGTTTTTAAACTATTTGAAACTAAGGGGAGATAATAAGTTATTTTATTGTCGTCTGTAAACGGTTGCTTTCACTGGGCGGACAGGGTAGGGTTGGGTGGGGGTATGTGGTGGGGGGTGGGGTGGGGGAGTGTCGAATTCACAAATTATCAATTGTTGATAAGTAGAAAATAAAACAACTAGATAGCGGTGTATGCTACGTCGCGGGTCAGCTCATACAGTTTATTCTTTTGATATTTGTTTCCATGAACCAAAAATCTATTCTGATTCTAACTACTTACACAAAACATACTTTTCTATCCTTCTCGCAAAAATTATTATTAGTGTTAATACATGTAACATGAGAGTCACATTTAAATAAAACAATAATAAGACTTTTAATACATTCTTTACCCAACCAAAACAGGACGACAGCTTGCAGCCTGTGCTAGTCGCCTCCTCGCTGCCTGGTGTGGTTGAAATCAGAATGACCACCAAAAACAGTGCTGTAACAACTTAGTAACAAGTACAAGTAGATCTAGAATCTAGATCTAGTCAATGTTGAATGTGCGTGGCCAGAAAATGGACGGTTCGGTCCTTTCTTGTGTGCTGATGTGGATGGAGACCCTGCATAGAGCACATTTTCCTGGTAATTTTAAAAAATTCTTTAATAAAAACAATTCCTTTTTAACCTGATCAGTAGCTTGCCATCTTTAACTCTATAAAACAGTTATCTGCCCCTTATTAACATTCGTGGTCGGCACTTGGGTTCTGTGTTAATTTATAAAATGTATTTATAAAGAAAATGTATGAACAAGAACTCACCCTGACTTTATCAACTTAATTGACTTAATCCAAGAAAATATGAACAATACACTTTTAATACACTAGGTTTGATGATTAAAAAATGTGTGAGTGACATCCCCTGCAAATAAAAAAAATATGATTGTACCGGTACCATAATTTGTAGCTATTTTAATATTTTAAGACCACATACTATTTTTTAAGTTACAATGCAATATTCCATTATAGCGAATTCGTGTATGGTATGTTGTAGATAATATGTCGGTGTTGAGCTGACGCATTAGGCTAGGGGTCGTCCATAAAATAATGAACATCACACTAGTAGAGGTGAGTGGGAGTGTCCGTGACGGTGTGTGATCAGAGTTTCTTCCAGGCATCTCTTCGGGGAGGCGAAGCCACCCCCCCCCCCCGAAAATTTTTTACCGCCCCCCCCCCCCCGAACGAAACGAAATTTATATAATTTATATAGAAAATATATACTTTTAACAGTGTCCGCCCCCCCCCCCCGAAGAAAGTCTACCGCCCCCCCCCAAAATTTCAAGTGCCCCCCCCCCCCCCCGGAGAAAAAAGTCTGGAAGAAACACTGTGTGTGATGAGGAGGGTAGGGGATGTTCAGATAGTGTGTGACGTCGCCCTTTTACATTAGGAAACATTTGAATGTTGTTAGAAAACTAATTTAGCTGTTATTTCGATTTTTAGAAAACTGTTTTAATAAATTTTAATAGAAAATTGTAATACTCTATGTTGACCGTGCTCAGTCAAGATTTTAGAAGAAAAACATCGATGTTCTAAGAATAATTCAACAGCGATTTTCTGGGGGGGGGGGGGTATCAGTGTTTCTTCCAGACTTTTTCTCCGGGGGGGGGGGCACTTGAAATTTTCGGGGGGAGGGGGGGCGGTAGACTTTCTTCGGGGGGGGGGGGCGGACACTGTTAAAAGTATATATTTTCTATATAAATTATATAAATTTCATTTCGTTGGGGGGGGAGGGGCTTTGCCCCCCCCCCCCCCCCGAAGAGATGCCTGGAAGAAACTCTGGGGGTTATGCTGAGGAGTAACGTCATTTTAAGGGTGATCCTGTGACGATGTGTGACGGAGGAGAGGGGGCGGAAATTCGTCAGAAAAGCGTGTTGTCAATTATAGATGCTTCTAAAATTGAATTCTTATGATTAAGTAAATTATCTTTTCCCGGGGGTCCTACTTGACGTCTGTTTGTTGTAGTGGAAGTAGGGCCGAAGGAGAGGGAGAGAGACTTGAAAACGCCCCACTGGTTGAGCGCCACTATAGGCTATGTTTCTTTCAGCCCCCCCCCCCCCCCCCCACACACACACACAGTCGGAATAGAAAAAAAATCAAAATTTATTCTTTAACTTATATATGTCTCCCTATGAAAATTTAACCCCCCCCCCTCCCCCCATCTTCCAAAAGTTTCAAGTCCCCAACACCCAGAGAAAGATATCTTTAAAAAAAAAACCTGATAGTGGGTTTCCATGGCCGGCGATAGTCAGCATGTTTTTCTTGTTCAAGCGACAAGTCCTCACTTACCTGAGTATCGCCATTGATGTCCACGGCCTGAGAGCCAACCAACATCTGCTATCATTGGCCAGCCCAGTTATAAAATAACAGTAAAAATTAAAAACATATCAATTACATTAAAGTCAATCTAATGTATACTAGGAAAGAAAATTATTTCTGCACAATATCTTCCTTAGTTTATTCATTTTAGAACACAAGAGAAATTTCTTTCTTTTCTTTTGATTCTTCAAACATTGATAACAATGTAATTTCTTAATTAATGTCGTTTGTTTATTACTAAATTACGTAGAATAACTTTAAATTAAATGAAAATATGATCTATACTATTCTATACAGGAAATAGTAGGGCATAATCATGCACTGCTTGGTATAAGAGAGGTAATTCTGGAATACCTATTTTTCTTGTTTAAAAACAGAGTTGTTTCCCATTGCTTATCATATCTCAAACATAGTCCTTACTTTTACTTTAATCTCAGTTCTTAGTTTCTATAATTAAAACCGTAATTCTTTTTTTTTTTAGATGTAATAATTTACCAGACAGTGAGACCAGCAACACTAACAAAATATAAAGGTAAACAGAGAACTACCAAAACATTGCTGATAAACAGAGAACTGCCAAAATCTTGCCGGAAAATCGAAATAATTTTCCGGAGTATGTTGGAACTAATAAAATTTTTTTATAAAAACACCAGTTGGCAGAGGCGTAGCGACCCTTCCCGGCGCCCGGGGACAAACTTTTCGATTTGCAACCCCCAACCCCTCAAGATTTCGATTTGCACACCCCCCCCCCCCCCCTCTCAAACTTTTGATTTGCACCCCACCAGTGGCGGAACTAGAAAAAAAAGGCTCCCCCGCAAAAAAAATTTTTGGGCCCCCCATATATATATATATATATATATATATATATATATATATATATATATATATATATATATATATATATATATATATATATATATATATATATATAGTCCGAACTCAAATCGGGCCTGCAATAATCCGTTTTACAAGTGTTTTTATTCCTTTTTTTTTTTAAATTTTGATACGCTTCGCGATTCTGCGTACAATTTCATGTTTATCGCAAATTGATAATAAATATAATTTTTTGAGCTGGTCAGATTTATATAAACACGTAAGCTTGATTTGTGCAATGGTTTCTCGCGTTATGCTTATTTTTATGATTTTTGTATTTATATTATTAGTTTTGAATACATTCATTTTTATAGCTTTAGGATTCTTTAGTATGCATTATTTAGATAATAATTAAGAGAATAAATTGCTTTTTAACTTACATAGTACAAATCTATTTAAATGAGCTTTATGGGCACCCCTATTTTAAAGAAGGGCAGTAAGTCATGGAAGTAGTGTGAACGTTTGCCTATCTTTCAAACTACAGCTCTTGTAGATTTTATATTTTTCTACGCAACAGTGTGTGTTAGTTTCTGTAGAACAATCACTGCTATAGTAGACATGTTTGTTTTTTATAAAACCACTATCAAGGTGCGCGAAAAATATTATTTATGAAAAGAAAATTCATTGTTCTTTTCGGTCGGAATTGGGCCCCTAAACGTCGTGGGCCCCCCCCCCCCCCGCATTGCGGGGTCTGGCGGCACTGTAGTTCCGCCCCTGCACCCCACTCAACCTTTCAATTTATTTTTCCAACCCATTTTGGCGCTCACTAAGGTCGGCGCCCGGGGACATATGTCCCCCCCCCCTCGCTACGCTACTGTCAGTAGGACAATATCTACACTAGTAGGATAATATCAAAACCAGAGGCGTAGAGAGGGCGGGGCGGGGGGTGTGGACCGCATCGGGTGACACCATTTAGGGGGGATGACACCAAGGCAAAAAAATTGCAAAATGTACAGAAGAAAAATGCCTTTTTCCAGTTCCTTTAATGATTAATTAAAGTTAAATGGTCTTTTAAGTACAAATTGACAATTATTACAAGACGGTGGGGGTGACACCATGACGTAAACGTGCTAACCATAGAGAAAACAGTGCTACATAAAACTGTATTATTAAAAGACTATAGATAAACATGGTTACTATTAAGTATGCATTTATAAAAGCTTATACACATACATGTTAGCGTATGTGGCATATATTTAAATTATATGCCTCTGTATATATATATATATATATATATATATATATATATATATATATATATATATATATATATATATATATATATATATATATATATATATATATATATATATATATATATATATATATATGTGCTTTATTTCTTTGGGGGGGGGGGGGTTGACACCACGAAGTGCCGCACTGGGTGACAACCGACCTAGAGACGCCACTGACAGGACCACATCTCCACCATTGTTGGGGTGTTTTATTTTATGTTTGTTTGTTGTTGTTGTTGTTTTTATGTTGTTTTTTTTTAAATCGAGGTTTAAACATATTTTTAAAATCCAACTTGCTAAACAAAATTGTGGCCTTATGAATGTCTTACCATTATTACACAAGAATCCCATTTTTCAACAAGTGAAAACATTCACTACAAAAAAATTCGTAGTGAACTTTTTTTTAAAATATTGAACAGTAGGGTCTATAGTTCTGCGGCGCAATTAATATAATAGGTACCAAAATCTGGGGGCGGGGGGGGGGGGGGGAAGTGTACCTAGCAAGGTTGATTGAGCCAAATAATTCGCTAATGAGCCAATCAATTTTATCAACCTAAATTGTGTAACTTTTCTATTTTATCTTACAAAAATTATACTTTTACATTACAATGTGAAAGAAAATCAAAATTTAACTAACTTATTATCCACCTCCTCCTAGCATAGATCCGTCACACAAGTACACCCCCCCCCCCCCCCTCCCTCCCCCGTTTCTTGTTTTTTTCCAGCAGTGTAACATCATTAAAGTACGACACCTTCTTTTACAGGAGAGAGCGAATTAAGAAAGATAACTGGTGTTATATTTTTTTAATATGACATTTTCCAGATTTTTAAAAATATAAACTTTTTTTTCATTTTTAGTTTAATGTTAAAAGCCAATGTTGGACAGGTCAGTTACTTGATTAGCATATCGGTTCAGAACGTGTTATCGTTGTTTTTGTTTTGTTTTATCCATAATTGCGACAATAAATATTTCTTTCGGGTTTTTAATGATTAATTCATCAACTAGGCCAAGTGCGTAGATAACGTTTAAAATTATCAAATTAATCTAATATTATCTTATCTGATTTTACGATAAAACTTTAAAATAAAATATCAATTGGAAAAGTCTTAACCATTACAAAAATAAAACGTCGACAGTTTTGTGGGCTTTTTAAATTATTTTTTTTTTAGTTTTAGTTTGGTTTGTTGCTGAACCTGGAAAGATTGGTGACAAGTCTCCCTCCCCGCCCCACCGACGCTGTTTAGTTTTTAATGGTGTCACAGCACAGGTATCTCATGAACTAGGCCACTTCAGGTGATTTACTAAATGCACTTCGTCCTCCTTAGATTTATTTCCGCATATTATAACATGAAATTTAACCAAAATTTACAATATCTGTTTTGTTACATTTGAATAGACAAATAATACTGTTAATTATTTTTGCAAGTGAAACAGAAAATATAAGTTACCTGACAGTCGCATTGTTAACAAAATGGCGCACGGAGCCAAACCAGGAAATAGCAACTTATTTTCTGAAGGACAAGTTTTAAGCCCATTTTAACTTACTTACACGAACTAATAAAGTATTTAACAAATAAATATTATTTATCAACTTTAAACATAAGTAGTTCTCTTTATTTTCACACTGAATTCACACTTGTTAGTGTGAAAAGTTATGTCAATGTTTTGAACTTTTTAGTGCAGGCAAAGTGAGAAATACACTCAATTACACTCACACTGACTACTGAGAGTTACAAAGTTAAAGTTAGGTAATAAAATTAAGTTGTATGTATACTGTAGTATATAAGCCTAATACTACTTATAATACTGATGTTTGTATTGTAACTATTGTAAGGATTGAGAGCTTCACATTTTTTTCTCTATATAGTATATAAGGCCCCTAAAAAAACACTTGAAGAATAGTATATAGGTAGTTAGTTAACATAGTACATAGACATAGGCCTAGTATTATAGTTTAACTTTTTGGGGCTTTACAGAAGTTGTAGTGATCATACTGCCATGAGAGTTGAAAAATAAAATTTATAACATAGGCCCTAAGGCCTAAAGCTACCTACTAATTATTCATTTAAAGTTGCTTGGCTGTGTATAAAAAGTCCACCTGTTATCATTGTCATTTCCATGTCCAAATTCAGTTATTTTATTAGGTCCAGGCTATATGTTAGCTAAAAATGTTGACCTCACAATACTGACTCATTGTATGTTATAAATATAGCAGGCTACTCAAAGGCTTGTGAATGTCTAGTGATAATAAGTATTCAATAACATAAGACTTACTTTGCTTCTTATTTAACTTGCTGTGCTAAAGAAGCAGATTTTATGCTCTGCAAGCCTAACAGACACCACCACAATTGATGAAATTAAAATTTAAAAGCTAAAAAAATTTTTTTAATAAAATGTTTTTTTTCCTTTCCAACTGGGTAGTGGGTCTACAGAATGTAATATATAGTTTGTTTTTTTTTTTGTTTTTTTTTGACAATAGGAGTGTAAGGTAAAATGCCCTATCAGGTACAGAACATAAGATTCTGAAGTAGGATATTTTTATTGAGATTCTGAACAAATATTAAGTTGAGTTGTTCGTCTGAAAAGTTTCCTATGGTTTTCATATATTTAACCTCTCCTTTTCAGAACACCATGTCGTGGCTTCTTTTAATAAGTTCAGCGCTTTTGATAGCGCTGACTTCATCACAGAGTGGGGGTCCGCCCAGAGAGGAAAATTGTTTGATAGACTCCACTGCTGGATGCTCATATGCCAGAGCCCCGTAAGCTGTTTAACTATGCTGTATTAATCATACCACACATTAGAGAAGAAATGGGTTTTATTTTCACTGTTTATTCTCATGCAACATTTCATTTGCCAAATACTTTTTTTTTTTAATGTCTTCTGAATTTCATGAAAAAAATAAAATTAGTAATAAAACAGATAGTATTAGTTACCTCACAAGTTAAAGACAGTTACAAGTACTATGGACGTTTAACCCAAGGTCTTCGTCAGCACACACCAGTGTGATTACAGATTAGACAAATAAAGACAAACAGTAACACATTTTTTGACTTAGCTCGACAGTGAAAACACGTCTTGTCTGCTAGCCACGATATCCAAAAGAAAAGACGCGTGAGAAGGACGCTTGGACACTGTATAGGGGTGGGGTTGGGGGCGTGGTGTATGCGGGAGGGGGGGGGTTGTTAGGTGAAAGATATCTGTTCATTCAAGCCATCGGGTGCCCGTGTACCAAATTTAAGTATTAGTCGCGTTTCAGTGCTAAGGCGATTTTTAAAATTGTGGCAAAACCGAACGGCGGTTACACAAAAGTCCTTTTTTAAGTCATGCCCACTCTTGTTGAAGTGTTTGGCCACAGGAAGACCGTCTTCATTGTTGATTGATCGCAGGTGTTGGCTAACCCTGTCAGACAATCTTTTCCCCGTTTGTCCGATATAAAAGATGTTGCAACGCCTGCACTGGATGACGTAAAATACGTTGCGGGACTCACAGTTGAAGTGATTTTTAATTTTGAGGGTTCCCATCGGCAGCTGCAGTGATTCAACCTGAAGGGTGAAATGACAGGTATTGCATTTACGGGGACAAGGAGTGGTGCCAAAACCGGTGTTGGTAGTGGGTGGCAGGCGGCTGCGAACTAAAAGGTCTCTAAGGTTGCGTTCTGTTCTATACACAACCAAAGGATTCTGTTGAAATAAATGGCCTAAATGGGGGTCTGACTTGAGGATAGAATAATTTTTTATAATGATATTTTTAGCCAAAACTGAATGAGGATGGTAGGGTAAGATGAGTTTAGTTCTATCTGACTTTTGTTTTGGAAATTGTTGAAGGGAGGCTTGGTGGTCAACAGTTGTTATGCTGTGTAGTGCTGACTGGAGTATATGCTCCGGGTATGACCGGAGTCGGAAGAACTGTAGTAGCTCATGGGCCTTGATCCAAAAGTCGTCATCATCTTGACAAATACGTCGCAGTCTTAATAATTGTGAGAATGGTATAGAATTTTTGCAGGCCGGGGGGTGTGACGAAGAGTAAAGCAGATATGAATGCATGAAAAAAATAACTATTTTTAAAGTATTTTGTAATGTAGTGCTTTTTTAACCATCCGTTCATTTTTTCATTCCCTTGGCTCTGTAGTGTTTTAAAGGCTTGAGCCTGCTTTAAACCAAAAAAAATGTTGTTTTTATTCTTTCATGTCTTGTCCTAGCTGTCTTAGGTCTGACTGCATGTCATCTATCTGTTTTAGCCTATGTCTGCCATTTGGTTGTTCCTCTTTGTCGGTCTTGTTATATACCACTTTCACCCATCTGGGTTTGTCATTCTTTCTCAAAGTCTCCTATATTCAATTTCTGCCACTATTGTAGGGTTTTTGTATATTTCAATGTCACAAATCTAATGGTCAGGTTGAATTCTTCTCTTCAGGATTTTATTAAAGTTTATCATTCAACTGTGATTTTATTTTAATAATCTAGTTTATTCATATTATAATTAACTAATTTTATAATAAGATATTAAACTACATAATTTGTTGTTTAAAGAAGTAAATCATGTAGTTACTTTTAAAAACATTTTGAAACATTTTTACTCATGACCACCATTTTATTACTTTACGTTTAGTTGACTAGTAGATCTATTTAAAATTGTAAATTAATACTAGTTATAATTGATGAATTTTTATTTCAGTCAATACCTGATTATAGCCCCTAAGAAAATCCGGCCTAACCAGGTTTTCCAAGTGTTTGCTACCATTTTGAGAATGGAGTATAATCAAGAGTTTGTTCATGTTATTGTGTCTATCATCAAAGGGGATACAGAATATGCCAACACTGCCATGCGCTTTGATAGGCCAAGCAGTCGTATCATGCAACTGCAGGTGAGAGGGAGAACAATTTTAGAAATTCTTCCTAATGTTTACAAACTAAAGTATTTTTGCTACTTTATTTTATTTTATATTTTTTAAAATACAAATTACAGCTAATTAAATAATTTTTATATTCTTCTTATTTTTTAATCTAATTAATCAGTTTTGTCGTATATACTAAAAATAAAGGTTTGTTAAATTAAGTAATCCCATGTTTTTTGTGTTCACACAGATGCCCTCCAATGCTCCTGATGGGCAGTATCGTATCAGAGTTGAAGGACGCTTAAATGAACAAGACACAGGCAATATCTGGGCAAATGAAACAGATATTGACTTCAGCACCAAGCAGGCCTCACTGTTTATACAGATGAGCAGACCTTTGTACAGACAAGGCCAAATGGGTTAGATAGATTTCTACTATTTATTTTATTGTCAGTGTTGTTGCTATTAATTTGCAAATTTTTTTCATAATTCTAATGTACTTAATTCTTAATTAAATTGTCAAAAGTATGGTCTGAACTTTTCTTCATCAATATAAAAGCAGAACTGTAACTTGTTATAAAAAAAATAAGTCTATTCTTCATGATATTTGGTCATTAGGTCAGATGAATTAGAGCTCTTCACTTTCAGTGGTCTTAGCACACCCCACTCCATTAGATGTACAAGTATTATAAAATAAACTAGTCTGAAAGTACAAAAATTAATACTTGACATTTAATGTAGCTATGTCCTGATTTTTAGTTTTTGGGCACTCCTTAATTAGAAACATAGGTTAATGGATCAATTGTTATTTCAGTCTCAATTCTACGATAGTTTGTGAAACTAAATATTATTATTAATGCCAATCATTAATGAACCATTTTTTTTGCAGTACATTTCCGGGTTATCCCCATTCTGCCAAACATGATGCCCAAATATGGAAGCATGATTGTATATATTGATGTAAGTACAGTTTTCTGAATACTCAATGTAATTAAGCAACATAAAGAATATCATTTTCTCTGCTTTTTTTAAAATATAAGTTGCAGTTATTAACCAGCTAAAGTATTAAAAATGAATAAGATCTCTGTAAAATTAAATAAAAATGTATTTAATATAAACATTTTTGTTTAAATTCAGACAAATGATATTAATGATAAAATAATCACTCAAAATTGTTTTTTTTTTAAATGTAGGGGTCTATTAGGAAATTAGAAACTTTGTTGTTTATCAACTAAATTTTTAAAATTATCTTTTTATTAAAATAAAGAGTTTAATTAGTAAAGGCTCTTTTTTTTATAAATGTTACCATTTGGTGCTTACCGTTGTGTCTTCTTCATGTATCCTTAACCGCAATTATTTATTTTAAACTTGGATTTTTTTATATTAAGCAAATTTTTTAAATATCAGGATCCAACTGGGATACCAGTTAGAAGGTGGCAGGGATTACAAACAAACGCTGGTGGTAAGTGCATCGCTAGTTAAAAATGTTTACCTTAGTAATCCTTAAAAAAGATTTTCATTGAAATATAATGAACTAGTTTAATTTGTTCACTTATAAGCTTTTTTAAATTTATTTTTACTCTAGGAATTGTAAGTCAGAGTTTTGTTCTGTCTGATCAGCCCAACTTTGGAACCTGGAATATTCGTGTAGATGCTTTTGTGAGTACTTTTCTTGATTAAGTTTGTTACACTCTGCTTCTTAGGTGTTTTTGTCTCGTTTGGGCCAGGTGTAACAATTATAAATAAATACAATCCACAACGAGAATCTGTATCATGGGTGTATAATTATCATCAAACACAAGAACATATGACAAGAAGAAAAACGGACGAGTAGATACACGATGTTGACGCCACACCACATTGCTTCACACACTGCCTCGTTCACACACTTTGTCCCGCTAGCACACCACTTTCAAGGGTAGGCTACTCTCAAACACACTCTCCGTGCCTACACATTTTCATTTTAGACAATACACGTCACAAAGTTAAATCATAAAATGTATTACACATTATGTTGTCAGTATTTAAAATACCTTAAAATGAATTTACTACTATAATACTAAGCTATGCAATTATTTTATCCTAACTTTCTATACCAGGGCCATGTGTACAGACACCCATTTGTGGTGGAGGATTTTTGTGAGTACATCATTCTAGTAATATTTTTGTCTTGTTTTAATTATATTTACCTGAAAATAAAGCCCTGTGTTTTTTCACCTTGCTAAAAATATTTGCAGCTTGTAGAATAAATATTTAATTAGTAGTATGCATTTCTAAAATAATTTCTCTAAAATCTCTCTCAGGGGAACCACGCTTTGATGTAAATGTCACTGTTCCACCCTATGTTATGGAGACACCTGAAATCAAAATTAGAGGAGTGATGCTAGCAAAGTGAGTTGAAGTTTTTGACATGTATAAATTAGCTATAAAGGGAATGGGTGTATTTTATGCCATATTATTTACCAAAATAGATTTAATTTTCTAGAAATCAAGGGCAGCATGCCATTAAGTGTGTAAAATATTGGCACACAATACAACTTAATTATGTTGGAGGAAAAAAGCAACAAAGTTGGGCTTAATACCCGTCAATGTTACAAATTAAGAATGAAAGAAGAATTTTGTATAAATTATAATAGAAAAAAGTGTCACTGGTTTTTTTTTCGTGCTGTTCCATAATTTTTCACTCATTCGATTTTATAACAGTGAGATAGCAGTGAAACTTTGTTTAAGCTTACATGTATTCCAATCCTCCCAACAGTCACACAAGTGGTCGGCCATGTGTTGGTAACGCTTCAATTACTGCCTTCTTCCGCCCCCGTGAGGAGATATGGAACGCCACAAAAGGGTGGGAAAAACCTTACTGGGATGCACAAAAATCTGGAAAACAACAGTCAGGGGTACCTGTGAATGTGCCCGATTACAGACCAGTTTCTGAAATACCAGTCAAAGACTTCCACATGTATTTTGCTTATGAATACAGATTCATTAAATATGTAAGATTTTTTTTTTATTAATAGTAATTTTAAAATTATTAATCTTGTATTAAAAAAGAAATCTAAATTTTTTTTTTAATATCAACAGAAGACTTAAGATTTTCATGTCTATATGAATCTTATGATTTCAAAATTCATAGTTTTAAAAAAATATATTATACATATTTGAAGTTTAAAGTGATATATTGCTTTATTTCATGTATTATTTATAAATCAACACCCCTTTTATTTATTATTTTAGATTTTAAAAAATCTTTTTGCATGACTGTATAAAACTTATTCTAAAACTATAATGTTAATTAAATTTATTTAAATTATATTACGTTAATTTCTCCTGTTATGTTTTAATATATTTATTCCAAGAAACTAACTTTGTCAGTCCAATTCGGATCATTTTTTTTTCTTGGAAACTAAACATTTGTTGTTTTTTTTTCAATATTTCAGTACACTGGTAGAATAGATTTTGAGTGGAGTCTTGAAGAACTAATGACCATCGCTAAGAGGGGAGGTGAAAGTGGCTCCCTCGTAGATAGTGAATTTGTTTTCTTTGCTAACGTGTCGGATTGGTACTCTGGTCTGAATCGCACTGGATGGGCAGGGACTATCATGTTTGATAACAAATACAAGCTGAAGTGGGTTGGTGAGGCAGTCCGGACATTCAAACCTTCATCTATTATGAAAATACAGGTAACTTAGACCTATATTTTAGCTTTAATTACATGTTATATTACAGGTTATAGCTTATTTAAATAAAATCACCAATTTCTGGGAACAGGGCATTTCCCCCCCCCCCCCCCCCCCCCCCCCATAGCATAAGCTTAAGGTACATTTAGGGTTAGAGTTAGCGCAAGGGTCAGAATTTAGGGTTAGTGTTAGACTAATGCCTAAGGTTGGGGTTGGGTTGAGTTTTTGGCAGAGGTGAATGTTAAGGCTTTTTCTTAAGGTTAGGATTGAGGTAATAGACCCTTGACCCAAAGTTTCCATACTTAAATTATTGATTCATTCCTAAATTGATACAATGTGTTTTTCCTAAAGGTGGCTATCACAAAATATGATGGCACACCTGTTGACACAGGTGGTACCATCACCTTGACCGATGTCATTACTGACAACTCAGGAACAAGTGGCAGACTCTCAGGGCCTCAGACAAGAACACCTATAAATGGAATAGCAGAGTTTGAGTACACTCTAGGAACAAACACACAGAATGTGTTGCTCACAGTAAGCTATTTGAACTGCATAATGCATGTTTCTTTTAATGGCAAATCTTAGTTTATATTAATCTATATATGGAAATTTATACGTGGTTATGGATCACAGATTTTTATCTTAACTTAGCAGTGCTGGTTTTTACATTTAAACTAAGATATTTTGTCTTTCACATATTACAATATAATTATCTTAGTAATGTATGCTATTCTTGGTAAAATCATACAATATTCACTTTTTTATTATAATTATCTCAGAAATTTATTCTTTGTAATGTTATACAATATTTTTTATTAGGTTATGTTTTCCAGCAACTTTATACACACAAAAATTTCTCTGCTTACAATTTTGTTTTACCTTTACTATTTAAGGCAACCTTTTTGGATGCTCGAAAGCCTTACAGTGGAAGCAATCAGATCTACCTCGATCCAAAATTTAATATTGGAACTGTGCCTTCTATCACTCTGCGTGCTTGGCGTTATTACTCTCCTACCAACTCATACATTACCATTTTGACTTCAACTGATAGCCCTCAGGTGAGTTTGATACATTCTGAGAATATTTTAGATTTTATTAGTATCACCACCTAAGTTTGTTATTCTAGAAGTTGTTAAATTAAAATTTTACCAGTATTATGTCACACTAAATTTTAGAGATCCATTTGGAAATGTTTTTTATTGTGTTTGATTATGTACTATGTTTTTAAATAGGTGAATGAGTACATGATTTTCCATGTGAAAACAAGCAGCTTTGTGCCTAGAATTTACTATCAGGTAAGGCTTTTCTCATTTCCTAATTGTAGTCCTAATCAGACAAATTTTAAACTTTTTTCTTTTAATTTTAAAATATTTAATGATTAATCATCAGACTTGCAGTGTTTATATGATAGTATTTAATGTGTGTTCTGCTGACTAAATAAGCAGTTTGATATCAAAGTCTATCCATATTATCTAAAATTTTAGAAACTCTGCTTTTATGTTTTAGTTATAAATATGCTTTATCACATACTTTATTACTAAAACATTTAATAAAATTTTACATGCCAATTATTTTTAACAGATTGTCTCACAAAGCAACATCGTCATTGGAGATCAGATTGAGATGACCTCTCGACAGAAGACGTTTGCTATTTCATTGTCTAGAGAGATGGTGCCAAATGCTCGTCTTGTTGTCTACTACATTAGACAGCCTGAAGAGATAGTCACAGATGTCCTCAATTTCTTTGTGAATGGAACCAGACAAAACTTGGTGAGCCCTGCTAGTTAGTGCATACGTTATTTAGCTAAAAGTTTCAGTTGTTACTTTTTCTTTTTTTTAGCTGGATTGTAATAGAAATTATATTCTTTTATAGACGAATAAATTAGCTTAATATTAATAGTAACCAGTGTATTTATGTAACTAAAATAAAAGTTGATGAAGGAAAATTTGGGAAGAAAAAATTTGGTAGACTTGGATGAAAAGTTGATTACAAAGTTTTATCTTTGCTATTGGATATGAAGGCCTACAGCCAACTCTCTTTAAATTTAAGCTTTTTAAAAGTTTACCTTTCTGGCTACAGCTAGATAAATAAATGTACTTACATATACACATTTTCCAGGTGACACTTGGCATTAACAGAGGCAAAGATTTCAGCCGCGACACTATTGAATTCAATGCCTACGCTGACCCCGGCTCATACGTTGCCTTTAGCGGGATGTTACTTGACCAGTACAGCCGTGGGCTGAGTGATGGCATCACTGAAAACAGGGTTTGTTTTATTTTGTTGTCTGCTGGTTCTTTGACAATTCACAATTTACTACAAGTGTTTACATCATAGAGTCATAGACAACTGTACTTGTCCTAACATAATTTATTTGGTTAGAAAGCTGGAATTTGCCAGTTCTAAAAATAAGCTACAAAATCTTCACCACAAAACATTGACATAAATACAGTTTTTCTGACATATTTAAATCCTACATTTTTAAAATTAACAAATCAAAAACATTGAATACATTAAGCTTTATCATTAGTAACCAGAAACAAGAACATTTTTAAAGGGGTTCCAATGACAACAAAAAATATTTTCAACATTTTTCCCACTTGTTTTAAAATGTACGGTTATGTAATCTACACTTATAGGTTTAAAATCCAAAAATAATAATAAAACTAGTAGAAATAAAATTGAATATGCTCCTGTTAAATTTGTTTTGGAAATTTAAAGCCTCTTGTAATGTTGTCAAAGTTTTGTAAACGTCATTCATCAAAGTATGTTCTATCTCCTTTAAAATGATAATCAATTGTTTATAATTTTATTCTGATTGGTCTTCCCCTTGTGTTGCAGCTGATTGATGAACTTTTGACCTATGATGCAACTACCAATGGAAGCTACCGCCATTTATGGAGAGTCAGTGACACTGAATATGAGTACAATTTTTTCCATGGCCCAGATTATGGTGTTGACACCAACACAAGTTTTCTTGTAAGTATGGCGAACAAATTATCATGTTTTGTTATTTTTCATATCCATAAATCACAAAAATTAGTTTTGATTGAAGTATTGATATATTTTAATAATAAATTATAAGAGATTTTGGCGAAAGAAAAAACTTTCTAAAATATCAAGCTAAATCTTAATAACGTAAAATTTCAAATATATGTTTCCTTAATCTACTCCATTTGTTCCAAGTTATTGAGCAAGTGTATTGTGAATTTGCACTAACATTTTTTTGTTTATATTCTGACAGAGTGCAGGTTTGCTTGTCTTAACTGATGCAAGGGTACCAAGACTCTTCAGTAAGTCAACAATCTCACTTTAATAAAAATAGAATCAAGTCTCTATTTTTGACTAAATAATGGTAGACAATTTTTTTTAAACTCTTAACATAGAAAGAAGACTTCTCAGTTATATTCATTTTTATGTGATTTATTTTTTCAGATGAACAGTTTTGTCGTGTCAATCAGAAGGCTAGCCCCTGCTTCTCTGGTATTGAAGGAGAGTGCTTTACAGATGAACAGAAATGCAATGGCAAATGTGACTGCACAAATGATTGTGGTGATGAATGGGGCTGTAAGTGCTTTCCGAAGTATTTGTTTACACTTCCATATTTATTCAAGATGTATTTTAAAAATTCTTTAAAAATCTTTCTAAAACGTTTTCAGGCAAAAATGTTAGTAATTATTCATCACATCCATAAATACAAAAACAATACTTTTATTTTAAAAGTGTAAAAATGTTCATATCTATGATTAATGGTTTGCCTTCTTCTCAGAACTAACCTGACTATATAATTTTTTACAACATCAGGTGTGGAGCCAGATATATCACAGAAACATCTTTCTGCCATGGATAGAGTCAGCAGGGTGATGCGCTTTTATGACAACAGTTCTTGGGCCTGGCAGGAGATCTTTGTCAAGTGTGTATTTTTTCATTGAGTTTTTTGAGTATTATAGCCACTCTTATCAAGTGTGTATTTTTTTAATTAGTTCTGTGGGTATTGTAGCCTCAGTTGTCAAGTGTGTATTTTTTCATTTAGTTCTTTGAGTATTGTAGCCACACTTTAGCTGTTTTTTAATTCAGCATGTTTTATTCATGTTACATTGTAAACCTTTGAACGTTAAAGATGGATTTAAATATTTTACTAATAAATTATTGAAATTAAAACAAATTTTAAACATTAATATATCCATGACTATGATGGTTAAATTTGCTTACTTTTATTAACTATGGTTTTAAAATGTTAACGTTGCAGTATAAAATTGTACACTACGATATGTTAAATTTTTAAAAAAATTTCTTGCAACCATTCTCACAGGCCAGATGGCAGAGTTGATTTCCGTGTGGATGTCCCCAAATATCCATTGTCCTGGGTCATCAATGGTGTGTCAGTGAGCAGAGAACTGGGTCTTGGTATAATGTTGAAGCCTGTTAGGGTAAGACACATTAAGTTTTAGTTTTTACATTTCAGCTTTGGGCATTTAAAAATCTAACTTTTTCATTATAAAATATTATTTTTAATCTAACCATAAAATAAATTAATAATTAAACAATGCTTTTACTACACATTTTATGTCAAAATTATTTTTAATTATATAATTTTTTTTAAAAATATAACATTCAACATTGCTGACTTAATTGAATTGTTTCGTATCTAAAATATATTCTATATATTATGCCTTAGTAACTCTGTGTGTATTTTGTTCTAGTATGACGCTGCTCGCTACATGTACATGCAAGTTGAGCATCCCCAACATATTATCAGAGGGGAACAAATTGGTGTCAGGGTCACTGTCTTCAACTACTGGTACGACGATGACTATCTTGAGGTGTGTTTTAATTTTTTTCATTTTATAAAATTCATTAGAAATCCACAGCTTACAAAAAATCAAACTCAAGTTTTTGTTAGGAAAATATGAGTCATTTTTATAAAACAGACATTAAGAACAGAGTGGACATGCGATAGAGCTTACCACTGCTAACATGAAAAGTCTCGAGTTTGGATCCTGGGCTCAAGTCCAGAGTCTGTAGCGGCTGGGCATAGTGCTGACCACATTATCCCCATGTATGCCAATGCTGCTGAAACAGATGAACTCTACTTCATCAGCTCTGTGTGTCTTTGGATCAAATAGGAAAAAAAGATGATACATTAAGAACAATATTCCAGAGATTATAGTTTAAAAGTATTTACAGCCATAAACAAATTCTGGAATTCTGAGGTTATTTTTTAAAAATATTATATTATTGTAAGTTTAAAAATTGCAATATATTAATTTCTTTTTGATTAATTAATTAATTTTTTAAATTTCACCCTCAGGTTCTGATAACTATGCATGGAAATGATGACTTTGAGTTTGTCACTGTTGGTGAGATGGGCTATGTCACTTCCTACACACCACCTACTCACAAAGGAGACCATCAGACAATCCTGTTTGTAAGTACATTTAAAATTTTAGTCACAAAAAAACAGATGGGTTACAACTGTTGTTCCCATTTTATTAGAGTTATCTTCCTTGTGTTTGTAAATGGGTTAAGTTTAAGCTTCAACTAATTCTGAAGACTAGAGATTTATTTTGATTTTTTTCTCTTGGTATTAATTAAATTAATTTTTCTAAAAATAGTTGGAGCCAGGTGAATCTAGAGATATTTACATGCCTATAGTGGCTAGTAAAGACATGGTGAGAGGAATTCTTCAATTTAGAGTCTCAGCCACTTGTTTTATGCAGAAAGATGAGTACAATGGCACTATGTATGTGAAGGTAAGGGCTCTATTTTTTCTTTAATCCTTTTATTGTTTGGTTTTAAAGCAACTTTTGAAAATTTGCACTTATTTCATTAAAACTCAATAAAGGCAATTGATTTATCAACTTAAGGGGATATGCGCGGAAAAAAATCACAAAATTTCTTGTTTTTCGTCATGATGGGTTTCTTGCACTTTTGGATACTTTGTCCATTTTTGTATATAGAAAATAATAATTTTAAAGAGAAAATTTTTTTTATGTGTTTGAATTACGATTTTTATGACCCTATTAATTAAAAAATAATCAATTTTTCCCAATCTTACAAGCTCTCTATGAAAAGATTTATATCCGTCATTATATTGTATTTGACATCATTGGAAAGCTGGATTTCTCATGTATTTAATAAACTTAATTTCCTACATCTCGGAAACACCCAACGCTTACAATTGGCTTTGCAGTTTACACAGATATGGTACTTTCCTGACCTAGTTTTCGTTACTTTTGGCTGTTTTTCTCAGTTCGCAGGTTTTTAACACTAAAAAGCCTACTACTTTTTTATTTATTAAACAATGCCAACCATATTTTCAGTAAATGTTCTTGATGCGAAAATACAACTTTTGTCACGAGGGAATTGTGATTGCTTTCATAGAAAAAAAGTATTAGGTAATTAATATGCACATTTTGAAACTTTTGAATACTAAAAAGGGTATGATTTTTTAGACCTTGTAAAATTCTTACTAGTAATTATTTCAAAAAGTTGTCGTGACAAAAGTTTTAATATATATTGAAATATAAGCAGTTTAAATTTGATTGCTATAGATTCATAAATAAAAAAGCCTTAGCATTTTTAAAAGTACCGAAAAATTCAAAATGGCGGAGGTTTTTGGGTTTCCATGACAACCAAAATTGTTTTTGACCTTTTTTTTTGCTGTTTAATACTTACTTTTATATGCCAAATATGATTAAAGTATTCAAATGAATTTAGATCTTAAACTGTAAAAAATAGAAAAAAACATAGCATATCCCCTTAAGCAATTGATTTATCAACTTGTGATCTGTAAAGGGTTTTAAGATATACTGGCTTGAGAATGATTTACATGGTGCATTTTTCTGTGGCTTACGACCCAGCAAGAAAACAGGCTAATCTAACCACACCTTATCTACCCACTCTAGTCACTTGTTGATCAGCAACATACCCTCTAAGGAACAGAAGCTTTGTGTACCACATAAATTTTGTGTACTTCATCTTTTTCCATTTGTGCCTAAGACACATGGGGCTGATGAATTATAGTTCATCTGTTTCAGTGATAATTGCGTACATGGGGATAATGTGGTCAACATTATGCCCAGCCACCTTTGTTTCCCTAACGTAAGCTAGGTGCCCATCAGAGCTGGGTGGACTCAGGGATGCTATAATAAATTAAACCTCGAACTCGAGAGTCTCATATTAGCAGTCCAGACCTCTACCACTAGTCAACGCCATCTGCTTGTGTACATGGTACAACTTATCCAAGGTTATTTTCCAAAATGACTGCCCAGCATATGGTCACAAGATCACCCAGCTTAGAGAGAATGTTGTTGGTCAGTGCTAAGGCCCAGCTGCCACCAATTTCCTTGACATAGTCAGGTAGCCTACACATCAGTGATGGATAGACTTAGTGGTGTCTGATAGTACTGGCTGGTAGAGATTGGTGTAGTATCAAACCATGGACTCATCCAGGCGATGAGAAGCCTCACATGAAAACTATACAGTTGATGTTTCAGCACAATATATATAAAAAAAAAAAAACATGCTATGAATACAACCCTGAATGTTTTTTATATAACTCTGCAATGAGAGTCTGTATAAAATATGACTTTAAAATAAGTCAGTCAATAAAAGACTTCAGTACATGTCTACCCTCATCATGCTAAATGAGAATAACAAACTTAACTAATACTTTGACACATTTTTTCTTACCACATCATTCACTCTCTACCACATCATCTTTGCACTTCAAAAACAATCTATCACAACAATCTGCCACTTGATTACACTTCTCCATTACAATAATGATTGATAAACATCAATATGTTAAAATTCTGATAAGTTTTCATTTTTGACAGCCTGATGGTGTGATGAACTACTACCACACGCCCTACCTGATTGATTTGATCCGTTACGGGTCTATCAAAATCCCCCAGTATGACATCCCCGTGCCTGAACAGTTCAGGAAGCTTGAAGTCAGGTGGAACTTGTACATCTCTCAGTCCGCTGAGGCCAAGGTCTCCCTCTTTGGTGAGATTTGTTTGTTAATTTATGTTAGATGGAGCTTCTCATGTTAACTGACATAGGATTAGTTCAACTGGAAAACATCAAAACTGTAGCCTTTCAAACTTGATCATCCATAAGTGGTGGTGATTTCTGCATATTAAGCGATAGTCAGGAAATTGCCATGCCTACTTGTGAGCCAGGTACCCAACAGAGCTGAGAAGACTCAGAGGCTTAACAAACTCAGAAACCAAACTGGAGGCGTTAATAATCCTCCACTCCACAACACATGTTGTAATTCTAATAGTTAAGAGTAAGTAAAAGAAGTCAAATGGTAAAGTTTACAACTATTAACCCAAGTCTCCAGTTTGGAATTTGGGCTCAAGTCTGTAGGAAGTTACTGAATCACACCCAGCACTGATGGATTCCTGACTCACATTAAAGAAACAAAGGTGTCTGGGCATAGTAAGGGCCACACTATTCCCCTGTAAGTTGAGGTCATTGAAGCATATGAACTCTACTTCATCTGCCCTGTGTGTATTGGGCACAAATAAGTAAACAAGATTTTCTTCAACAAAACACAAGCATAAATCAAATTACTAAAAAAACATGAATCAACTGTGTAATAGACAAAAACTCTGTAACTCTTGTAAATATTGTTCCACATGTTCATACCCTGGTTATTTCCTCCATAGGTGATGTGGTGACACCTGGATTCTTTGAGGACTATTTACATGCTGAAAACACCATATTAAGGCCTTATGGTGGAGGTGAAATGATCACTTACAATTTTGCCTACAATCTTTTGACACTGAAGTTTATGAAAGCATCACAGCAGCTTCCTGATGATCAGTTAGTGAAATCTTTGAGGGAGATGAATGTTGGTAAGTGAAGCTATTTTCATTAAAATTTGTTTTTTATCAAGTACTGAACAGATCATTACACAAAAACAAAACACCAAAATATTAAACTAGAGGGAAGCTATCCTATTGCATCATTTTATTTAGAGACTAGAATCAAATAAATATAAAAGAATACTAATAAAATTGGTTTTTTGAAGTTCACTAATTAACAACACATTAAATATTTCTAAGAATCAGTTACAATAGATAGGGCCTGCTTTAGATAAGTTTAATGCTGTGCAAAGTGTAATTTGATTGCAATAAATAAAAAACACAATGTTTGACTTCTTGTTTTTTAATTTTCTAGCTCTGCAGCGTATACTTGGTTACATGAACCCTGATGGTTCCATGAAGATGTTCAGAGATGATCATAGGCCCAGTTTATGGTAAAAAAAAACATATCTTAGCTTGCTACATTTCAAGAAAGTTTTTAGGTTTCTGCTTTTTCCATGATGATTGTATTGATTTGGACTGCTTCTATAAAGAGCTTTGGATCCTATTCATTCAAAACTTGATTCAGAACATTTTAAGTTACTTAACTGGTTCCTTGAGATTTTACTCTTATCTAAATCTAAAGATTTAATGATGACTTAATTTCAGTATTTGCCTATCCGATATTTAAATACATAATTTTCCACTTTATTTATTTTCACATTAAAATAATGGCTTTGATTTTTGTTATTTATCCATTAATGTTAGTAAAATTGAACATACAAAAGGTTGTTTACAATTATATTTTAAATTTACTCTTATAAATATTTTAAAATTGATACATTGTGAACAATTGAAACGTCATTACTAAATTCTATTTGTTCCTCTCAAATATTCAGGCTCACAGCCTTTGTGGCCAAAACTGTGGATGAGGCCAACTTTGGAGAGTGGGAGCGAGATCTTTTTATCCCCCGTGAGCTGATTAACAAGTTGGTTCTTTACATTTGCTCTCGTCAGAATGATACAACTGGAGCCTTTGAACCTGATGAAAATGATGTCACCTATGACAGGAAAATGGTGCGGTTTTTTTTTTTTTTTTTTTTTTTTTTTTTTTTTTTTTTTTTTGTAGCTCATGCATTTTTTTTATGCTCTCAAGCATTTAGGTCTGCAACAAAGTTCCCAAACTTCTGTCTGTCTTTGACCACCTTGTTGCCCCTAGGTTTTAGAATGTAGGTCTGCAATAAAGTTGTCTCACTCCTTTCTTAGTTGCCCCATGTTTGATCTGCTGTCTTTTTTTAGATCTCCCTGTTCGTCACCAGGTTTCTTTGTTTACCTTTCATTTTTTTCTTACCATGTATTGTCCAAAGAAGAAGTAAAGTAAATTTTCTTTTCCAGTTGTATTGTATTATTTTTATTAGTATTTTTTAGTGGTAAAGGGAAAACTATTTATGTATATTGGTGTATACAGAGAGCCAAACAAGTAAAACAAAACAAAAATATTGGAATTTCAGAAGGGCAAAAAAAAAATTCTATTAGTTTATCATAAGGTTTTTCCAAAAATATTATCATTAAAAAAAAATTACATCAGTAAGATAATAACTTTGATATCAAATTACTAAAAAAACAAAAATAAACTTTTAAATTAGACTAAAGCAAACAAGTGTACAGGTGTAAAGTAATTTTGTTTTTCGCTTTCAAAAACATGTGACTTTTTTTATTCCCCTTGTGTAGACTCTTGTATCAGGACTGAAAGATGACAAACTTCATTCACATCCAGTCCCACTGACAGCTTATGTTTTGATTGCCCTGTATGACGTGCAGCATTCATCAGAGGTAATATGTATTTTTATATGCCTTAAAACACTCATAAGAAACAACTCAATACATAAAAGCCTACAATCAAATTTTAGTTAATTACATGTACACAATTTATAATTAACTATATAATACATACAAAACATACATATTGAAAAAAACTTACACCATCACTATTATTATCCTAACTCACAATATATGGTAGAAGACTCATTTACGGATTTAATCTATTATATGATACCTACGTAAATCACTAAACACTTTGTTCCTTGTCTTATATTAATCTACTTTTTAAAAATCTCACATCCTAGGAAGCAGCTGCTTGCATTGACACTGCTAGAAGAAAGGCTGCAGATTATTTATTCAACCAAGTGCCAAACATCAAAGAAGTTTTCCACATGGCTATCACCACCTACGCTCTCACTCGCAGTCCCAGAAGAAGCCCCTTCGACCAGCTATGGGCCATGAAAAGAAATGACTGTGAGATTATAATATTTTTAATGTCTTATATTATCATATGTATATGGTTATTTTTATTTTCTGATATTTTTTTAATTCTATAATTTGTAATTATTCTAACTTTAGTGTTGTGCATTAGGTGTACGCTGCATTAGGTATCAGCCAAAACTTTGTGTAAAGACAAATTTGTTGTGGATTTGTTGTATTAATTTTGGGGGCCTCACTGTCAGGTAGAAAATCCCTAGCAACATAACTAATTTGGTATGGTGACACCAATTTATGCAACTATACATTTAAAGGATTTTATTAGAGGACGGCATTCTTAAAAAGTGATACATCAAGGAATATCCATTCCATTTATGTTTTTTGTGGCCCCTGAGGAGCAAAGGTCGTCAGCTACATCTGTCTATTGTATCTAGAAATTACCTTCAGTCCTTCCTTTATTTCAGCTGACTTCATGTACTTTGCCGAGGATATTGTTTACCCAAATCCCTTTGACTTCCTCAACAACGTGAGGTACATCAAACCAAGGCAGGAGCTGATGAACGACGCCTACTCTGTCCAGTCCACGGCATATGCCCTCATGGCACACATCAACTACAACAGTGGCTTGAAGGTCCACAGAGAGATGATGATGTCCTGGCTTTGTACTATGAGAAATTCTATTGGTGGCTTTGCTTCAACACAGGTGGGGAAAAAACTTGTTTGTTTTTTATATTTTATAGATATAGGGCATCAACTATTTTTGTTTATTATTGCCTTTAAAGACTACAGTAAAACAATCATAGTTCAGTCTGATTCTGAAACTATTTTTTTTTGGTTTAAAATGGTGTTGTGACCGTCTAATTACCGGTAACTCAAAAGTATATATGCAAAACGACTCAATACGCCATTTACTTTTCACCTATTCATAAGTCACCATTTCTTGTTTTACATTTACAATTATCATATAGTAAAGTAATGACATTGTAGTTGGAAGCTCGTTGAGCACTAAAATTCTTACAACCAGAGGATTTTGTTTAATAAATGTTTGCTGTTAATTCTTTATCAGGATACCATTTTGGCCATGGAAGCTTTGTTCAAGTTCACCCAGATTGACCCCCATCGTAATGTCTATGACTTAACCACCACGATTGAATCCACGGCTTCTCCAAACTGGCAGAGTGTTTTCACTCTACAGAAACTTGACTATATTAGCTTGAAATCTGCTCCAGTAAGTACTAGGCACAGTGGCATAAACAAATAGAGATTAAATACTAGAATTAACCTACACTTAATAGTTTTATTTGCCTTACAGACATTTTTATTAGTTAAGTCAATGAATATGTTAATTTATTTTGGTTCAGGTATTGTCTTGCCGTTTTATTTCAATCTTATCGTCTTGTTTTTATCCTTTAGTTGCCATATGATCGTGTATGGGGATTTATTGTCCCTGATGCTGTTGGTACAGGAAGAGCCATGCTTCAGGTAAACTTCATAGCAATTAGAAATTCGAAGTTTCTATTCACTACTTGTACTAACCCTCTTGCACATCATTTTAATTCACCTCTCTGCCGCATCTTTATTTCCTTTTTCTGTTAATCTGAATTTTTCATGAGGGGCTGAACCTTTCTAGTTAAAGAATCTGAACATACAAATATACTACAGTTCTAGTTGATGCAGGCCTACTACCCAGAAGATACCTAAATTGACACTAACATTTTTTCTTATTAGCAGTGATTTTTACATTAAAATGTTTCATTTTCATTTTTTTTAGCTAACAACAACAGTGAATGTTGAATACGATTTTCTGCAAAAAATGCCGATGCATGTCGAGAACGATATGAGCCAAGACGTAATCAAGTTTTTTGCCCTCTATCCAGATGTGGTTAGATTCAGTGGCAGGAACGACTCTATTTTTGAGATGACACCTTGTGTGAGGTGAGTTTGTGTGTCTAGTCTTATGTATTCAAATGTAAAAGTATTGTACTCTTTCAAACTTGGTGGTCAATTTGGCTGGTAAAGAAGAGTTCACCTGTTTTATAGTGAGCTTGGCATTTGAAGGAATTGGTCTGCCGCCCCCCCCCCCCCTCCCCCCCCCCCCTCCCCCCAACAAAAATTTATTTATTTTTCGGTGTAAATAAATCAGCTTTTAAATCTGAAAAATATTTGTTAACACGTTGAGATTCAGTTAATGTGCAGACAAAAAAGTTTCTTTAGTTTTGTTTTGAGCAATTTTTTCCATTTTGCTCCCCAGTTGGTTGTACACTGAAAAAAGCAAGACCTCCGGCCTAACTGTGCTGGAAATTGACATCCCTACTGGGTATGTTGTGATGAACGACACTCTGAGAGATTACGTCAAATCGGGGGTGGTCCCCAATCTGAAGAGAGCTGAGCACTACCAGAGAAAAGTCGTCTTCTACTTCGACTATGTGAGTGATAATTTTCTAGTGGTGTTTTGTGGTAACTTTTTCAATGGTGTTTTCATCAGATAGGTGTGAGATTTGTAGAGAATGGAGAAGATATTTTAACTGTTATAGTGTGTGACTTGCATTAAGGAAATTAAAAAATACCTATGACTAAATGTATCAGTTTTGAAATTAAAATTTAGGATGAATTGAGGTACATGTTGACTTTAAAGATTTTATTAGTTTAGCTATGTTATAACTGGGTTTTTTCATTAGTTGACCAGTTTTCAAAACTCAATATTGTTTGTTTAATACAAACACGTTTCTAACTTTACTTTAACTGAGAAGCATAACCCAACCATTCATCCATCCAAGTGTTCTTCAGTGTGGATCAGCAGGCAGGCCTTGGAGATCTTTGGCCTGCTTTACCACCTTTTGCTGTCTTCTTCTTTAGAGCCTGTCTAAGTCTGACTCCACATAATCCATCTCAGCCTAGGCTGGCCTTTTGGTTGTTCCCTTTGGGGGGGTTTTGATTATATACCCCTTTCACCTCCCTGTGATTAGTCATTCTTTCCAGATGACCTAACTACTGCAGTCTTCCTTTTTTTTTCAAATCCTCCAACCATTCTAATCTAGTGTCTCTCCATACATTTTTCAGTTTTTCAAAGTAACATCCCCAGAAGGACCTTTTGAAATGAGGATATTTTATACCACACTCAAATTGCTTACTATTTCCCACATTCAACATTTATGAGTTATTTCCCTCATTAATAAATTTAATAAATAATTAATAAATAATTCTAAAGATAACACAGTACAATAAATAAAAACAAACAAATATATAATTATAATAAAATACCTTTATGAGTTTCTACACCTTTTCCCTCCCAACCAGCTTGATGAAAGCAAGACTTGTGTTTACTTCCGAGCTGACCGATGGTACCCTGTTGCCAATGCCACAATCCAGCACCGTATGAGGGTGTATGACTACTACGAACCAGGTATGTTCTAGTCGTATGTTAACCAAAAGAAAATATAGACCTAATTTCATTTTTGGAAACAGCTGTATAAAAATGTCAAGAAAGAAAATCAGTAATAATTTTAACAAAAGTTTTCTTCTGAATAAAGCCTACAATATAATGTATATTTTTCCTATATTGAAAAGAAAATTTAATGTGATTGTTTCTTAATTTATAGTTCTTATTTTTTAATTTCTATTTTTTTATTTTTGTCTAAACGTATAGTTCAGTTTTTTAAAATATTTTACTTAAAAAAAGTTTAATCTTACATCATATATTTTAGATATTTTTTAGTCATATATTTAATGTTTGTATCCTTTTTTCCTACAGGCATGCATAATACAACAATGTATACTACAAGAAACTTGTTCCTGCTCAACATTTGCTTTGTGTGTGGGTCCTACCAGTGCCCCTATTGTCCTTACTTTAATGCAGCAGCTATAGCCAGTGCTAGTGTCAGTGTTGTATTTTTGTTGGCTGCTGTGTTTGTTGTTCAGCGATTGCTACTTCGGCCCAGATAGTTGCATAAAACATATCCCATTTTGTTATATTTTAATAAAATTAAGAAAGAAAAAATATCTTCTTATAAGTAAATTGAGATTCAAATTTTTTTTTCAAATCAATTTTCAACAATATTCAAACTAAAAATATTTTAAAGATTTTTTTATTTTCTTGCATTCAGTTCTGTCTTTTATAAAAATGTTCACAAATATATACCAATTTATTTCTATACTCAGTCCTGAAATTCTGAATCATTATTTACATTGTTTTACCACATTGTATTGGGCTTACTGTTCTCCACTTATTTTTCACTAAACGTCAGTTCTAAATATAAAATTAATATTTTGTTAATACCACAGCATAATTCTTAAAAATTCTTTTTAATAACCGGTAGATATTTTTCTTTAAACCAATATCTGCAGCAACGTATGTGATTTCATATGGCTTAAAAAATGGAGTTTTAATCTCAGCACAATTAAAATTTAATTTTTTCTTTTACGTCATGACTATACAATTTTGATTATTTGAGTGTAAAATGAATGTATTGATCACACTTTCTCAAACAAATCATCTCAGCAAAGAAACAGATCTGAATTTTTTTTAAGCATATCAATAGATGGCAACATTAGTTCAGGTCTCTGGTTATATACATTCCATTTACATGTTTTGTATGTTTTTTTGTATATTACTGTATATAAAAATACATTTTTCTATACTGAGTACATTCCTTTTATAAATATAAAATTGTATTAACAAAATGTATGTATAGAAATCATACCATATAATGAACATCAGGCATGTTGAAACCATAGATCTGTTTCATGATGAATTGTGTGATTCTAAATCCACTGTACATAATGAGTGAATGTGTTAGTTAATGGAATCAAATTGGCAGCAAGATTGTTTGAAGTTGATATAAATAAAAGAAAATGTGACTAAACTGATGTCTGTTTGACTTAACATTTTTTTTAAATTCAACTCAAACTATAAATAGTATCAAGAACAGAATGGAAAAATTTGCTGACTGTGTTTGATCAGGCTGAATATACTTTTTGTTGAATGGGTTTGCCTTATTGTTTGTGAATAAGTAAAAAGATAATTTTTTTAGAAGAAACAAATTTTGTAAATATTTAAATGTATATACATGACTTTCTCATTTTCTCCAGGGATATCTTGTAACTTATGTTTTAAAAAGAAAAAAAACATGGTTTTATTTAGCATAGGTTTACTCAGGATCTGTAACTGTAAGAAATAGTACTTTTCTTATTAAAACTTTACTGTAATTATAAAAATAGATATGCTAAACACTGGAAATAACAAATAAAAATGAGACCATAATATGATAGTTTCTGTTCTGCAGTTCTAGTACATAATGGTAAAATTATTTGTTGTTAATGTTTTTGCTTAAAAATCTTTGTAAACCTTGTAATAAATAATGTCACCTCAAGAAATCTGACAGTACATACCCTGTAGTTTATTGAATCTTTTTTTTTTAAGAAAATGTACCATTTAAAGAATAATAAAAATGATAAAAATTTGAATACTCTTCTTTTGTGATGTACAAATGTTATGTTTGAGTGCAGAGGAACCAATTTTATTTTTAATAATAAATCTTCATAGTAATAACTGTGTATATGATGATATGCTTGGTTAAAGGCCTATGCCTGCATATTCATAAACATAAAACAACTCATTTAATTTATTAGCTATATAGGTCTACATTCATGTGTATAATATGGACGGTCATCTTGAGTCTAAACTTGAGATAACAATGTTAAGGTCTTTTTTTTTTTTTTTTTTTTTTTTTTTTTGCAAAGTACTTTTTTTTAGTTCTGCATGGACAACAACATATAGTGGCTCAATTTTACTTCATTGATACAAACACGGATTATTTAATTCAGCAACCAATTCGATTAACAGATTTGCCAGATAACACTACTTTATTAAAACGAAAATAATTCTTGATCTAATATCTAGATCTAGTAGAATCCGGGAACTGTTAAATAATAATATTTGCGCTACATGTTTTACTATTTATTCAACTTTAGCTGTATACATAAATAATGTTTTAATAACTTCGTTTGCTTATTGAATGTTAGTTAACTGTAAAATAACCGTCGCTAATTCTCATTTGAACTTGTTATACCCTTGCTGCGTGAATCATGTGTTTGTGGACTACATCTAGATTCTAGATCCATATCTAGGCCTAAATCATGTTTTGTTCACTATTTACTTTTTGGACTCTCTATGTTAAAAATATGCCTAACCACTTCCGGTTTAACGGCTTCTCGTGTTAATAAAGAGAATTTTTTAATAAATAAATAATTGATGGGTTGTTCAACTTGCTAAGTTAAAACCTCTCTTTAACACAGTCATATTTCACATATTTAGTATTTAGGTTATAAATCTATAGTATTAGTCATAAACGTAGACACCTAGATCTATTCTAAATTTAGATCTAGCTCTACCTCCCCATAGCATCTCATATTTAATAAAGCATGTCCACACGGTGGAGATAATTTAAAGAAACTGCTTCCAGTTTCCAGCTTAGTGCATCTGTTTCTCTGACCTCTGCTTGTGGTCAGCACTATGCCCAACCACCTTTAGTAATCCTTCACTGTTCTTTGCTTTCCATGACAGAAGAAGTCGGATACCCATCAAAACTAGGCAGTGTTTCTTCCAGACTTTTTTCTCCTCTAATATTTCCGGGGGGGGGGGGGGGACGACACTGTTAAAACTAGTTAAAAGTATATATTTTCTACATAAATGCCGTTGGGGGGGGGGGAAATAGACCCCCGCCCCTAAGAGATGCCTGAAAAAAACTCTGAAACCAGGGGACTCAGGAACATGTTTCTGTCTCATTTAAAAATATAAGACTTTGAACTTATAATCTATATATTTTTTATATAAGTTCTATATTTTCTTATATCTAAAGTAACACTAGTTAATTTGAGTTTAATATTTTATGAAATTAGTTTCTATTGCTTAGATTCACAGAATGTGCTTTGAAAGTTGATGAGAGGTTCACTATGGCATTGTCATTGTTGAGATGGGGCATCATTTCTTACAAAAGAAAAATCATCACCCTTTCTGTCAGACATTCAGATCAAGCTATACATTTTCTTGGAACAATTCCTAACATCAATTCACTGGCTCGCCAGAGTACTCTAAAATCTAAAACATTCTTGTTCAAGTGCCAAGTCCTTTTTGAGCAACAAGGAAAACTAAAACAGAAAAATATGTCAACATTGCAAAAGATATTTTTCAGTCAAGGAAAAATGCATCATGTTTTGATAAGATTGTCTTTTGACTGCATTCGTATGACTGCCATGCCTCTGGGTTCTCAATTTTTATATATTAGGTTATGTTACATTCTGTTAAAACTACTATATTATTATGTAAGTCTGGATCGCACATGTGTGCATAAAATTAATTACAGAACCACTCACAATAAACAAAACCAAAGCATCAAGTTGTATTAAAAGTTAATTTCTATTTTATTTTTTTTGTTAAAATAGGTAAAAGTTTTTTTTTATTTCAGCATGTGTTGCTGTGATCAAAAGAATAAAATGTGGTGCATTAACAATTTATATTTTAGTTATTCAGCTTTGATAACATTACAAGTGATCATGATAATGTTTGAGCAATTATAGACTTTATAACTCATGAGTGTTAAGTCTTATTTTTTTGTATATTAACATGAATTAATTAGAATCTCTACAAGGCATGTTCTGTATTTGCATGGAGTGGAAGACTTCAGGGATTTCTCTTCCTTCCTAATTGTAAAATATTAGAGGAAATTGCCTCCAACACAATTAAGTATTTCGTGTTAACATGTCATGTGCCATATAGATCTAGCTCAGACTTCTGCTTTTGTTCCTGGATTTGCTTCCATAACCTTTGTCCACCCAAGAACAAGACAGCAGAAGTTTGATTTATCTCTCTAGAATGAGTCTCATCTGCCTTGGGGCCCAAACTCAGGACTTAAGTAGTTTTTGTACTCTCTTCCAGCCACTGTCCCCTCCAGGATTTTTAATAACCACTTTTCATACATGGGACTGACAGCAACTCCTTTCTAGTAGGGTTAGTTTAAGCACCTGCTTAAGGCATAACCATGTTTTGATTGTTTCTTATTTAATTTTTTTTAAAAGAACATGTAATTATTGCTTTGTTGATGTTTGACAGACATTCATTTTAAGTTGTGAACATCCAAATACAGCTCACAGACTAGTTCTTATGGTAGACATCATAAATAGATCATTATTTCAGTGTCAATGTGGGGGGGGGGCTGTCAGTGTTATACCTTAATACAAACAAGGATGTGGCAGCAAAGTTTTAATGGTAGTGAGCATAATGGGTAAGACAATTTTTCAATGTATAATACACTGTTGTATTATTGGGTTTAATATGTTTATGTCCTCAGTGTAAAGAATCAGAACTGGCGTAGATGTGAAATGATTTTAAAACAAGCTTTGGCAAAAGAACAAATTGCTTTTAAAATCAACTGCCCACCCTGGTTTTGTACGTCTGGGATCTAAAAAACTGGATTTCAAATATGAAAATAATAGTTATTAATTTCAAGTAATTTCAGTTAGCCACTTTGCAAAAATGTGTTAACTTAGAAAATAAATTAGCAAGTTATTTTAATTTTTCACTACATTGTAGCACATGTAGCACATGATAATGTTTCTAAACTACCAAAATTTCAAAAGAAACGTTAGTTTTAGTGTACAGCAGTTTTGGATATTTAGTGCTGGGTCCAAATTTTAAACATTGAGCAGATGAAACTTCACTAGGTCTAAAACAGAGAACTTATGTTGTTTATAACCATCAATGTCTCTGTATTGGTTTCTATTTCTAGGTCTAATAGTTTTTATCATCCACCACATTTTCAACACTTTCATTTACTTATTTGTTTTATAACTAAATAAAAATGATTTAATGTGTTTTTAAAGAAAATGAAAACAAACTTTTATTTCAGAAAACAATGGATTTTAATAATGTATAGTACAGGATAATTACTAAAAAAAATTTAATATAAAAAAAAGGTAATAAAATAAGTTAATTCATTCTTAAATAAACACACACATTCATGACTTCCCCTCGTAGGATTGGGAATGGAAACTGTAAACAATTTATTAAAACTTAGCATTACTCATTGGCTATTCTTTATTATTTCCATCTAGAAAACATTCCAAAAAAAAACTTACGAATAGGGTTATAGAGAACTTTTTCTTATGTTTACCTACAACTAATGATTAATACTGTTAACACCATTTAGAGTAATTTAAAATGTGAAAACTTTTATTCTCAGAAAAGTTGAGTTTGTTTCTCTATAGAAATCAGAGCTAACCACACAAATCAAAACATGACATGTTAGTTTTCCAGCTAAACCCCAGCTGAGACACAGCAAAATAACATTGGTTATTTTAAAGATTTATCAATAAACATTTTTTTTTTTAAAAACTGCTTTTAATATTCTAAAATATTTATAAACTGTAGAGCTAACTAGGGTGTTCTTTATTGTTTCACTGCATGGATTTGCAAAAATTTGATAATGAGAAAAAAACTAAACAGACTTTTTTAATATCCAAAAGTATGTTAAAAACTTAACTTGCATAGGTCTATCCAAAAAAAACAAATTTTACTAGCCCAGAACACTCAATCTAACCTAATTCAATTCTGTGCAAGAGAAAATATCCCAAGTTGTGTAAAAAACTAGCATCTCATCATGATCAACTATTAAAAATACCCTCATCTGGTACATAGAGTTGGATTAAGTACAATAAAGATTGTTTTCAAGTAAATAAAAAATTTATTTTACATTTTTCACTTTGCTCTTGAGGAGCAATGGATTGAAACTATTCGTATCGAACATTTTACTTTATAATACCTTTTAACTGCCTACTGTATTGAACTAGGTAGTCCAAACTGAAATTAACTATTGATTGCAGACTTCTGGAGTGAGTATGTCATGAAAGAACTTTTAATTGTAAGGTCTATGCCACAAATTTTATAAAAATATCTCAATAAATAAAAAAGTTATGCGATTTTTAAAAAAGCAAAATTTGGTAAAAAACTGATTTTCAAAAAGTGCCATTTTTGAGAACCCATATTTTTTAAACTAAATAACATAGAAGTGTGGAAATTGGTAAAGTTGCTGCAAAGTTTGTAATATATATGCCCAATTTTTTTCAGTCATCTAAAATGAGTCTTTCTAAGGTAAAAAAATAATTGAAAATGACAAAAATGCGTTTTGGTCACTTTTATTTTCATAAAAAAAAAAAATTCAATTTTTTTTTTTTTTGCTTTGGAATAACTCTAAAATTATTGTGTTGGTAACATCGACGTGGAAAAATGTGTTAATTATTTTCAAAAATCACATGAGTTAAAATATTATTTTAAAAAATACCACAGTTATCTAGTGCAGGAGAAACAGAATCAAAATTTAGTAGAGTAAATGTAATGTAATGTAGTTTAATAAAGACGTGATGCCTACAAGTGATGCAGCAGTTGATGCCACATGCTTTGGTTTCTTTTCAAACCTGATAACTGCTTTGGGGGAACAGTTTTGGGGGAACATCTTTGTACGTCTTGTTTCCCTCAACCTTGATCTTGTGGAGCATCAAGAGTAAGTAATATGTTTTGGGAATTGTAGGGGGGAGTGGGGTCTTGGCCTTCTTCCCTTCCCTTGTAAGGAAAGTTCTGGATAGGCCACCGTAAATGTCTCCAGCTATGGAACGAACAATTGATTCAGTGATTAATAAAATATAATTAAATTTACTACTAGCCTATTGTGTAGGCCTACTATTTGTCCTATGACTATAACTGGAAACATATGAAAAAGCCTGAAAACACCTTTTTGTTAAAAGTAATTTATATTTTTTATATATATTTTTAAGAGTAATTCTACTGAATGAAATTTGAAATAATCGTTGCTTGTCCCACAATGGTTGAGATATCCAATGATGAAGATGCCATACTGTGGTTCTCAACATCCTATAGGACAACTTAACTGTCCTTCATTGTTACTATTATATGCTTATAAAATAAATAAATAATGAGAAATACTACTAGTACTACTTACACTTACAACTAATATAACATTTAAAACTAAGTCACAACATGTACAATCTTAATAAATTGCACAACCATCTAAAAATTGATCTGGTACATTTTATTAAGGAGACTGGCGCAGACCATTTCACATTATTCAGCAGGGGAATCAGAATCAGAGTGCACAACAGAAAATAAAAAAATTAATCACATTAGTCCTTAAAATTTAGTGTCTTTTGTTTTAAATAAATCGATAAAAATGTATAGTTATTATAATTATACATTTCTTTTGTGTTTCATTAATATTTTATAAGTATTTAACCTTCGTTCCCTGTAAATAATTGAGTTCGTCCACATAGTAACCAAGATAGTCTGGTGGCCATTTTGAATTTGTCGATTCATAATTTTGACGTGATAGTCCAGATAAACTGTAGTAATACGACCCTATCATTGATCCCAGTCAATAGATTTTAAAGAATTAGTAAACACTAGCATCTAATAGTTAAGTGCATCCATATTTTAAGTCCCTAGAATGTCCTGAATTAAATAGCTTCACGTCTAAACACACCCTGTGTACAAGCGTAGTTCACACGCTAAAACCGTGGACTTGAAGCGTTCAAATTTACATTAATAACGTGTACTAATTAAACCAAACTGACATTCAAACTTAAAATTCATTTATTAAAATGGAAATGAAACTTTAAAAATGATACTTACAACTTGTTTGAAGGCTCTAGCAAGGGTAAAATCCGTTTAGCATCATCGGTCGTCAACCTTTAAAACCGTTCGGCGAGCAACTTACTCGGGGCTGAAAGTCGACTCGAGGGTTATATGTTTATTGGGGGTACGGCTTCGCGACCGTAAATCAGAAATACTTGAATTTACAACACAAAGTAGTTATAAAACTGAACTTTACATCGGTGTAAAAATTGAAACAGAATTAGTTTGTTTCCGTGTATATATCGTCATTTAAAGTTTAAAATCTGTATTTTTTAAATGAAATAAACAAGTTATTTTTTCAATTTATACATCAAATGACAGCCTAGAATTCGATCTTTAAAATGACATTAAGATTATGCTTCTACGATGCTTCGTCGCGAAGCCGCGACCAAATAAAACAGTGTGGGGTCGATCGGTACACGCAAAACGGTGAAATTTGTTGACGTAACTGATACTTTTCAAACAAATATAAAACACATTCAGACATGTGTTACAGATATAAAAATACCAGATTACGACAGATAAAGACTTAAACTTTATTGACATATAATTTTTATTCTTATAGGACAACTAGAAGTAGTGAAATTTTTTTTTTGAAAACCGCAAAAACTGACCCTAAAACGCACTTTTTCGCCAGTTTGGACTACCTAATTGAACTCTTCCCTCCAGATATTAATAATATGGCTGTTTCTAAAAAAACATGACATACCAGTGGTATAATTTAAACTACCTTCACAATAAAAAGTATATTAATTGTATTTAGTATAAAAACATTCTCATAAAGAGCCAATTAATCAATCATTCAGGTTTGTTTATTACATTTAAAAGACGGTTAGAAATAAATTAGGATTAATTTGTTACAATTTTTACATGAGTTGGGAGAGAATTAAAAAATCATTAGTTACAAAATAAAAATTAAAAAAAATAGGATTCATAAAATGATAAGGGTGAAAAAAAAATTAGTAAGAGGGACATTCATAACTACTGTACCTAAATTATTAGCTAGTAGAAATCTGGCTAGTTGTTTAGAAGTGTATAATCAGCATTTTTAATTTTTGTTGAGTCATCAGATTATCTTAAGCTAGATGAATTCCCAAAAAGGAATATGAAGTACAAATGATTACTTCTCTGAAAAGATATGTAGCGTAGATGGCACCACAGTAGGGCGATGAGTCCCCCATCTTTGCAGCACTTACAATATCTCTTTCAGCTGTTGTGTATAAAAAGAGTAGTGTTAAAAGCAACAACAAATTCTTTTGAATAAGTTTCACTTATTTATTTCTTACCTGTGATAAATCATTTTGAAAGAGCACTTCAGCACTAAATAATTTAGATTATTGTTTATGCGAAAAATTAGATAATATTGTTGAAGTTTAATTCACAGTGAACATTTTTTTAAATATTAGCTTTTTTCTACATAGATTATTTTAAATATTTAAACATTTCAAATACTGAAAATGAAAAAAAAAAAAACCTGCATCTTCTAGTATTAGACTAAGAAAAAAATTAAGCCTCTTGTGGCTATATATTAAAAGTTAACTGTGTTATAAATGGTTTGGAGAAAAAAGGTATGTAAGTACACATATTTAGGTAAAACTGGTAATTTACAATGGAATGGAGGGTGGAAAATTAAATCAATTTTGTTATGCAAACATTGTTTTCTTATTATACACAACTTTTATTTTTTTCATGGATGTGATGGGTGTATGCTTAATTCCATACTTTCAATGTAAGCTTTAAACTACTGGTAACACATGGTAACTAGTATGGATATGTAACAAAGAATCTAATGGTATCTTCTATTTAAAGAAATTAAGAATTTTAATTATTAGATTTCTATTAACTTTTTAAAATTAATTACATTTTAATAAATATTTTTTAATTATTTTTAATCTTTAATATGTGATATTTTATGCATAAAAAGTAATATTACCTTAAAATTCATTTTAAAATTAAATGTAAAGTTGTTTTTTTAATTGAAATTCAAAATTTGAGCAAATGAAAATCTTTTTAAAAAATAAAACTTTTCTGGTTAAAACAAGTGTATAGCCATCATCCATTAACCTCCAAAAAAAAGTTAAATGTTAGAAAATGATAAATCCGTTTGTACACTACGAAATTTAAGTAGAAAGTTTTTTTAACATGTCTAGTTGAAAAAAGTACCCTGAATTAAAAGTGCTAATCAAATGAACTAACTTATTATAACTATAGGGTTTTCAAAAAATTAAAATATAATATGGTTCAAAATAAATTGTTTATAGTGCATAATAATTTAACAACCTATTAAACAAAAACCTTTTTTTAATGCAATTTTTAAAAGAGGTTAATGGATGCTTAGGGAATGTACTATTCTGTATTGTACATATTAGCCCTTTTGTGATACCGGTATTTAAGGTTGAATACAATGCAAGTTGTAAAAAGGGCAGATAACTTAATGTAAAAGGGAAGGAGCATAACAGGGAAGGATGGATAGGTTGTTTTAAAATTGAGAACAAATGACAATCAAAGGGTCGCTAGGGTAAACTACAGGATCTGGCAAGCAATCAACTAAACACAGCACACAGCGGTTGCAGGACTGTTCTTAGAGGAAAGGAAATCACACTGGGAATTTGGTCTGTGAAAATATAAAAATCTGGTTACTATGCACAAATACTGTCAGATATCAGAAACAAATTTTAGCACTTTTCTTTAAACGAAAAAATTAATAGTAATAACTAAAATTTAATTATTAGAAATTAAAATAAAAGTTACATATAATCCATGCTTTTAACCATTAATGTCCCGTAACGCCCGCTGCCGCCCGCTTAAAATACGCATAGAAAAATTAAATTTGTTTCATTAAAATTTGGCCTACAAATCTTAATTTTTAACTAAACAGGAAGTCGGATGGTTTCAGCATCCTTTTCCGGTCTTATAATTTCAATGGCGCTTTTGAAAGATAAAAAATAATAGCTTCTTTCGATCTCGAAATTTTAGACTCATCTGTCCTTTTTTTAGTAGATTTAATATTAAAAATAAGATAAAATAATGCCTCTAAACGTATCTAGGCATGTATTTTATGAATTATTTATCTTAAACATAACCAAATTGATATTTAACTGTTAAATTCGATGCTTAGTTGTTTAGACAAAAATAAATAAAGTTGACTACCGAAAATGACCTGTTTTGAATTTTCTCCGACATTTTTTATTTTTTTACTGTACTTTTACCGAATATAATATATTCTATTTAATACTGTTGGAAAGCCAGGTTTATTCCCAACATTAAGCAATAGTTTTTATCTTAATTTTCAATTTCATTTAGACAAAAACAAATATTTTGTGAAACTATTCACTTGATCATACAGAGTTATGCTCCTTACATTGGGCCGTCATGGGTGGAGTTTTGGTAGAATGAATGGGACATTAATGGTTAATATGTGGATTCATAATTAAAAAAAAATTGTTAATTTTTTTTGTAAGTTATCATAAATGGCAGACAAATGCTTATGTTAAAGTTTGCTTTTCTGAGGAATAAAAATAATTTATTAGTCTCATATATAATAATATACCACTAAATTATAAATTACTTCCATAGATCTTTGTTGTTTTTTTTCTTATTCTACTCTCATTTTCCAAAATTTGAACAAAAGGGGAAATAAACAAACAATGACAGTACAAATCCAGCTTTTTAAGCTACTACAGTCCTGGTGCAGTTTACACTCAAAATGTACAGTTGCTGCAAAAGCACATAGACCACCTCTGCTACGATGTAAAACCTTTTTTATAGATAATTTATAGCAACACAAAAGTATGCAAAAACCTTAATAAGAGACAAAAACCATAGAAATTGAGGTTTTAACATATTTTTGTGTTAATTGTTGAAACAGTTTTAAAATGTGTGCTGGGTTATTTATTTTACCAATGCACTTTTCATAAATATTTTGTAACAAGATTTGTAAGATGAATTTTCAAAAGGTTTTACTATTTCTAAATGAAACTCAAGAAGAAAAAAAAATGCATAAAGGAACTATGATACACTTGTGATATTTGAAACTTTAAAACACTTAAAAGAGACCATTAGAAACCCTATAAAATTTTGTGATAATGTCATAAAGAAATAATCCACAAATGTATCATTAGTCCTAATTAATTGCAAACATCTTAAAAAATGTAATCTATAATAATCTTTGCTAGATATTACAAAGCATACTTCATGGATTTTATAAACAGCATAAACCTGCCCCATTTTATATTTCAAATTATTCTAAACCTTTTTAATTCATATACAATTTTAATCATCTTATATTCATCAATTATCCACTTGATTCAAAAGAAGGATGTAAAAATAAATAAATTTTAATAGTATTGGAACAGGCTTATACCAACGGTTACTGCACAGCGCAACAACGACTACTCCCACTGAGCATTTTTTTTTTTTGGCAATTAAAAAAACCAAACAACACCGTCAAACAAATCAATTACAACTGATCGTAGCCTTCAGGGCTAGTTACCTGTGAGTGATCTGTCAGGCAGACTACTTTGTGCCCCTTTTTCCATGCATCTTTTTGACAAGCTACTCCGCAATACCAGGCCTTCTTACACTTGCCGCAGGCAGAGAAGTTTTTGCCCTCCGGTGCTTTCTTGTGGCAGTTGGTACATTCGTTTGGCTGCTCGCCTTCAAACTGGCAGCGTTGACACGAGCACCAGAAATTAAAGGATTTGTAGAGCCAGGCCTTACGCAGCAGTTTAGGCATGGCAGTATCGATGTAGGTGATAAACACTTCCTCGCCTTCCCTTGGAGAATTTAAAATAGACAAAAAATCAAGTCAATGCAATAACTTGTGAATAGTATTGAATAAGAAATTTTTTTTAAAGATATTAATTAAGCAGTGGTCATTGTTCTTCATTGTTTTGTTTTGTCACCCAAGTTGATGAATGCAATAAAATTATATTCTTTTTAAAGTGCATACCAATGAATATTAAGGTAAGCAAAAACTTTTCTACTCTCCCAAAAAAAGGTACGCTCTGTTAATTTTTAAACGTAGACATAAATAGACCATTACTTGATATCTCTGCGTGCAATCATCTGGATTCCAGGCCTGCCATCAATGTCAAGGTCACATACTTCAGCATTGTTAAAGCAGGAGTGGTTGCTGCAGGCATGAAGGGGGCACATGGCAGCAAACTGGGCTTCAGGGGGTCTGTCTGATAGGTACTTGAGCATCCCAACCTGGAGAGAGAGAAACACTGCAGATTTATTTCTTTTGTATTTGTAGAAAATGTATTTGTTTTATTTCATGATTTATAATCAGTGTTTCTTTTAGAAAAAATTTTCGGGGGTGGACAGGCGGGTGGATACTGGCTTAAATATATAAATTATAGTGTTCTTTTTATTTTGTTAAGAGGCAGGTGTGCCACCGAATAGGACTTAAAGAAACTCTGCTTATGAAGTAAGATTAAAAGACAAACATTTAAGTTTAAAAAATAATAAATTTTCATATATTTAAAGACAAAGAAAGGAAAATACAAAAACATACAGCACGAATATCCTCTTTTATGTTATCCAGGAACCTATGGTATGGAGTGATTGATGGGGAAAAACACTGAAGGTTGCAGGCTGCCTGGTAGTATCGGCCATTAAATTCTTCTTCGTTAATGTTATACTTGAGGCCACTGCCACAGTCAGCAAAAACGGATTGAAATATGGGGAGCATGTGTGGCATACGTTTGATGGCTGGGATTGTGCCATAGGCAATAAATCTGGGGAAGGTTTATGAAGAGGGATTTTACTTCAAAAAGCTAGTTTTTTTGTTTTTAAATTAAAATTTAGCTAATTTTTTATTCGAAACAATGTTAAATGTTGACTTCAATCAATTTTTTAAAGTAAATAAAAAGGACTGACGAACAAGATGAATTACATTTTGTTCTTTTACATATCAATGTATCATGTAGGCAAACTAATATTTTTCAAACATTTTCACATTTTATAAAGATTTAGTGTACCAGTATCTAAATTACATAACATTATAATAATGATAATTTTTTTTGGGCTTTCTTGATCTAAGAAATTTACACTCTTAAATGAAAGTTAACACCAAAAGCATACGAATTTGTATACCTTTTCTCACAATATTGCACACAACAAATAATCTTTGGTTACCAAAACCATTTTCTACAAACGTGGAGCAACAGCAGTACCTTCTGAAAGGTGCCCTAGCCTTAGCCCAGTGTTCAACTGTTGGTGCAGAGACTGACTCCTTCTCCATCAAATCTCTTACTTGTGATAAAATTATTGACCAGATTTTTATCAAAATCATTGGGCTAAGAATAGAATTGAAATTCAATGATAATTGGTTGATTCTATTTTAAAACTATATATATAAATTATTATTCTAAATAAATAGTGTTCAGATAAATCTTTAAATAAATATCAATAATAACAAAAAAAACTATGTTCTACAGGTAAATCTTTAAATAAATATAATAATAACAAAAAACTATGTTATAACTACTGCCATAGTATCAGCAATATTGGGCTTTGAAAAAAAATTGAAATTAAATGATAATTTGTTTATCTATTCTATTAAACATTGCATACTGATGAATTTTAAAATGTTCAAATAAATTTCATTCATTTAACTAAAATTTTGTCATTTTACAGTATAAAAAAATAAGATCTGATGATGGACCTACCTATAATGACCACCCCATACTTCTGTCCACTGCCCATCAGATGTGTAACCATATCCCTTGTTTTCACATATGTCATAGATCTGGCTAGCTGCTGGGTTTAAGCTTGGACAAATAATACGATGGTAGTTGTCCCATGCCTCAGGAAGAAAAAAAAATAATTTAAATAAAAAACTATTCAAACAACATTGATGTATTAATAGATATATGTTATTGTATCTATTCACAGCTTGTTATTCTATCCCATTTGTAAGGCTGCTACTTAAATTTTACAGAGTTGAACTCTTTTAAGGGCTCAGCATGGTTGAGTCGGTAAAGCACATGGTTGCTAAAACGAAGAGTCTCGAGTTCTACCCCTCAGGCAGATGAGGCTCGTTAGCTGGGGAGAGCCACTCTTCTAGGAGAGACAACTCCAAAATCAAACAACTGCTACCTTGTAGTTTGTTCTTGGTTGGACAAAGGCTATAGAAGCAAATCTAAAAAGAAAAGCAGGCTGAAATCGGAGTCAATGGCCTCAATGGCACATAACCAGTTGACACGTATACTTAATTATGTTGCCGGGGATCCCTTCCAACTCTAAAATTAAGAATAAAGAAGAAGAAAAACTTTTATATATTTAAAGCTCACCTCTATTCTACACAGCTTGCTGCAGTACTTTTCTCTATGGCAGTGTGGGCAATCTTCAAATGCTACACTGGGCCAGAACTCTTCTATGAGATCCAGTTGGTCTTTCCCCATCGATAGCAGCCTAGTAATTAAAACTTGATATAATTTAAAAGACATTTAGGTCCAAGAAATGTAATGATATAAACATGATAATCTGAGTGGGAAAAGGTGGAGAAGCAAGCTTCATGGGTAATGTAGAGCCAGGAATATATAGAAGGAAAAAATTACTATGTTCCCTTTTATTAAATAATAATTTAAACTTTTCATTAAAGAAACTTTTTTTAATTTTCTGTTTGAGAAAATTCCCAAAAAAAGAACATGATCTGTCTTGAAAAGCATTGACCTGTGACCGATATTCTTCCAAAAATCATAGACCTGTATCATATGAGAAACACCCATATTCAACAAGTGAGCAAAAAAAGATAAATTGTGGACAACATTAAACTGATCTCGAGACAGACAAGTTAAACACAAGTTCTCATGTTAATTACATTAGTGTAATTAATTAAATAAGTATACAAAACTCCTCTATAATAAAAGAGGATCAAACATATATTTAATAAAACCAGAAAAGTAACATTTACTTATTTCCAAAGTAATCTTTAGGTGTTATAAGGGACACAGCACAGTTACAGCAGGCTGGAATGTGCCTGGAGCCTAGAGACTGGGCCATTACCATTGGAATGTCAGTCATCACAGTCTGACCTTTAGCTATATCACCTGAAGTAAACATTGAGGATATTACATCACAACTGATACCCAGATACTAAAATAGAAACAAATTTAATAAGATCACAAAACTTCTATTGTAATTTCTTTTTTGCTTTCTTTTTAAGTCTTCAGTTTTCTCATTTGAAAAACTAAAAAAGTAATCTTCCTTTTATAATTTAAAATTACAATATAAAAAGTTAATTAAAAAGTGTTATAAAGTATTCAATAACAACTTTTATTGAATGCTAAAGCTGTGCATTAAATCAGCAATAATAATACTTAACTTAAGTCTTAATCGACACATATATATAAATAACAGATACCGTTTATATATTTATAAAGTACAATTCTTACACAAACTTACGTTTTGCAAAGACAGCTCGACCAAACTGAGTAAAGTCCACTCTAACTGGCTGATCTTCGGTCAAGGGGTCATACAGACGCTTGACCCTAACCTTCTGAAACAAAATGGCAGCCTCTTCATCTTTCCCACCTGTCAACTGGGTCGCCTTGCGGAACCAAAACTCAGCCAGCACTGGTAGCCAGAGCTCCATTAAAGCTTTACCTGAGTTTCATAAGATACATGGAAGATTTTCTTGTGTAAATTTATAAACCCCAAAAAAAAAAATCTGTGTAGGAGTTCTGTGTATTAGTAAAGTTGTAAGTAAAGTTTCTCTTTAGACCTAGTGATCCAATGGGCAGATGAAGTATAGTTTATATGTTTCTTGACCTCGGCATATGAAAAGATAGTGTGGCCAGCCCTCATCCCAGCTGCCTTTACTTTCCCCAATGTAAGTCAGGTATCCAACAGAGCTGGGTGGACTCTGAGACATCCTACAGTCGCAAGTCCGAATCAAGATCCGAACTAGACCTTAGGGCTAACAGCCAAATGTTCTATCATTAAACCATGCCTGTGTAAATATTATTAAGTTTAAAAAGTTTTTCAGAACAATATTGTAAGTTTTAAACATTTTTTAAAAAATGATTATTTAATCACTTATAAGAGTAGTGTTTAGCTAGGTTGTGCCCCATTTTTGTCCGCTTACACTTGAAACTAGTCTGCTGTACTCTATTTCAGTGTTGTATTTGTTATAGAACAAAATGGAACAATGTTCCACAAACATTTTTTAAACACATTTTTTAAAGTTTTAAGAGAATTTTAGAATATTTTAAGAAATAAGATGATTGTTCAACCAAATTTTTTCCACAAAAAAAGCAATTGTCTTTATCTAACTCAATTAAAAAAACTGGACCACACACTGACATAACTACTTAGCTAGAATAAGGGGAAGTAATTAATTATTTTATTTGATATTTTCTATAAGGGACATAACAAAACTGAGCAGAAAAACAAATTATTACTTGAGCTATGATAAGGCAGCTTAATACTATTTTAAAACTGAAAATCTACATAAAATATAAAATTTCTACTGTGGATTTAACTAATAAATAATATAGCATTTGGGTGAATAGGACTATATGGGTTAACTGAAAAATAACATGGCAACATTTGGACAAATGGGACTCTAAGGGTTAAATGACAAATAACATGGCTACAACCTCCTTGTTTCCATACATCTGGTTTTCTCATTGACTTAGGGATAATCCAGTAATCCTGTATCACCTTATGCCATTGCTTCAGGTTGAAATACACCTGGAATTATAAACAAAACTATTTACAGCAACTACAATTCAGAATGAGGTTTATGGTGGGATGGTCAGGAGGTAGAAGCATGACTGCTAACAATAACATTTTGAAGTCCTGACTCAGTCCGGATGACGTCCCTGAGCCCCCCCAGTTTTGATGGGTACCTAACTCATGAAACAAAAGTAAAGACTGATGAGTATAAAACTGACCGAACTATTCCTTCTCATGCTTAGGTGAACTCTACTTCATTTTCCATATTGACCATCATGTTTTCATTACTTTTACTTTCTAAGCCCTTTTACTTTTACAATATTTTTTTAAGTGTTGATTATTGAATATATTGCATAGATACCTATGTTTTCAATTTTAAAAAAAAATAACTATTGATGCCAATAATAAAGGAAAATACATCAAATTTTTATGTTGTTTGTTTTATATTAAAATATTTTAAAGTGTTACACAGACTGTCAATTAGCCAAACCTGGGCTCTGAATGTTCGATAGAAGACATTGCTTGGATCCATGGCCACAGCCTTGGAGATCAGTATAAGAGAATCATTCAAGTTTTCCATGGTCAGACATTCATAGGCAGCCTGCACTAGCTGCGTCTCCAGCTGGGCATCTTTCTGTAACAAAAACAAGTTGGACTTAACTAAATAATGTTTCTGTTACTGTGACAAGCTTGACTAAACTAAATGTTTCTGTAACAAAAAAAGTTGGACTTTAACTAAATAATGTTACTGAGACAAGTTGGATTAAACAAAATAATGTTACTGTTAATGAGACAAGTTTGACTAGTGATACTGAAACAAGTTTAATTAAACTAAATAATGTTTCTGTTACTGAAATGTGTTACTGAGACAAGTTTGAGTATCCTAAATAATGTTACTGTTACTAAGACAAGTTTGAGTATACTAAATAATGTTACTGAGACAAGTTGGATTAAACAAAATAATACTACTGTTACTGAGACTAATTTGACTAAACTAATGTTTCTTTTACTGAAACATGATACTGAAACTTAACTAATTTATGTTTCAGTTACTGAAATGTAATACTGAAATGGCGGCACATTGTTCTTGGGTGGACAAAGGCTTTGGATTCAAATCCAGAAAGAAAAGTAGGCTAACATAATACTTAATTGTGTTGGAGGAAATTCTCTTCAATAAAAAACCTTCAAAACTTTTTTTTTTAAATTACCGTAATATGATTATTGTTTCCTTTATAAAATTCATCATCCAAAATTTTATATTTCACTGCCAAAATTTCTTTCTCCATGTTAATCAGCTGTTCATCTCCGGGGTAAATACTTTGAGAACAGAGAGACACAGCTGAATAGGTGCAGTCTTGAGATTCTGCATGTTCTTTCTGCTCCTGAAATCAGAATGATCATCATGTTAGCAATGTCATCAATATTTTTAAAAATCCTGGATGGGTCTAGATCCCAGAGTGAAGGAATCACCAACTTTTAAAGCAGAAATGACTAATTCTGACTAAAAATACTTGATAAGTCTGCATGAACTAAAAAAAACTTTTCCTTTAATCTTAATTTTAAGGTGGCACACTGGAATTCATATGGGACAGTGTGGCCTAGCAGTAGAGCACTAGACTGCTAACCAGAAAATCTCGAGTTCAAATCCGGGTTCAAGTCAGTAGAACGTCACTAGGTCCACCCAGCATTGATGGGTAACTAAATCACATTAGGGAAAGTAAAGTCGGCTGCATAGTGCTGACCACACTATCCCTTATATGCTGAGGTCACAGTAACAGGTGAACTCTACTTCACTTGCCCTATGAACCTGCAGGTTCAAAAAGGTGGCTACTCTACTTACAGGAATTCATGAGACAGCAAGGTCAGAAAGTCAAGCACATGACCAAAAATATCAAGTTCAGATCCCAGGTTAGAGTCCAAAGGACATCCCTGAGCCCATCCAGCTCTGCTGGGTACCTGAATCACGTCAGTGATAGTAATGCCAGCTAGGCAAAGTGATGACCACACTATCCTTCCATATGCCAATGTCACAGTTCAACTCTCCTTCATCTGCCCCATGCAGTTGGCCTTACCTGTATGTTATCTTTAAAAAAATATTACTTTGCAAATAATAATTGTAACTTATGTTGTACTTATAACCATACCTTCATGATAATGTTCTGTAGTTTCTTCAGCTCTCCTGATATTTGTTTATTTTTTGGGTCTTTTTTAAGCCCATCCTTAAAATAGTCCAGAGCTTCCAAAAACATTTCTAACTGTGAACATGCCTACACAAAAGAAAAAACATCTTTTTAAGAAAAAAATTTCGGACACTTACATTGTAATACAAAATGTTGAAATCAACTATTTATTATACCGCGTTTACACTTGTGACATATATACTATACATGTCTAGGAAAAAACTTGTAGCAAGTTAAAGATATTTGTAAATCTTTTTCCACAATAGGTGTATGCTAACTTGTTGTGAGTTTTTTCTCTCCTAGACATGTAGGCTATAGTATACATGATGCAAGTGTAAATCCGGTGTTAGAAACTTCTAACCCTAAATTTGCATTTTTCGTGCATTTAATCTTAGTTGTACTAAAGGAAAAAAAAAAAAAAAATTTCTTCAATCTTTTTCAACACTTATGTGATGTAGGACTATATACAGTTTTTATACACATACATACACACAACATAAAGATAATGATTGTTTGATGAACTTAATGCAGCATATATAATATAAAATTAAATGCAACAATGTTTTCTTTAAAAAAAATTCTAAATGAAAATTTACCATCCCACACAAAACACAGGCCCCAACCACTCTCTGGTTGGTACCCTCATCAGCCTCTGTGCCATCTTCAGATCTCCTGGCTGCATCGAGAGCATTTTTACCATCCTCCAGGGCTTTCTTCCACTCTGAAAGTTCCAGATAACACTCACCACGAGCACACAACCATCTGAAATAAAAGAGTTGAAATTCTTACTAATTTAAATTATTTTTAAAATCTTCATATGAAGAACATTTTTTAAATACAAAAAAAAAAAATGCTTAAATATTAAATATAGATAGATTCTAAGTCCAATATTTTTTATGAATTAGAATATTTAATTATTTAGGCCTAATATTTATAGCCTTTTTTATAATAGTATGTACTAGTATGTAGGCCTACCATGCTTTGTAGAGTTTTTAAAAGAATAGGTCCCAATGGTAATTTGCTGGTTATTAATTTTATTTATAATTTTTACTATCTATATATATAATTCTCTTCTTCGAGCCGTTAGAAAACAAGCTGCAAACGCTCTCCCTACCTCCCCACCCCTACATGGTTTTAGTGAGCTGTGTTCACTCTAAATGTTTACAAGCAGAGCCAACGATTTTAAACGTAGGGGGGGGGGGGGGGGGAAGGGGGGGGGGGGTTATGGTCCTTAACGAGCTACTTATAGTGTTTTAAAGAAATATTTTCAGTGTCAGCGTTGGTACTGTCGAATTCACAAATTATGAATTATTGAAAATTAGAAACAACTAAATAGCGGCGTATGTTATGCCGCGGGCCGGCTCGTTTAATATATTTATTCTACTCTAACCTAGCTTGTACAGTTGTAGCTTAGTCTGCTTAACTTGATTTGAAGTCTAGGACGACTAGGAGCCTAGCTCCGAAGGTTAGGTAAAAAAGGCAATAACTTAGGTAGACTACCCCATATTAATTTAAATTAATTACAAACTCGATCTAAATTAAACGACAATAATCGTCTTTTAAATTTAATGTATTTAATAATGAAATGAGTGTGTAGTCAATACGTTTACACGACAAAAACTAGACAATCACCTCAATGCCTCTTCTTTTGATTTTGAAGTCGACTGAAGCAGCTGAGAGTATTTCACTATAGCTTCTTGGTAGTTACCTCCCCTCTTATCTTCATCAGCTTCGGTCTCCATGATAATATAGATCTAGATCTATTGCCAATATATGCACACACACTCTGGTTCAGGGGTCTAGATATAATTAATTAATAACTGTTGTTATCACATCAACAGTGCAATTTAACTAATGTTGAAAATACGTTTCGTCTACTGTGGTGGATAATAAACAATTATTAGCTTTAACCACTACTGTTTTAATTAAAAATGTGGAGCCTCATATTTTTATCCCATACATACTACATAGTACATAGAATATAGATTATAGATCTTTGTAAATTATGCAGTGAAAAGCCATTTCAACATAATGGATCTAATTGTGCCAACGAAATTGTAGTTTATATTTAGTTTTAATTAGTGTTTGCCTACACATACTCAGCTTACATTAAATTACACATCTACAGAGGCACAAATAAAAGAATAGCATTTATATTTAAATATAACATGACATAACGTTTCTGTTCTTTTAAAAAAAATCGCTCCTGGCAAGTTAGTTAACTGGTATGTTAATAAATTGTTAATATAATGTAGTTTAAAAATCATCGAAAACTCGGAAAGGCCAACGATGAATAAATAACAGGCTCCACAAAATGCACACCTCCAAACAAGCGCTTGTAACACAGACAAGGATTCCAAGATGTCTAGCGTATGTACCCTGCAAATGTGCAGGTAAAATAGGCTAAATGAACGTGCGTGTTGGGGTGGTGGGGAAGGAGCGGTCTATTTTTAGTTGTGGATATCAACTCAGTTCTAGGTTACGTGCTATACTGCTACTCACGCGCGATTTGTATGAGCTGGGAGTGGGTTTCAACATCGTGCATTAAAATATATTTAAGTTGATTTCAAAAGATGTGACAGTCAACTGTTCTTCGGTGTGATTTGTTGAGCCTATAATTTGTCACTGTAAACAGATCTATAACTAGATCTTTGTATTGGTTATAAATATTCCAATCATAAGGTTATGCAATCATAAGGTTTATCAATAACCACCTATAATCAATAGGATACTAAATTTAAAAAAAAAAAAATTTGGAAACGCTTCACGATTCTGCGTGTCATCTCTGCGCGAGGGCCATGCTAATCTTCTCTGTATCGTTCCAATTTTATTGTATGTACTGCGTGAACAGTACACCTTAACACTGGAACACATTATATTTATACCCGTGAATGTTACATTTCATTTCTATACGATGTTTCATTAAATGAATATGCTCAATACTTCTTGCAAATTTATGTCACATTGGTATTTTAAATACTTTTCATAAAAGATCAAATTATATTAGATACAAGAATTAGTTAATTTTTGAAAATATATGTATTACATTCCTTTTCACATATAGAATTAGGAAATTTGTTAGATCCCGTGTATTACCTCCCCTGTTACTTTTTAAAAAATCTTATTAACTCCCATTTCAGGCTTGATTTATTTTATTTTTTAGAAGAGAAATTTTTATTTATTTAATACTGTTTCTATGCCAATAGCACAATGTACATTTCGTAAATTTAACACTTAGGCCTACTTGACATGCTGTTTTGTAACATCAGTTTTCCTGTAACAGCTCTGAGGTAATTTGTGTATTATTTTAAATTAACAGTGACCAAACTTAAGTGAAAAGTGTAGTGGTCAACAATGTTCAATTTTGCTTAGTTTATATTTTACTGAAGAACTTAATGTCTTTTACCTGATATAAAAATTTAAACAAGGCTATAAAATAGCTTGAAAGAGTCATTTATATATTAAAAGAACTGTAGTGACAAGGTTCTGGTAGGTTGGAACTATTTTTTTAAATATTTGATGTAAGGTGTTACAATTAAAATCTAAAACATTACCCTGTAAATTATACTTATAAATGGGCAGCAATATGTGATTTAATTGTTAACACATTTGCTTAACTACATTGAATAATAAACAAAAAAGTTATTACTTTTTTTTTATTGTACATATTATTTCTTATATACACACATTACAATTTATATATATCAATACATAAAAATGTGCTCTAATAAATATTTAAGTCCAATTGAAAAAAAAGTAAAAATAATCTGTTAAAAAAGATGAAGCTGAAATAAAAAACAACACAAGGAAAACAGTGCAAGATTTATATTTCTTATCCTTTCTTTTAATATAATTGAAGTTTGTAATTCTATTTCAATAAAGATTTTCAAAACTGTATCTGAAAATCAACAAGTTAGTCTAAGCAGAGCTTATATGTTTAACTGGTATTATAGTTATTTACATGTGTAAACTTAAATGGACCTATATTTTTACTTTCTCATATACAGAGTATAGAGGAAGTTTTGTAATCATGCACAAAAATCACATGAAATTTTTTACAGTTTTCAGTTTTACTTCTCAATACTTCATCATATATGGAGTATAGAGGACTTATTTTAATCGAGCAAAAATTCTAAATCCAGATTTCTCAAAATTTCGGCGTCTTATACGTAATTGAGTCGGAAAAACTGGGCTTTGCAATACTGTCTGTGTGTGTGTTTCAGTGGACACGATAACTTGAGTACCATTACAGCTAGGTTGGTGAAATTTCATATAAGTATTATATCAAATTTGTAGTTCTGTATCAACTTTTCAGCGATTTCTGATGACCGGAAGTGGAACTTATTCTACTTTTGGTTTTTCAAAAGCCTATAACTTGAGTATGGTTTCAGATAAACAAAGTTTCAAATATAAGGAAAAGATATAATTCTGTGCCATCTGTCAAATTTTGAGTAATTTCCGTTGACCGGATGTAGTAAATTACGCTTTATCCGATTTCTCAAAAAACGCATGAATTTATAAAGTACTAATATTCATCATTATTATACCGTTCACTTGGTGCGTAATTCTTTTTTTCTATAAGATTCTATTCTTTTAAAAAAGTTTAAATAATTAAAAATGTATTTAAAATCCTGTCTATATCCCGAATTGCTTTCTCTGTGGTGTTATAAATGTGATATAAGCATATTCTAGAAAGTTTAGGGGAGATCAATCTTGCTTTATTTACAACTGGTTTCACTTTTGTCCAGAAACTGGGACATAAAGGGGGACAACAAGACAACAAGAAAAAAAGGAATTACAATCAAGTGAAATGATGACATTGTCAGCTTATGATTATGTGCATTTTAAAAACAACTTAAATAAAATTAACATTTTAAAAAAAACTTTTTTTAAGGCAAGTAATAGTAAGGAAAAATAGAATAAAATGTAGGCAGAATGGTTCCTATTTTGAAAGAAAAATAAGCTTCATTTATTTTTTAAAAAATAAGCTATATATACATTTTTATCATTCTACTTTATTTTAAGAATTTGTCAAGAAGCAATATAATTATCAATAAATGTACAAACACAACTTGTAACAATCAGAACTTTTTGAATATATATATAGATCTATATTGAATTCCATTCTTGATGCAGATTTTGGTATTACAGGGTTAAGTTATCAAATTCCACAAGCTTAAACCTTGTCTGGTTAACAGCAACATTGTTATCGTTGTGACTCTCTAAGATTTCTTCCACACGACACACTGGACAGTTCAGGGGTTTCTTGATAACTTGATCCATATCGTAGCCCTGAAGTTAGACATTAAGACAAATCAAGACAGAGAAAACCCTAAACTTGTCACACAGTTGTTTTGTTTGTTTAAATGATCAGTGTATCTAAATTTTCTATTAAAGAAAACTGCAAACAATTTATTAGTAAGTTTTTTTTTGTATTTAGTCATTACTATTTTCACAATTTTTTAACATGCAATACAAGATCTCATATATTTAAGCTATAATAAAAAATATTGTAGAATAGCTTGAAATCACCTCATCATCTGTCTCTTGTGGCAGGACTGACTCTATTGACCTTTGGGTCAACTGGACAGGTCATGAAAAAATAAAAGAAAAATCCAATCTTATTATATTGTACTTTAAACTAAAAAAATAATAAACAACACTTAAATTCTATAAGAGATAAAAATGCTTACTTTAACATTTTCATTTTCAAATAAATATATTTTATAAGTTAGGATGTTATTTTTAAACCTACTTATACGTTTAATGAATAAATTACACATTCTTACACTATTTCAGAGAAATAATCTTTTTAAATTTACTATTAGGTTTCATGTTACTTACATTAATTTTGACCAGGGAGCCATTAGGCATGGACTGGCATTGAACATAAGCTTCCATTTTCATTCGTGTCACTAGTGAGTCCACTTGGCTTTTACAGTTGGTACAAACTATTGAACTAGAATATTTTTTTAAAGTATAAGTAAATGATTATTATATTATGTTTTTTTTTCATACAGTACACATTCTAAATTTAAATTGAGTGCATTTGTTGCTTATGGTAAAAAAAAAATCAATAATATGAGATTTTTTAAAAATAAAGACATAACATTCTTATTTTGTTTTTTTACAGTTTCATACACTACTACTAGTACAATTAAATAAGCAAGTGATTCTTATGTCCTTGCTTTGTTCAATGTTCCTAATTTCAATATAATTATATTTTAATATAATGCTGTCAATTTTATCTTTAAAAATAACTCAGAATAAGAAATTTGTTTTTTATTTTTATTTAAAAGTTAAATGATTTAATTTTCACTTCCTTTCACAAGTAACAAATTATGAGCATCTTAATTACTTTAATTATAAGGAACCTACCCTGAATCTTCAGTGGTGTTTGTGTCACATCCACACACAGGACATTCCTCCCATGAAAAAGCTGTGTTTTCATCTATTTCACAAATAATTCCTGAAATTTAATGAGCCGGATTTCAGAATGTTGTATTGCCTGAATGGCTTTCACTTCAAGTTTTTGTTTCGCATAAACAATTTTTAAACATACAACTTAATTTACTTCCAATTTTTTGTACAAGAAATGTTTAATTTTTTAAAATATTAATCATCTTTTTAAAAATTGGTTAGAAAAGCTCTATAGATGAAAATCTATAGATCAAAAGGTTCACCTTCCACTCTGACAAAATCTCCAGAGGAGCAGGACACACTGACCTCTGGCAGGACCAGAGGGCATGAAACAATTCTTTCAATCGCAGACTGACCAAGTCTATCTGGAACTTCCCATTCTGCCCAAGACTTCTGGCCCAATATTAGGGTAAACTTGTCACAATGAAGAAAACCTACAAAAAGTGAAAATGTATTTTAAATCTTAAGCAGAATTTTAAAAGTACTTATTGTTGTAAATATTTATTTATATGACTATTGTTATACAAAGATCATCCTCAAATATAACTATATTAAAAATTGTAGCAGAATTTAATAAATAATTTTGTATGAAAATAAAAAGCTAAAATGGAGCAAGTTACTTCAAAATTTGAATCCATCAACAATATAACATTTATGAACTTGTTGGCTTACAATGCATGAGAGTAAAATGTATTTTTAGAACAATTACATTGTGTTTCGATGTGTTTAATAATTCAACTTCCTAATTATAAAACTAAGAAAAACTATTAATAATTTAATAAATCTAGGGAAAAAAAACTAACTTGTGGCTGAAGGGAGACAAAAATACAAGAAAATTGAGAAACAAGTTATCACCCTTATCAGAGATAACATCCTGGAAAAAACAGACTGAAGACATGTTTTCCAACACACAAGAACTGTCTACTTCCAACTTCTGCATGGCTGTAAATCCATTTTGGATACTAGACTCATCAAAGACAAACACAGTTGGTGAGACTGATGCCTGGAAAAAATGTATTAAATCTTGTTTTAGTGGCATTTTTTACACTTGAAAACTCAACACAATTCACCTAAGAGGGTTGAGGCTTTAAGATACATTTCAATATCAGTAGCATGAAGGTCTTTAGCTGTTCTACCATCCATACTGTTGTTGCATGTGATATATCTCAATATCAGTAGCATAAAGGACTTCAGAGGTTCTACTATTCATACTGTTGTTGTACATGATATATCTCAAAATCAGTAGCATAAAGGTCTTCATACTGTTAATGAGGTTGTGTGATACACCTCAATAGCATAAGGTAAATTGAGGTCTTCAGTATAATACCTATCAAACTGGTAAATCCCATTTTTAAGTCTAGGAAAGAAATAGTTTAGAATTCCTGGAATAGTGAATTTCATGAGCTTATCCAGTGTTGATGTACATGTAGCCATCTTTGTTAGAAGTTGAGAGTGAATGGCAAGGCAGAATAAAAGGTCAAAAGCTAAATATTGTTTTCTTCACATGTGCTTCTAAGGTAACTCAGTGTGGGGAACCATTGAGAGAATAACACACCTTTTCAACTTTGACCCTAAAGACCACCCTCCACTAACCAGCATAAAAAAATTAAAGAAACTTCAGACAACTACTATAAAATCAGCATGTATACCATTTTCACAAGACAGGGCACTTTTTACATATTCGGTCGAGAAATCATGAACATCGTTTGTTTAATAAATTGAAAATTAGTTTAAAATTATGCTTCGGTGCTTTACAAAATAGAAATAATTCCACAACTTAACTTATTTAGATGGACGCAAGTAAGCCAAAGTGAAGTTTGCGTGTGACAATGTATTGGATAAAATAAAATTAAGACAATTATTAGAACAAGAAATGTTTTTACAGCAACGACTGGAGGGTAAATAAAAAAAAGTATTTATTGTTAAAAACCAAAGAAAATCACAGACTTAAATACTATTACAAAATACAAAAAAAAAACTTACCTCCTTAAACCCAGAGTTCACCACTACTTTTGCCAAGAATGAAACTCTACCTCTCCTATCCATCTGTTGGAAAAAAAAATTGAAAATATTAGTAGTTCGATATTAAATAGTATAGCTGGAAATATATACATACACAAAAAAAGATACATTTTAAAAAATGATAAGAATAAAACAATTTATCTTAGTCATTGTGAATTCATATAAGTCATTTTATCAAGTTTAAGTAAACTTTGTATAATTTTTGTTATATCAGAAGGGAAACAAAGTTCTAAAAAGTATTTCTTATTCTTTTAATATTAAGGTATTTGTGTTAGCTTATACCATGCAAACTACAAATTTAAAACACTTAAAAATAACTTAAGCAACTGTAAATCAGTAATTTCTACACAACATCTGTTAGATTTTCACAAATACCTGAACGGTGTCTTTTAGATCCATAAGTTCAGAAGCTTGTGAATCTATTTGGCTGTCTTCCACATCCATTTTGATTATACAGTTATAGCCATTGGCTGACTTTAGCCAATAGGCAAAGTTGGGACATTTTCTAGTACTCTGAAGAAGAAGAAAATGTTCAAGAATGAAGAAAGAAGTAATTAAAATGTGTGTGGCTCTATAATCTAGAATGGTAATACAAAAATGTATACTTTTAAGCAAGTTTGCCCTAACCCATTAATACCAGGCTACTGGATAACATGAATATTGAGAATATAAATTATTTAAGAATATTAACTTTAAAAACATAATAGTTTGAAAATTAATATCACAGTTCAGTAAGGTATTCAAGAAAAAATGTAACTCTGCAACCCTATCAGGAAAAAAAATGCCAAGTCAGAAGACATCTTTAAAAAAAAAAACATTTTAACAGACCTGTATGAGTTGTGATGAGTCTGTTCCGCTCTGCTGACTTTGTTTGGGCTGCAGGGTCCAGGTGATGTCAATGATACCAAATAACTCTGGTTCTCTGCCAGAATTTTAAAAAATTTTAAATCAGAAAACATGAAGTAGATTTTATCCACTTTACATCCACTTTACATGAACATACAGTTGGAAGAGTGCTAATGTAACCTAAATTAATCTTACATGCTAGCCTTACTATACCCAGTTGTTAATGGGATTAACGTTATTGAAATTACAGAAAGAACAAAATAACAAGTTAAACTTTTTATAGAACTTGACTGTTAAAACATCAACAATGTAAAGAAATGTCACATCCTAGCCTTACATGTCCCTGATAATAAAAAAACGTCACATCCTATCCTTACATGTCCCTGTTGATAAAAAATGTCACATTCTGGCTTATACAACCCTGATGATAAAAAAAACATTATATCCTAGCCTTACATGTCTCTGTTGATGCGGGATTCAATGACTAGCCCTGAGCACAAACAACTTTTCCCATACAACTTCCACAGGCTTGAGATGTCGGTGAAGTCTTCAGGTAATGAGATGAAAATAATGGTACCTGCTGTGTCTTCCATTAAAAGATGGTGTCTTTAAAAAAATTATATTTATTATACTTCAGGTAATAAAACAAAAATTATAAATTGTTTAAGCACTACCTAGTTGATTTTTTTTCTGGCTCTCACTAAAGATATGTAAAAAAAAACTTCTGACTCTCACTAAAGATATGTAAAAAAACTAACAGAATTTTAAAAAAGTATATTTTCAAACAAATCACACACCTGATTATTTGAAGATTTTCCTCTCTGCATCTGAAAATCCTTATAACCCTGGCAAGGAAGGGAGGTAAATAGGTGGATTCTCTCCCCATTCCTTCCTTGCTTTCCAAAAATGTTCGCCTAACATTGGATGATTCGTGACACCATGGAGTTGCATTGATGGAATGGAGCACAGCTTTAGCTGGGTGACGAGGACCAATGTCTTCTGGCCTCTAAATATAATTTATTTTAAATAACAACTCTAATAAAATAAACATGCAAAACATTAATTTGGTCAAAAATGTTATCAAAAATAAAAAAATTTCAATAAAACAGATAAAATAAACAAAAATAGTCAAAAATGTTATCAGATAACTATTTTTAAATGTAATTAATAATTTAATTAGTTACCATATACCATGTTTAAATGTAATTCATTAAGTTAAAATCTGACCAAGATAAAAATTAAAAGATTTTATATTCACTAAATAAAATTATGACTGTTAGAAAATGCTTACCTGGATAGGAGAAATCACAGGAAATTTCACGGCAGGGCAGGAGCTAGCAGGAATAGACTGGTCTAAAATAGAATTTTAAAAGTTGTATTAATAAAATAACCAGAACAATAGTTTTACAAATAATAACACATGAGTCATAAAAACTATTTACTGTTAGCTTCAAAGTAAAGAAAATTGTTGTGAATTCTATCAAATACCTTTTGAACAAGGGCACTCCCACGTTGCAGATACATTATGTAGATTCTCTGATGTGTTTGTGGCCACTTTGGTAGTAGGGTTTTGAACAGAAGAAACTATGCGGACGTACTGTGTGCAAAGTAGAGTTTTCTCCCCTGAGCACTCTTCTAGTTGTTGCCTGAAGAAATGTTAGTTTAAAAGCTGGGTGATAGGAAAGTGGATTAACCTGCTTAATCTCTAAAGCAGATGTACAAGTAGATCAACTCTACAACACAAAAAGTGGGGGAGGAGGTTTGCACTCTCAACATATTTCAAAACATTTACAATGCAATAAGTTTAAACAAAATGCCTATTTTAGACAATTACATAAACAAAATATAGTAAATAAAAGAATGATCTTTAACTTACCAAGGTGGAAAAATCTGGACAGTTATGCCAGGTTTAAGTGCTAAACTCTCCACTGTATTTATTGTAAAAAGCACTTTGCATCTCAAGTCTCCTTCAGTTTCATTCAACAGTTTACACTGTGCAACATAAAGTGAGAACCTCTTGTCTAGGGTGAGCAGACTGACAGTCACAGACTTTCCTTTAGCTTCTTACAGAAATAGCACAAAAGGAAAATTTATGTTTTAATCAAATTTACAGTAAACAACATATACATTAGAATAGTCTTTAAGAGAGGTAAACTTGGTGTGTGTTTGTTATAGACTTATGACAAGTGAGAACAAATTTTATGTAGTCAAGTAAATGTCAAAAAAATCTGTTTGTATAATTTCCAATACCATAAGTTGTAAATTGCCCACCATTATTTGTTTCTGTGCTGAGAGAGTGATACCAAAATCTTACAGATGCCTTCTCACGATTGAGGAGTCGACTCAGCTGCCCTGCTATGCTGTCTCTAATTTATTAAAATAGAAATTGATACATTTTTCTAAACCTTCGAAGGAATAAGGTTTTTCAATTTAATAAAATGGTTAAATATTTTAGGCGGCTACCAAATTTTTCAGAACTAAAGTGCATTTATACTTTGCATGTTTTTTCTTTTTCTTAGCAGAGTCTTCACCCTCCTGACAACTTGTCAGATCCTGCTTGCTGGGTGTCTTCTGCTTCAGAAGGGCAGTAACCCAATCACTTGCTCGAATCTTCTTCTCCTTTGATATATCTGGTGAGGATGAAACACCACTATTGATATCTACGTCCTGTATAAGAGATATCACAGAATATTATTACTGTAAATCTAATCATATAAAAATGTTATTAGCTCTATTTTTTTCACTTCAGTTTCAATTTTAAAAATGTGAAAATGTTTCATTCAGGAAGACTTTTTTTTGCATACAATAATGAACTATCAAAAGTTTTTGACATTTTTTTTTAGAAAATTCTATTTAGTCTTACCTATTCTACCTACATTGTAACATTACATATCCTGAATTGCTGCATATTTTATTTTGGAAATACCATGGAGTTGTACTAATGAGTTATACACATCCATGGAGTTTGCTTCCAACAAACTTCACAGTTACCTGAGTTCCTACACTTTCTTCAAGGGGTTGCTGTACACCTCCTTCTGAATCACTGATTTCTTCCACCGTCAGCTCTTTAATCTCGCTACTGTCACTGTCAGATACTGAATCTATATCGGATATTTGATCAGGCGAATCTTGAAACATTTCTGTGTCCAGTCTCCTGACCACCCTAGGTTTTGAGCAGCTGTTCTTTTGATAGGACCATACATTCCCTGGTGTAATTTGAGTTGAGGTGTTTGGAAATGGGGAGAGTCCAAAGGTAGACTCCACTGGTGCATATGCCTGAGTTGATTTTTCACTAAGTGTCTGAAATTTGGGTTTTGACTGTTCACATTTTCCTAATTTATTATCTACAGGTGAGTCGGATTCTATAATTAAATTGTCACCTTCAGAAGATAACTTTTTATTAGTTTTCTGTTTATTCAATGTAGTATGGCGAGTTGGGGGAAGTTTATTAGAAGAATGCATTGTTATAGAACACAGTGTGGAATGTTCATTGTGAGAACGATCCATAATTAGACGATCTTGAGAAAAGCATCTTCTTTTTGTGGCACCATTTGATTGTGATGTACCTGGTTCATGCGTCTCATTTATCTTCTCTTCATCATCAGAGGAGCAGGATGACCATTCAATGTTTTCAGCTTTGTCCGACTTTATATCTAGGTAAAATTTAAAAAAAGAAATAATTTTGAAACCTGAAGAAATATTCAATGCAAAAATTGTTTTAAGTATTAGAATCAGTAGCATTTCAATTCTTTATTGTTATACCTATTTTTGAATATTGTGGATGATACACAATAACAAACAATTGTTATTTAAATTACAAATTAAAGCCAGTATTGTTTTTATTACCTTGTAAAATTAGGACAATAAGAACAAGCATACCAAGAATAAAAATGTTTTTAGTTTATTATTAATAAACATTTGTGAATCTTTAATAAAGTGTACATAAAATTAATTCCTACCTGGATTCAAAATATCTGTAAAATTTGATAAAAATCCATTTGTTTCAAACGATACATTTTGCACACCATTAGATGACTGTTTCATTATAATAGTTCTTTTAGCAATATTTGATCTTGAAACAATTTTTCTTTTACCCTGTAATTTTTTAGCTTTCGGTGTCTTATCTGTGTTAATGACAATGTCACTGTCGTCATCTTTTCTGAATGATCCATCTAATGCATTACTTATTAGTTTACTGAATTTGACCACGTCAGTGAATCCCTCACCAAAGTGATGCCAGGCAGATTGCGACATCACTTTTTAAAACTCTGACGAGATTGAAATGTTACACGTTGATCACACAGAAAAAGAACATAGGTTTTTGTATTAAACCTGAAACCAAAATAAGAAGGACTATTTACATTTCATATTAAACAATTTTTTTAAAAATAAAATGTTAGCCAAGAATGCATGTGTCTGTAAAATGGGAAGGGGGGGGGTCA